TATTCTGCTGATTACCCGGAACAGTTGTTGACAACTGGGATAAAATCTGGAGAGTGCCCAAAATGCGATGTCCCGCATGAGGAGTTGGGAAGTCCTGATGTTCCTGTCAAGCTGTGAGACCTCGAGGCAATTGTCGCTGCATTGTCGCTCGTTGATGAGGACTATGACCTGTGGAGATGAGCATTCCAGGAGCGTGGCATTAAGCCTGTCTACAAACCATTCTGGCTGGATCTCCCGCATGCTAATATATTCCAATCCATCACGCCGGACATGTTACATCAACTCTACTAGGGTATTGTAAAGCACCTCATCGAGTGGATCAAGGAGGCATATAGCGAAGCCGAAATTGATGCTTGTTGTTGTAGACTTCCCCCAAACCATAATATCTGATTGTTTCTGAAGGGTATCAGTAATCTCTCGCGTGTTAGTGGAACGGAGCACAATCAAATCTGTCACTTCCTGCTTGCCATTGTCATTGGCATACAGTTGCCTGGAAATCTCAACAATGCTCGCCTTACTCGTGCTGTTCATGCCACACATAGTACAGTAACTTATACCCGTATTAGACGGACAGCTGAGGGTGACAATGTACCAATAGAGGCGGGCCAGCCCATGTGGGCCCATGGCCATAAGTGTACCATGATAGATGAGTGGGCCGGAGGGTGGTGTGTACCTGTTCCAAACGGATGGGCCAGTGGTATATCTTGTAGACGGTAGTATAGGAATGTACTATATAGGATATCTATGTATATAAATGAATCCAGTGTGCAATGGAGACGAGTGGGCCGGACGAATGCAGTGCAATGTAAATGAGTGGGCCAGGGAGATGGGTGTGATGGAGACGAGTGGGCCAAGAGTACAGGGTACAATGGAGATGGGTGGGCCGGGGGTATGGGGTGCACTAGAGTCCAGTGGGCCAGGGATATAGGTGCGATGGGGACGAGTGGGCCGGTATGTGGGGCACAATGGAAGACGAATGGGCCGGGGGGGTAAAGCTCGATGATATCCCATCTGGTAGATGATGGAAATTTCTTCCGGTATGGAAGGCGAAGGTGAAATGGATGATACGGATGAACCAGAAGTGTTAAACGAATGGGCTGGAAGAGTTGGAGGGGGCATGAAATGGATAATACGGATGAGCCGGATGGGGATGAAATGGATGATACAGATGAGACAGTAGTACATGAAATGGGTGATACAGATTGAGCCAGTGGTGAATGAAATGGATGATACAGATGAGCCGGTAGTGTTAAATGGACGAGCCAGATGGGGATGAAATGGATGATACAGATGAGCCGGTAGTGTTAAACGGGCCGGATGGTGATGAAATGGATGATGCAGATGAGACGGTAGTACATGAAATGGATGATACAGATGAGCTGGTGGTAAATGAAATGGATGAGCCAGATGGGGATGAAATGGATGATACAGATGAGACGGTAGTACATGAAATGGAATGGGCCGAGGGGTGGGGTGGGATAAGAGGTGGGTAAGGGCATGCGGTGCATACAGAGTATACTAACCGGAGAAGAGTGGGCCGAGGGATGGGGGTGAAATATGAGGCAGGTCAATGTATCCGGTACATGCAGTGTACTAACCGGATACGAATTGGCCGAGGGATGGGACATGATATGGGTAGCACGATACCTTACCCGGTGCAGTGTATTCTAACCAGCAATGTACATCCGGGTCTATACCCATACAGTCCGTCCATGATAAATATCCGGTACGGCTCAATTATCCACCCAGCGCATTCGGAAACCATCTCAATACGATAACCGAGTATACCAGATGTATATTCGAATGAGTACATAGAGTTGCTAAATATTTACACGGTCATATTTTGCATACTCCGTGCTCGGAGTCCCAACAAAATTGTGGATGCTGTCTCACATGTACCACGCAGTCACAATCCAGTTGCCCTCTTCCACATCCATGTAATGTCTCACCAGTCGACATGATGAAGCCAGCATTGAGCCAGAGTCATATAGAAACTTGATCCTGAGATTCATAAAGTCCATGACGACCGGGTGATAAATACCGGCGGTCGTCATGATATCAAATGCTGCCGGTCGACATTTGGGATCTCTATGAGGGAGGTGACTGGCGATTGCATATGATCGATACCACATTAAAGACGGATGTCCAGTGTTGAAGATGATAGTGCATCTCATCTAATTCATATCTGGCAGCCCATACACCCAGCCTGACTTGAGTTTCCATTCCGGCCCAATAAAGATCAGGGTGCATGACTTGAAGTGCAGCAGAGATGATGATACCGGACCTTTGAAGGGATATCGTAATGTTGCGACCGGCATCACCTTTCAGTGCCGCTGATACCTCTGGCGAGAAGCCATCTTCCGGGTCAAGATTCGGAAAGCCGTGTTTCTACAATACTTCATACAAGAGATTCCAATGCATGCCGACCGGACACACCTCTCTTCCTTGCTGAAACCATGCAGGGGATATATTGATGCAACCGGGGGTGACCATCCCATCTGGACTTGTATGGAAGTTAGACTGGTGGGTCCTCCATTGAGCAATCTTGCTTGTTGTGATGCTATGCTTCAACAAACCACTCATGGAATCTGTGGCACCATGAATATCTTTCTGTGTCATATATCCGGGTAAGATAATTTGACATGGAGATGCACACAAAACAGACCATTATCATAGCGGTCAGTGCTCCAGGCAAATACCAGGCAATGATTCTACCGCCGGAATCAATGACAATGGATGGGGTTGTCAAGAAACGTTCCTCTTCAGGGGGGAATCTATTGAAAAGATTCTCCTCTCGTTTCTCACTTTGACTGGATTCATCTTTGTCCAGGGTGTCATTGTATCTAACCATATCTATTTTAAAATGAACTGTCTGCAAATTAGTTGACCAGAACAGATAAATGAGCTGGAATACCTACCAGCGTTAGAGTATGCAGTAGCCATCACATTGGCGAGCTGCTCCAAAGCAATGCAAGTGTCGATATCCAAGAGCCCAAGGTCCATATCCTTTACCGGTCGGTGAAGAATTGTAGACATGAAAATCTCATGCACCAATTCACCAGCAAGGTATGTCTGGTACAAGGCCCAGTCAACTGGAATTGTAACCATGGCTTGCCAATTCAATCAAGTGACAGGAAAGCACCACTGATATATCAATTGGAGAAAATAGCTTCACTTTCACATGACCTCTGATTGCATGGACAGACTTCATTTACATGCCGGTACACATGACATGATTGTATAATAGATTGGCCGGATACCAGCAGACATTAGGGTGCGCTTAACTGTTACTACATGGAGGCACTGTCATCTGTATTTAACCTGTCAATGAGTGCCTGTGAGGATGATACAGCCTGGGTGATTTCATCAATCAGCCCAACCAAGCCAGTCAACCGGTCACTTGAACGCCTAAGATTCACCATCCTTAGCTGCAACATGTCCAGCAACTCCCTCCCAATTTGTGTCCGGTGGCACGAACCAATTGTCTCCAGGCAGATTATCCGGACCTTGTACAATATATGGGAGAAGGCTGGTTCTCACATGATCTGGCTGTCATGTATGGTGTTAGTATCTGGTGTTAAGAAGATCATATGGACTGACTGACCAGGTGTGAAAAGTGCCATGCAACCAAATCCATAACATCTTGGACAGATGACTTGGGCAACATATCTGAAACCCTGCAACAACCAAGCGGCTCCTTCCACCAGTCATTGAAGTAGTCCGGCATATGAGCAATATCATAGTCATCTGATTTGATTGAATCAGCAGAAATGCGCAATGCACGGATATCCTGCAAAATGGCATTAACATCCGGTCGCCGGTCCACCAAAGTGTGTGCGGTCATGGTGGAGAGCACATCCTTGAGAAGTTGAGGAATAGTAGCGGACAACCGGGTAATAAAACATATGTTAATGAAAGGCAGTTACAAAGGTCTATATGAAAGAGACAAAGATGAGGGTATGGGAGTATCAGCATGGCTGGCCACCCACCTCCATCTCCCATTTCATCAGGGTGTAGAAAGCCTCTGCATAACCAGGCATGGCCAGGGAAAAACTCTTGTCAACATGCAGGCGCATGGCCAGCATCCGGGAATTGGCATAAAACAGTGCACGAGAGATATCTGCAGCTGTGATGTGATTGCCCTTGGCGGCAATGACTATTTGGTCAGAGGGGATGAGAGTTCGTAGTATTGTTCATGGAGAGAAATGTGAGGCTATAGTGTGACCGACACACTAGGATTATTTATATGCCAACACACGCGTATATTACATAACAGGTATTATCAACAGGTAACCACAATTATGTAACTAACTGGTACCACCAACCATCTCAACCGGTACCGGTACTTGTAGCTGAACAATCATTTTGCAAAAAGAATCCTCTGCATGTGCCACTAGTTGGTCATATATGTGAGATTGTTGGGCAGCATAACATGTATGTCCGGTGAGCCCTGCAGCAGTTGCGTTGTGCATGTGACCGAGCCATTGCTTGGCTTGATGTTTAAAGAAATTAATTGACCACTGCATTTCATGTTTGACAATAATAACCTCCTCGTTCCACCGGTCGCGCAGTGCTTTCATCCGGAGCCAATTAACCCGGTAAACTATTATTAGAACATGTGAGACCGGACAACCCGCTGTAACCGGAGGCACCGGACACTCACATTCTGTCATCCAATCATTTCCGGATGTGTCTCCCTGAACATCCAAGGACCAGAACCATGAAAGAGTGGTATCCCTTTGACCACGTGCATTTGGATCAGCCACTGCAGAGCTGGCCTTCAGGTCTTCTTTCTTCAAAGGAAGATATTTCTTCAAGAGGTCATGGTCAGGGAGCTTCGCCAACTGCGACCGCATTTCGAATATATACTAGCATTGAGATTGACTGCTGTTTCCACTGAGCGAACTCGAGTCCATGCCCTAGTAGACGAAGCCTGTGACTTGGCTGACCGGACAGTATTGCGGAATATAACAGCTTTATCCCCTAAATGAACTCTAATGGCATGGAGTGCGTCATTGGCCTGGCCTTCTCGTAGGGCAATTTCTTCTTTCATGAGATTGGTGAGACCTAACTCCCTGCACCTCACTTCACCAATGTTGGATGGCAGAGGTATGACGGTGAGCTCCGGTTGAAATATGGAAGCATCGTGAATGTCCGGACCGGGATTTTGATCTTCGTCGATATCAGAGTAATCTTCATAATTATCATTGAGTGAATTGTGAACAATCACCGGAAACTCCGGGTCATTGACATTGACATCGACTCCAAGATAAGTAGGTGCCATCTCCAGAAAGCTCGTAATCTGAGTGTGAAGCTTATCCCGGCATCGTGCCACTTTCAACAATTGCATATCTGTGGGGTGCATTCGTAACCTTTTCACATCCCTGGAGAGAGATACTTGGGATTCCTCTATAGTGAGACCGGTTGCGAGCCAAGTGGCAGCTCCTCGTCGACCGGGGGGGTTGATGACCGGATGTTCAGGGCGATTTTGAGCCTGCAACAGGCGCAACTCCTGCTGTTTTCTTGTTGGAGCTGCACGACCATGTGATCAGACATGCCGGACAATCAATAACAGTAGACACTTGCCCCTTTCCAACCGGACCTCATAGATGTCCATAGCTGCAGGATCCTCCGCTCTGTTTGCATGAGCGAGTGCCTCCTCTTCCTTCCATATAATGACCATGTCAGGCTGGGCTGTCTCGTTGAGATTATCAAACGCAAGTTTGCTCTCCGCAGCACCCTTGATAGCCTCTTTCAACTTCCTGGACAGAAACTTGGCTACCGGACATGCATTGTATGAGTACGGACAATATATGTACATGTGGAGGTTGGCAACTTACTTATACGAATCATTTTCATGAAGTTGCAATCATTCATCTGATAATCCAATACCTCCTTGCGATGGGAGTTCCCATGCCCCTGGCCGATGGAGAGATTATATTCATAGGAGCCCAGAGGGTCTCCATGATCTCTCCATCTATCCTGCCGGTGCCATGGATGAAATTCGATGCATACCGGACAAAGCAGCTGTCTTGATGTCCATGGACATGCCACAAACCTATTCCAGGAATGATATCCATACTGATGGGGATGGAAAGATACATGCTTGAAGCGATCCGGTCCTTCAAATACTTGTTATACTGACAATTTATGTCATAGAATGTAATGGCGCGAGAGATTCCGTCTGTCTTATAGTTGAGCGCTTGACTTAATGCATAGTCCATGTTCATCTGCCTGATCATTCCGGGTAAGAGTTGTAAGATCAGCCATTGATGTGACCGGATGCAATATGTACCAACCTTTCGCCTTTCTGAAAGTCCACCATCGAATGTGGGACGAAACATCCATGCTGTGCACATGCACATCCTCCTATACCGGTGGCCTCCAGCCTTTGCCGTGAGGCGTTTGCTTGGTTTACTGCTCGGTGATTATTGCAATCTGACCTTTGGACATGGTCTCGAGCAGTGGCTAAATGCCTCTTGTATCTTTCATCGGAGACCATGAATCCCAGGCCATCCATCAATGATACTTCGTCGGATGGATTCACCGGATGCATGTGCTCCGCTTTGAAATTTCCATCCATGACCAAATATCTAGTCATGAGCCAGGAAGGTGTATCATCTGACTGGGCGACTGTACCGGTAGACAGGTCCAAGTTTATACCCGGTTGCGGACATGCCGGGCAAAATAGGGCGAGATCGCCGTCCTTTGGCTGGTCATCTTTGTGGGCAAATCCATGCCACTTGTAAAGCTTGCATTGTTGCCACTGCCTGGCGGCTCTCATGAGCTCTCTGTAGCGATCCTACGGATATCGTTCTTTAATGACCGGATGGTGAAATACCAAGTGAAACCCAGCTCACCGGAACCATTAGTGGAAAGATGCTCGATGTTAGTCTGCGAATTTTGCTGTAGTAATTCATGGCCGATGTACCGCACTCGAGATTGTCTAACAGAAAGTCGTCCAAGACAGCGAATGTGAATGCAGTTTTCGGTCTGGTGAAAGATGCCGGGAACAAGCCGGCTTGAAAGAGCTGCATGTCTCGGCTGAGAGCACCAGGGCAGTGGCAATAACATATGGAAAGGGAGTGAACACCGGACTTGTCTACCACAGTTATTGCTGGCTGATCCGGGTCTCTGACCAGTGGAATGAAAGGTCCCTCTGGGTAATCGTCATCTATATCGTCATCGGTATCTGACCATTGAAAGACATCGGATGAGTAATCCATGCTGCTGCTGGGACATGGTGTGCCTGTCATGAGCAAGGTGAATGTGCAGGCCAACTTTAATGAGTGAAGTTTCTTGAAAAAATGATCCGGTCCATTGACTGATGCGATGGAATGGATGTCTTTGATGCTGAATTCTGCAACAGTCTGTGCAAAAGAGTGGCTCGTTGAAACAGCCATGACATCTATACACCCCATCCTTCTTGCAGACTGAACAAAGTCAGTTGGGTGGAGGAGCTTCTCTGACCATGAGTGAATTTATGTAGTCCTTGAACTTGCACTTCCATTGCCGGAGATATGCATTCTGACTCTGTGTGATCCGGTCAGACCCAGACTCAGGAAATGAAGATGACTGTTGCTTGCCAGAGATTTCGGAAATTTAGGCTGTGGGATGTCACCTTGGTCAAAGTCAAAATCGGCACCTTCATACAGCAAGTGAGGGGACCCAGATATATGCTTCGAGGGTGATTTTGTTGGTGATGATGTTACTGATTTTGTTTTCCGAGCCCATGAATCTTTCACCCAAGATGACCTGGATCATCTAGTTGTAGTTGTTTCCTTGAGCTTATACAGCTGAGGCAATCATTTCTTTCGTAGGAGGGGTGTATGTGATTCCCTTTTGTTTTGTCTTTGGCATGTTGATACTACAACTGGACAGGATAAGTATGCTGAACACTTGATGACTCGGGTGCTTCCATCAATTTTCCGGACTCCGGGTGATTTGAACCGTTGAGATTACCACATTTTCCCTTGTTAGTCATTGAATGACCCAATCATTCATGAAGGGGACCGATTGATCCGGTGTTGTCCAGACTCCGAATGGTTTGAACGGTCGGGATTACCACATTGTTCCTGATGATCTTGTAATATTACCTCCGTTTGGTATATATTAAGGTTGGAGTCACTGAGGGTTGCCATAGTTGCATCATCTAACAAACAATGTAATCCTGCTATTAACACGAGTCGCATGAATTTCATGTTCAGGTTAGATGACAATTGACTTGATAAAGTACGTCGACCGGAGGTTACATTTCAAGGTTCAAATACTTCTGTCTAGCCAGTGTTCCGGAGTGTTGGTCTTAGAAAAGTAATCCAGTTAATTAAGAGGGTTCAGCAGTAATACATGCTTCTTTCAATTGGATGATTGATGAGTCTGACAAAGTGAATACATTGATTATCCTTCAGTTGAGGGCACTAGCATTGCAAAACATGCTCTGAGAGAACAGTTCGAACCTAATAACCCACTCTATGGACACAAACAGGCTTCTTGTTTGATCTTTGGGACACCGGCTGTTTGTATGCACATTTATGTTGGCCTCCAAAGTCATTTGTGATGATACTTACTCGAACAAGTTGTGGAATATGATTGCACAGGGCCTGTATGCAGTACTTGAGGGCTGTATGCTGCCCATATACTATATAATACAGGTCTAAGTATGTATGCTTGTGCAGTTCTCAATTCTATGCATCTGAAACACGTAGGATGTCAAGGGAATCATACCAATCATATCAATGAACAAGTATTGGACAATCTCTTGTTCGGTTTGCAGTCACGTACATCGGTTATGTCTCTAGCATGCAGTATCTGAGGGCTGTATGCTGCCCATATACTATATAATACAGGTCTAAGTATGTATGCTTTTACAGTTCTCTTCTATGCATCAGAAACACATAGGATATCAAGGGAATCATACCAATCATATCAATGAACAAGTATTGGTCAATCTCTTGTTCGGTTTGCAGTCACATACATCGGTTATGTAACCTAATACTGTGAGACACGCATGCATCCTTTCTTCTACCAAGACCTCAACTGCTCCTCAACTGCTTTACCATGCCCCGAATCCAACTCATCAGTCGACAGCCCACAAAAGACCAAGCAGAAGAAATTGACCGAGGAAGAGGTGCTGGTCTTAAAATCCCACCTAGAAAAATGGAAGGAAGCCGCTGCCAACGATAGAAAAAAGATTCTGAAGGCGGTCATAAAAGAGGCAAAGGTGCATGCCCCTGCTATGGATGACCAGGTCATTGAAGAACAGAAAATATGTGAGCAGTTGAGCTTCAAATTTTATGCATGATGACTGACTTTTATCATGATGTATTGAGATGTACCGGGACTGGTTATATAACCGGAGACCCGAGAAGACTCGAAAAAAGGCCAGCAAGTTGGGTCAGAAATGGACTTCCCAGGTCAGTCATAGAACAACTGCGCAAGGAGGAGATCATCGAAAAGACCGGAGCGATGCCAGGATCGAAGACATTTATTGAAAGATATCAGACAACACTCACTGCAGTCATGGCAAGTCTATCTAAAGAGGAGCTGGAGGAAGCTCAGAACACTGCGATTGAGTGGTCTGCCAAGGCTCCTCCTGCAGCCGTCCAGGCGGACTTTGCAAAGAAGAAAGCACCCGGTTTGATGAAGGACCTGGCGTCCAAGTTGTGGAAGCAGGCCGGTATGAGAATTTTTATATTATCAGCATGGAAAGAGGAAGACGAAGTGCGGATCAATGGGTGAGTTCCACTTCACACTCAACCGGTAAATGAATACTGATCCGGTTGGAAGAATCGACTTCAATGAAAAGTTGGAGGGCAATAGTTTTACCGATACGAAGGACTGGAAGCCCATGTTATCAGAGTGGAATGCCTATGCTGGAGAAGAGTTTGGTGAGCTTCTGTTTGACAATCTTGCATTGTTCAGTCAAGTACTTATGCGACATGGGGTGATACCAGATGTTGACCTGAATAATGATGACGACGATAGTGAGGGGGAGGTGAAAAAAGGCAGGAAGAAAGGCGGAAAGAAGGACGAATATCCTTTAGAGGTGGATAGCTATGGGCTTCCGGTCATACCAGATGTGAAAGAGCTTAACCTTGAGAGTAAAAAGTGTCTTATCAGGACGTTCCTCACAAAACACTACAGTCAGTTTCACAAATGATGCATCTGGAGAGCTGATCAACTGACCGGCTATTTTCAGGGTTGTGCAGCCAACAACCAAAGGCTGTCTGTGCCTTGGGCCTCAGTGAGGAAGGCTCAGGGGGACTTTATCGCAGCCAAATTTTTACCTACCGGCTGGAAGCTTGACGATCCGTCAAAGATTCGGTTGGCTGATGCTGACCGGCTGTTAGAGTTGTGGTGTCAAAGACAGAAGGGCCATGTTCGCCCAACCTTTGAATTTAAAGGCTGGGAAGGCGACGATAAGACGATGAGAGAACCGGCAGAGGTGATTTCCGGAAACGGTTCTGACACGAGACCCAAGGATCCAGTGAAAAAGTCTACCAGAAAGCGCACCGGGAGGGTGGAACAGGTGTCGAGTAGTGAGGACAAGGACAAGGATGATGAAGATGAAGAGAAGGACGACAACGACAACGACAACGACAACGACAACGACAACGACAACGACAACGACAACGACAACGACAACGACAACGACAACGACAACGACAACGACAACGACAACGACAACGACAACGACAACGACAACGACAACGACAACGACAATGACAACGACAATGACGAAGAGAAGGACGATGACGAAGAGAAGGACGATGACGATGATGACGAGAAGGACGACAACAACGACGGCACATCACCACCTCCAAAGTCGACACCTGTCACAAATCGCCTACCAGTCAAGAAATCCAGGCCGGTCAACATGCGCAGCAGGGCTAGTCCGGCTCCATCTGCTGCAGAGCATGAAGATCCCCACCCACCGGTCAAGAAATCCGTGCCAGTTCCTTTGCCACCTAAATTAAAACTAACTAAAAAGCGCAGTAGGGTTGATCACATTCAATCTGATTTAGAGTCGGACAGTCGGCCTCCAAGAAAGAAATCCCAGCCAAACAACGCCAGTACCGGTTCTGCGCAATCAACCTGGTGCTCATGACAATGATCCTCCTCCTTCAAACAGTCGAGCATTTGGTCCTACATCTGGTGTCCATGCCAAGAAGAAAAACCACAAAACACCGGTGCCCAAACCAACACCCGCTGCCCCAAGGACCACCGGCAAGAAAGCCAAAGGATGTGAAGCACAGACCACCGATCCTGAGCCAAAGTGCTCTCTTAGAACTTCAAAGGCCTCTTACAAAGCTCAGTATATGCAGTAGTAGTAATTTGGATCTTTGCACACAAGTATTCTAGCGATAGGTGTAGATAGCATATGACCGGAAATACATACTTCATGTTGAAAGTCGAGATATCGATATCAGTTGACATGCCAGCAACAACTCTTGTGTGCAGTCAAGGACTTCTTGTCTTGCAAAGGCCTCGTCCGGCGACATTGCATCACCAGCCCAGTCCATATCCAACCTGGTGGATTGCTATATGCAAATCGCCTACAGCCCGTTGGATTACAAATCCAATGGGATCCAGTCGAATGACAGCGACTGAATTTCAACGGTCAGTATGATATCTGGAGCAACAAGAAGGCTTACAAGATCGATCCGGGTCAACATGCACCGGATCCACATCAAAACCCATCTCTAGAGGGCTTTCATGCACCGAATCCATATTGAAAACCCATCTCCAGAGGGTTTTCATCCGGCGTGATATTATTCCTTAAGTCCAGCGATTCATCTACATGATTCATGTTGAAGCCCATTTCCAGCACCTCATCTGTGTGTCCAGGCCGGATCACTGACATCAATATCGAACCCCAAATCTAGCACATCTCCTGACGTCTGACTCTGGAGGAAACCCCAATTCTAACATCTCACCATTTGACTGTTCATCGTCAGACAGGGTGGGGAATTGCATATCCAACATGTCCGGTTGTGGGTGGTTGTGAGGGTTGGTTATCTGGTCATCATCTGACTCAGAAAAACCCACGTCCAATGACCGGTGGTCATCCCCGGTTTGAAAGTGGACCAGTCTTCAATCTATTGCCATCTCTCAGCCGGTCATGAGCTGACATGACATCTAGGTCTTCAAAGGTGATGTCAATTGTCTTTGCTGTGCATGAGATGAACTCACATTCATCCATGCTTGAACAATCCATCATAGGGTTGTTGTAAGTGCGCTCCTCGCCTCTCAGCTGCAAGGTGTCAAATACTGGCATGCCGGATAATGTCAACCGGTCCATTGTGGTAGTATATAAATTCTTACCTTTGTCCTCACTAGGCACATGTAGATTATGCTTGGCAATGGCTGGACAATCACATCCTTCTTGTTTTCATTTTAATGAAAGGGTTGTATAAATCCGCGGTCTTCATAAGATCACCGGCAGAATAGATGTTCTGCTGCAGCCTGTGACCGGATGGTTTTGTCACAGGTTAGCTAGTGACAATTGATTGCTGATGACGTGTGAACCGCACAATGTGATATTCAGATATAAAAATAGATGCTGACACGAACAATGGACTCGGATATATCCTGGGTCGGGCCGGGTTAGCCGGTTGCCGACATTTTCCCAGGGTGGTTGTTGAACACGTCTCTTCCAGGATTACTTGTCCACTAAGTCTCTACTGCAATCATCTCCCTGCCATGTCTTCTCACTCTACTTCTGCGTCTTCCACTGCCGCTGCCAACCAGGCTCTCATAGCTCTTGTAGCCCGGCTCACTGAGATGGTTGAAGACATTATCTGGTTGCCATCGCAAGAGGAAAAAATGGAGTTGAGCCGGAAGATTGCTCGCGAAGTGGTATGTTTCATTCTCTGTCAGTTGCTTTGATTGATACTATGGTCACACAGAATGACGCGATTCGCGCCTATGGGAAGGAGGCTTCCTATGTCCCCCCTGGCCTGCTGTCACTTGCAGCAGAGATCCTTCGCGCTCAGAGGCGCACCACACAATTGGTGGAAATACCAGATTGGACCTGTCTTGGGCACAATCAGGACATGTGCATGAAGCACCCATTGTACAGTAAGACATTGGGTGATGTACCACCTATTGCGCCTGCAGCTCCTGGTGAGTGTCTTCCTCCTCATCCCACCGGTACTCACACCTAAGACTGCAATAGCAACTGCACCAGGTACCTACACCTGCACCTGCGCCCACACCTGCACCACCACCTGCTCCTGCTCAGTGCCCCGGCACCTGTGCCACATGTCAGCATTCGCATGCCCAGACATGCAGCATCCGGTGAGCCTGCACCGGCAGGGCCGTCGAAAACACGGAAACGTCGACCTCAGTACCAGCCCTCCTTTGCCTCGTGCCAACCGGTCCCAGAAGCCTGTCATCAAGTCGAAGGAGATCTTGTCCGACACTGACACTGACACTGAGAAGGTGAAGGGGAAGGGGAAGGCCAAGGCCAAGGCACCGGAAGTTGACGGCGATGAGGATGACGACTTCATTGATGTCGATGATCTTCCGGACGTCGAGGTAAGTGTTTTTTCTTCGTAAATTCGACATTACTAACGCTGAAAACAGCCCCAGAAATCAACATGCAAGGCTGTCATCCCTGCAAAAAAGCCGGGCACACTGAAGGCAAGTCAGTTGGTTGTGAGTGAGGGCGATGAAGAAGTAGATGAATTGGAGGAGGATGAAGAGGCACAAGGCAGATCAAAGGCAAGTTTTTATTGTTCTTTATATTTGCCAGTCCATCGCTGATCCTGGTACAGGCCACTGTACGACCAGGGAAGCGACAAAAACTGGTAGGATTTGCATGTAACTGCGAAGGTCGAATCCAGACTGACATTATTCCATAGTCCATCCAGTTCCAAGGGCAAGGGCACCAGCAGGAAAGCCAAGGTCCAAGAACAGGTGAGTCTTCCGGTCACTGCTATGTTTTTACCATGCTGATTCCTCATAGCCCCCCACTGACGGTTCTCTGCCGCCTTGTGACAGATGCCGGGCGAAGAAGGTGGAGTGTTGCCCCCGGTTGACGAAGAAAGGCGATGTCGCCTCGACTTGCTCGTTGTGCCACCTCTGGAAGATGGCATGCATCCGGACCAATACAGCGAGCGCCACCATTGCCCCCACCACCAACACTGCACCCCCTGTGGCCGCAGTCACCACTCACTCTAAGACGACCCGGTCCAAAGCCACCGGAAAAAAGATGGGGCAGAAAATCTAATGCAAAAGGCAAGTCTTTTGCTTCCGGTTGCTTTCTATTCTAATGCATGCTTGTAGACAAGACAATCTGGCAACCTAGTCCTATCCAAGAGGAAGACGAGAGTGTCCAGATGCTCGATGGCACTGTGGATGTGACAGGTGCCCAACAACAATCGGCCCCTTTGGCATCTGCAAACGATTTCCCTCCTGATCACTGGATCGAGCCCAACATGACGAGTTGCCACCTCCACCTCCATCACCAGCCATGGCCTCAGAGGACAACATCTGGTTCTCACCATTACCTGTCGTTTACAGCCCGCCCTCCCCTACCACGCCTTCCGGACCCAGTCAATCCACCCGGCACCCCCTTTCTCATGACCAGATGGAGGCCATGTTGGCCCAAATTCGTCTTGAGATGGAGGAACTTCGTACACACGATCAATTGGAAATCGACTTCCGGCAACTTCGCGTGGAGCGTCGAATGGACCTCACAGAGACATCTGACAGCGCCATGTCAGTGCAGATTGATCACATCAAGCAGGATATGCATGCGCAGCGTGCACTCCTCTCTGAGTGCACCGCCGAAGTAAGAGGCATTGTCAGGTACCTCAGGGAGCAGAGATCCGGTCAAGCGACAGCATCAAGTCCACCGGCATTCAATCCACCCCCCATCACAGCTCCCGGCCCATCCATCAGTGCGTTTGCCCGCACTGTGACCAACAATGTCTTCACTCCGGATGTATCTTGGATGGGTGCCCAGACCAGTGGTGATACATTTGGTGACACTGCAGATGGCTCACCGGTCGCAAGGCACAACTGGGTGTCATCCACCCCCACCAACATCCCGCCATTGACAATGAGGGAATCTGGCTCGTCTGTTCCTCCGGTTGGGTCACCACCTGCGCAATCTCCTGATCTCCCAGTCGCCGGGCCATCAAGTGTGCCAGCTGATGCGCAGTCCATCTCAGCTCCTTTGCCACGCCCATGATATGGACCTCTGTCGCACCAAGGTCGATCAGTGAGTGCTAGATATCCACGCAAGCCTTCCGGTGATTGGACACAGTAAGACTAGCACATCATTCATGTTTTTGTATGTACTAGTTGTCTACATTGTGTTGTCAACCTTGCATGCTTTCAATCAATATGATTTGACTTGCATAATATGCATTCAGTAGTAAGAATGTTGCGGGACTGGATGGCACTCTGCCGGCTCATCTGTATAATCCATTTCACCTTCACCTCTATCACACAGCGCACCACCGGCTTAGCCATTTCATTCACTACTTGCCCATCTGTATCATACATTTCATCACCATCCGGCCCGTTTAACACTACCGGCTCATCTGTATCATCCATTTCACCCCATCCGGCTCGTCCGTTTAACACTACCGGCTCATCTGTATCATACATTTCATGTACTACCATCTCATCTGTATCATCCATTTCATCCCCATCAGGCTCATCCATTTCATTCACTACCGGCTCATCTGTATCATCCATTTCATGTACTACCATCTCATCTGTATCATTCATGTCATCCCCATCCGGCTCATCTATTTCATGTACTACCAGCTCATCTGTATCATCCATTTCATGCCCCTCCAGCTCCACCGAGTACACTGAACATTTACACATCGACCTCACGAAGGATGCCTATAGGGCTACCAACCATAAAGACGAGTACACTCAAATGACACTTTGGCTCGAAAGACGGGAGAAGATTCTATGGCACGACAACTTCGTCCAATGGCGTCTCGTTGGTGATCTTGCCCCGCAAGAAATCTTACCTCCAGACATGGATTATCATCGCGCAATCAAGATGACTAAACACCCGACCATTAAGTGTGTCCAGTTGGACCGCATTGTGCGGGAGTATGGCGCCACATTTTTCACTGAAGCTTTGGCTCGTTACGTCGTCGGGAGAAATCAACCTGGTTCAACTGTCAGCAGCACAACTCGAACGAGAGGCCGCTCACATCATTATTCCCTTTGATACTGTGGCTACGTTCCACAGGATCAAATTCAACTCAATCAATGCTCGGGGGATCCAGGACTCGAGTGTCACCGTGGATTCTGTCCATTGTCAACCGTCACAAGAGGACAAGCGAGGGCATATGATCCCTGCGCATTTTGACACAGTTTTGGTCAACGAAGGGGACGGCGGGACAACAGGCGTGGATGGTGCGTTTTGTATGGTGCATTAAACATGTTAGTCGCTAATCTCACTCGATCACTGAAGGTTACCGTGTTGCGCAAGTCCGTGTCGTCTTTACGCTAACAAATCAAGCTTCGAATTTGTTATTCCGCGCTGGACCTGCACAACCACCCACCCACCTTGCCTATGTGGAATGGTTCACTCCATTCCAGCAACCGGAATCACACCATGGGTTGTACAAAGTTGGCCGCTTGATTCGTCATGGAGAAGGTCTGGCAAGCATCATTGACATATCAGATATCCGTAGGAGCATTCATCTTATACCTAATTTCGGCGCAGCGGCACCTCGTGAGTGGACGAGTAGCACTGTTCTGGAGTGCTGTTCCACCTTCTTTGTAAACCCCTTCAGTGACCGACATGCTTATTTAACTCTTGTCTGAACATTCCAATGAAATTTGTTGAAATATCCTTTGAATACAAATAATTTACCGAATTCTCTGTATTTTCATGCGAGTTTGTGGAATTTCATGAATTTCGCGAAGGAGGTTTTCCCTGATGAACCATACCTCAGCGTTGGTGAAAGAACCGCTGAGGTACAAACAATGCGTAACAACGAGATTATAAGCTATCTAATAGAGTCCGTGACAGGAAGGAATACTGAGTCGATGTTGTGCATCCAACACCAACATGGGGAATGCCAGTGGGTTGCAACTTGCAATGTTTGCAAGTCTCACTATAGCATGTACACAAAGTTCTTTCACGCCATCATCCTCAAAGTTCGTACTGCGATAGATTGAATTCTATCCCAATGACGTCAACACATCAGAACACAACATGATATATGGTGGCGGCGGTCTATGAATAACAGTCAAGTTATGCTATATCCTGGGTGAGGTGTTCGGACACAATTGTATTAACTCTTGGATCGATGTCTCCAAGAATTTTGAGGGTCTCATGCTGTTCAGTCGATATCAGCCTGTACCATGGTAGTCAAAAATGAGCAGGCACGTACCCACAAACGCTTCGAAACCTCTCTTCCTTCCGCGCTGAGAGCATAATCGCTCTCTTCGGTAACTTCGCAGCTCGACAGGTAGTGGCCATGCCGTTCCCTCTCACCTGGCTCAATTGCCGCATGGACAAGTGTCCGACTGCCCATCTCGGTCGTGCGTGCCAGTACCCCTTTGTAAATGCTCACGGCAAACTTGAAGATAGGGTCCCAATTCGATTTCTCGTGTAAGACGGGAGTGACAAAAACCGGGATTAACTGCCGAAACAGCGACCAAAGTTGGTGTGGGAAGTCGAGAGGACAGCTCACGGATGAACATCACTTCGAGGACTGCGCATAATGCTGTGGTGAACATAATAATGCATGTACTCCATTACTCACGCTTGGATAGGTGATAGCGATTCATCATTACGCTGCTGCATGTTATTACTGCTGCAGAAAAAGACGTTAATGAAACTTGCCTAGAGGTACAATACGCCTCATCATTGATTGTTTCGATGATACTAGACCATTTGTCTGCTCCTTTTAGTCTGTTGGCCATATAATGAACCTCGCTAGACACAATAACCAGTCTCGAGGCACGTTCAGGAGTCCCCGTCTCGATGAGGTGAGGCAGCATCAATATGCTCAACAGAGCAGTCGACAGGTAATTCACTTGAAATCTATGAAAATTCTCGAGGCAAGACAACGGTGATAATAGCAAAGTACTCACGTAGTTTCGTAGCCATCCGGTGTTTTCGCGTACTGCATTGTCGATATGCCAGCGTTGGCGATAAGAACATTGGCTGTGTATCCCTTCGTTTCAAAATTGTCCACGAAAGAGCGCACTGAATCGAATGAGCTTAGCTCAAGAGGCCAGGATTCGATACCAGTCATGCCAGACCGAGTCTCCACGTCTATACAGGTCATAAAGTCTCCTGATAACCTTCAGTGGGTCCATGCATACCTGTTTTTGATAGTTCGCACTTGACTTCGTCCCTGTTGGTGATCAACAGGGTCTTAGGTTTCAGCTGGGCTAAATGCACAGCAGCTTCGTTTCCAAGCCCGACATTAGTACCAACCACGACCAACGACTGGCCGCTGACGTCCGCGGTGGAGATCGGGAGCTCTGTCCATTGCTCGCGAAGAAACTCGAACACGGTGAACTTGCCCATTATGTCCTAGCTGTGCAACTTCAAGCTGGGGGGTATGGTGAGTGTTTGGTGAGAGTTCGGTTTCTCGCGGGTATCACCTTGCCCACAAGGTCAATTATTAATAGGGGCATCGTGAAAATGCTGCGCTACTGCTGCGACTGCTGCGGCAACTGCCGCGACCACATCTTTGACGACAATAGCGACGACAAAGATCTACCAAAATACATGAACAAGCTGTTTCAAGCGCTTGCTGTAAACGTTGGATAGATTGAATTCTATCCCACTGACGTCCACAAATCAGGACACAACACGATATATGGTAGCGGCCTATGAATAACAGGTAAGTTATGCTATATCCTGGGTAAGGTGTTCGGACACGATTGTATTAACTCTTGGATCGATGTCTCCAAGGATTTTGAGGGTCTCATACTGTTTATCTGATATTAGCCTGCACCATGGTAGTCAAAAATGAGCAGGTGCGTACCCACAAACGCATTGAAACCTCCCTTCCTTCCGCACTGAGTGCATAATCGCTCACTTCGGTGACTTCACAGTTCGACAGGTAGTGACCATGCCGTTCCCTCTCACCTGGCTCGATTGCCGCATGAACAAGTGTCCGACTGCCCATCTCAGCCGTGCGTGCCAATAGCCCTTTGAAAATGCTCATGGTAAACTTGAGGAAAGGATTCGAATCGACTTCTCGCGCAAGACGAGAGTGACAAAAACCGGGATTGACCGCCGAAACAGTGACCAGGGTTGGTATGGGAAGTCGAGAAGACAGCTCACGGATGAACATCACTTCGAGGACTGCGCATAACGGTGTGCTGAGCATAATAATGCATGCACTCGATCAACTCACGCTTGGATAGGTGGTAGCGATTCTTCATTATGCTGATGTATGTTATTATTGCTGCAGGAAAAGACGCAATGAAACTTGCCTAGAGGTACAATATGCCTCATCATTGATTGTTTCGATGATACTAGACCATTTGTCTGCTCCTTTTAGTCTGTCGGCTATATAGTGAGCCATGCTAGACACGACAACTAGTCTAGAGGCATGTTCAGGAGTCCCCGTCTTGATGAGGTGAGGCAGCATCAATATGCTCAACAGAGCGGTCGACAGGTAATTCACTTGAAATCTATGAAAATTCTCCAGGTAAGATAACGGTGATAGTAGGAAAGTACTCACGTAGTTTCGTAACCATCCGGTGTTTTCGCGTACTTCATCGTCGATAGGCCAGCGTTGGCGATAAGAACATTGGCTGTGTGTCCCTTCGCTTCAAAATTGTCCACGAAAGAACGCACTGAATCGAATGAACTTAGCTCAAGAGGCCAGGATTCGATACCAGTCATGCCAGACCGAGTCTCCACGTCTATACAGGTCATAAAGTCTCCTGATAACCTTCAGTGGGTCCATGCATACCTGTTTTTGATAGTTCGCACTTGACTTCGTCTCTGCTGGTGATCAACAGGGTCTTAGGTTTCAGCTGGGCTAAATGCACAGCAGCTTCATTTCCAAGCCCGACATTAGCACCGACTACGACCAGCGACTGGTCGCTGACGTCCGCAGTAGAGATTGGGAGCTCTGTCCATTGCTCGTGAAGAAACCCGAACACGGTGAGCTTGCCCATTATGCCCTGGCTGGGCAACTTCAGGCTGGGGGGCGAGTGTCAGAAGCCTATTCAGGGTAAAATAGATTATCACCAATCAGATCTGACTCGGGTCAAACAGGACCAGACACACCGCGACCATCGGGCACGGTGTACACTACATCATACATGCTACACCAAGTGAGAGCGGAAAGGGCCTAGACCAGAAGCCGAACACAGCGGAACTTCCGGAATCGGTTAACGCCGGTCGGGTTCTTCATAACCGACTGCCTCAACAGTTATGAACGAATAAACACAGTGGGAGGCACACAGTACATGGAAGTGCCGAGGCGGATCACTCAGAACGAAGTTCGGCATGAGACGCGAAAGTGTGGAGGAGAAGGGTTGGGGAAAAGGAAGTGCAGAATTCATGACTCAACGAGCATCTGCAAAACGCGGAGTCTCAATTGTGTAAAGAGTAGTACTAGTGACGGGGTATCATTAAGGTATCAACAGAAAAGACGATTCATGACATGGTCGTGAAAGAAAACTGCGCGGTAAGCCGCAGGGCGTCTACATACATGTACAACGGCTGGAGGAAACGCAAAGATGAGAGGAAACAATTCTAGACTCGACCCTTGTCACTCAATGAGGACATTTCTAATTCAAGAAACTTGGTCAAAGGCAAATCAAAGGTACCCCGCTTGCTCGACAAGCACGTCGTCCTAGTAGACGCAACCAGCGTCCCAATGTCATGGGCTCTTCAGGAGACTGTCCGAAGTTGGGCTGCAGAAAAGATATTAATAAATGACTGAGAAAACAACATTGTAAATTCGCAAACTGACATAGCTGATTAATGCATCAGGAACGTCTGCAGGACTGTGGTGGGGACAATAGTGATCGTCCGTGAACATGGAAGACCTATGCTCTGAGGCGTCGTGACTGGAACAATTAGAATGACCAGAATTGAAGGAATTCAAGCGTGGTAGCCATGACGGTTCTGTAATGCCACTGTAGTGCCTGACAGACCTGTCGGGTGGCTATTGCACATAAGTCATCGACGGGTATCAAGTGTGGCTATGGTGCTCACGAGTTGTGTCGCAGCAGTCAGAGCCAGAATATCAGGATCTTCGCAGTCGGCCCAACTGAACTGCTGTCTCTGGAAATGTGGCATTTTTTCTGTGGGTAAGGGTTAGCAGGGGGTGAAATTTAGGACTGAGGTGTACAAGAAGTAGAGCAGGGTGCAAATCGCGGACTGAAGGTCAATTATCCTGAGAGCCTCGAGCTTTCCTCGCGGCAGACCACGAGATAGCGGACAGCCGACATCCAGGAGCTGTGTCGATCGTCAGAGATTCATAGAAGATGATCCACACTGCCACTTCGGCTCCTGAACGCTTATTAGGGAATGTGGATATGCTCTGCTTTGGAAGAACACAGCATTGAGTAATACAAAGCCTCACAACCTGAGATTGTCAATATAAACGAACGTGGTACACAACCTAATATTTGCTCAGTATCGATGCATAGCGCCATTGATCAATACTAGGTCGTCAACGTGCTCGCAGGTGCTCATCAACGATACGCTGAACCCTGGAATCGACTTTGTTTAAGACGTCAATCGTTTCCAACTGAATAGTTATGATGATGAATGAGGTCCACAACGGTCAGATCAAATAGAGTAATACCTACCCACACGCGTCTAGAAACCTCTCTTCCTTCCGTACTGAGCACATAATCGCTCTCCTCCTTCGGCTCACAGCAAGACAGATAACGACCATGTCGCCCTATCTCACCCGGTTCAACGGCAGGGTGGACAAGCGTTCGGCTCCCCATTTCCGTGGTACGAGCGAGCAAGGTCTTCATGGTTGCGACACCCAATCTCATGAAGGGATTTGTTTCGGTAGAACGGGTTAAGCGGGAATGACAAAACCCAGGATTTACAGCTGAGACTGCTACAGGTGTTGATGCAGGTAGTCGGGAGCTGAGTTCACGTACAAACATCACTTCTAGCACTTGAATCGGACAAAGGATCAGTAATAATAGTAAATGAGACGTGCAACTCGGCTCTCACGTTTTGAGAGGTTGTACCTATCGCTCATTACCCTATCTCATTGTCAGTTAAGGAAAGAGGTATGATTTATAGGTCCCTACGAGGAGGTGCAGTAGTCTAAGTCATCAAGTTTCTCCAGAATGCTCGGCCATCGGCCAGCTCCTGAAAGTTTGTTCGCGAGGTAATGGAGCTCGCTTGAAACAATGACAAGTCTCGATGCAGACTGAGGTGTCGAGGTCTCAATGAGATGAGGTAGCATGAGGATGCTCAATAACGCTGTTGATAAGTAATTCACTTGAAGCCTGTACACGAAATGTTTAGGGAGCTACAGGATAGACTGAAAAGATCACTGTACGTCGTCTCCCAGCCATCCACAGTCTTTGAGTATCGCGTAGTTTGCATCCCAGCATTAGCAATTAGGGCGTTTACCTGAAAGCCATCCTCTTCAAATTGGTTCACGAATTGGACTACCGACTTGAATGAGCCGAGCTCTAAGGGTTGTGCATCGATCGCACTGATGCTTGCTCGCTGTTGGATATCTTTTCCTGTGTCAGGGCGTGACGTAGACCATCTTTGCAAACACCACGCGCACCTATTATTGTTTGCTGGCACTTTGCGACATCTCTGGCGGTGACGAGTAAGTGCTTGGGCCGAAGTTGGGCCAAGTGCACAGACGCCTCAAAGCCCAGGCCCACATTCGCCCCTACTACGAGGATTGACTTTTCACTGATATCCGCAGAGGCTACGGGAAGCTCTTGGCGCTGTTCGCAAAGGAATTCTGATACGATGAATTTGCCCATGGTGAAAGCGTGGGCCTTGAAGTGGGAATGTAAGATTTCTAACGAGCCCCGCGTTTTATGTATGGGATACTAGTAGAGGGCATTCAACTTGATGCTCTTGCCGTAGAAACACATCATGTGCGGCAAAACATCAGAATGATGAGCTCCAGTTCCCGTGCTATAATCGTGCCGTAGAAACACATCAGCCACGGCAAAACCTGATTGATTCAGTATGTCAGAATATTGATGAGCGGCACTGTGGCCGCGCTGCACCGTCATGATCATGATCGCGGCCAAATTGAACGTAAGTAGTACACGTCCTGGTCCATGAGTCATGGCACAAAACCAAATAGCAATAAACTTTGCGATAAGATAAGATTAGATAAATTGATCTGGAAATTTTGCTGCAACTGAGTGATTGGATCATCAGATCTACTTCGACAACTTGCGCTTGTCCAAGTTCAGTTGAGAAATTTAGCTGACTGCGGTGAGATGAAAAGCCAGTACAGTAAAATTTATGCAGCGCTGACATCACGCAGGCATGCTCGTTCTCTCAGGCTCGTCTGCACTCTCCTTGTCGAAGCGCCAGGCACTTCTCCAGCACATCAAAACCATCAAATCAGACGTAATCTCCGTTGATGCAGTCTACATCCACCTCGTCAAGTCCCCGAGCCAATCGCTGCAGGATGAACTAGCCAACAAAGCATCATCACAAAGACAAGCTATTGATCTATTGCTGGACTACGGCGATGACATTAGACTTCCATCGACATCTGAAGCGCTTCACTCCGGACACAATGTCTTCTACGTTCTACCAAGAGCCGGTTCTATATCACCGTGGTCCAGCAAAGCGACTGACATCGCTGGCATATGCAACTTATCACAGCATATAGATCGTCTCGAACGCGGGGTCGCGTTCGTCTTTCAGCTGGTAAACAATGAAGATCTCAGGAAGGAAGAGTTGACTGCGCTGTCCCATTTGCTTCACGATCGTATGACGCAGAGCGTTCATATGTCTCTACCTCACGAGGGCGTGGTCTTTCAACATCACTCCCCAAGCCCCTTGCGGATTGTAGAGTTGAGAGGTGAAGAAGAGGAAGTTGATGCTGGTGCTGCACGCGAGAAGCTTTCGACCGCGAATAAAGCACTAGGACTCGCGCTTGCAGCAGACGAAATTGATTACTTGGTGGAAGCATTTGTATCTGGATCGTCACCAATCAACCGTAATCCCACCGACGCGGAGCTGTTCATGTTTGCCCAAGTGAACTCGGAGCATTGCAGGCACAAAATATTTAACGCATCGTGGACGATAGACGAGACGCTTCTCGACTGGTCACTTTTCCAGATGATCAGGAATACAGAAAAAATCAGTCCGCTAGGAACAATCTCCGCATATTCTGACAATGCAGCTGTCCTTGAAGGCGCACAAGCTCCTCGATTCGGCGTACATAGTCCTTCTACCGAGCATATTTATCAAGCTTCCGTCGAGAACATGCCAATTCTCATCAAAGTCGAGACACACAACCACCCCACTGCGGTCTCTCCTTATCCAGGAGCGGCTACAGGCTCAGGAGGGGAGATTCGAGATGAGGGAGCAGTAGGCCGAGGATCGAAACCCAAGGCCGGACTAGCTGGCTTCACTGTCTCAAACCTTCTCATACCAGGCTATGAGCAGCCTTGGGAGACGGACTTTGGCCGACCCTCACACATCGCGTCAGCCCTCGACATCATGATTGAAGGCCCTCTAGGCGCGAGTGCCTTCAACAATGAGTTCGGTCGTCCAGCACTTTCAGGCTACTTCCGTACATTCTCTGAATCTGTCCCTGCCTCAGAGGACGGATCAAAACAGGAGGTCAGAGGCTATCACAAACCAATCATGATCGCCGGTGGATACGGGAATGTCCGTCCACAGTTCGCGTTGAAAACGCGGATTTCCCCAGGGGCGAAGATTATTGTCCTAGGTGGCCCAGGTATGCTCATCGGTTTGGGTGGTGGCGCAGCATCTAGTCAGGTGTCTGGTGTCAGCTCCGCGGAATTAGATTTTGCGTCTGTCCAGAGAGAGAACGCAGAGATGCAGAGGAGATGCCAGCAAGTTATCGATGCTTGCGTTGGCTTGGGTGAGGGTAATCCTATCCAGAGCATCCATGATGTGGGCGCTGGAGGACTGTCCAATGCACTTCCAGAGCTGGTACACGACTCAGGACTCGGTGCGAAGTTTGAGATCAGGGACGTACTTGTCGCGGACAGCTCTATGTCTCCCATGGAGATATGGTGCAATGAAAGTCAGGAACGCTATGTCCTCGCTGTGTCGGCAGAAAAGGCCAGCGAGTTCGAAAGAATAGCCCAAAGGGAACGTTGTCCATTCTCCATTGTCGGCGTTGCTACACAGGAAGAAGAACTCATCGTCACCGACCGCCTCCTTTTGCAAGACGTCATTCACCTTAAAATGTCGACGCTTTTCGGGAAGCCCCCTCGCATGTTGCGCAAGGATACCACGCGAAAGATTGGTTTCACGAATTTCGATACTTCCCTTTTCAAATATCTTCCGAACTCTTCCACCTTGTCCGACCGCTTGTCTCTCGCAGTGGACCGCGTTCTTCATCTTCCATCAGTAGGGTCGAAGTCTTTCCTCATCACTATTGGAGACAGAACCATCACGGGCTTGGTGACCCGCGACCAAATGGTCGGACCGTGGCAGGTCCCAGTCGCTGACGTTGCCGTTACTCGGTCATCATATGGCTTTGATGTCCTGAGTGGTGAAGCCATGGCAATGGGTGAACGAACCCCTGTAGCTCTGCTAAATCCATCTGCATCCGCTCGGATGGCTATCGCCGAGGCGCTCACCAACCTGGCTGCAGCTTCCGTCTCCAGCCTTTCCCGCGTCAAGCTCAGTGCAAACTGGATGTGTGCTGCTTCTAAGGAAGGCGAAGGTGCAGGATTGTATGCCGCTGTGGCCGCTGTCGGTATGGAACTTTGTCCTGCGCTGGGCGTCGGCATCCCTGTCGGCAAGGATTCGATGTCAATGTCGATGAAGTGGAAGCAAGGAGAGGAGCAGCGTGAAGTTAGTGCACCATTGTCTCTCATTGTCACGGCGTTCGCGCCGGTGAACAATGTCGATCGAACATGGACGCCTCAGCTACGTACAGATCTGAAAGAAACGACCGTGCTCGTCTTCTTCGATCTTGCCCATGGCAAGACGCGCATGGGTGGATCGGCGCTTGCGCAGGTTTTCAAGGAGATTGGGTCAGAGGCGCCAGACGTCGAGAACCCTCTTACACTCCGAACGTTCTTCGATGGGTGCCAGAAGATTAAGGAGAGTCAACCTGACTTAGTCCTTGCATATCACGATCGCTCGGATGGGGGGCTCTTCACAACTTTGGTGGAGATGTGTTTCGCTGGTCGGGTAGGGGCTGTAATTTCCCTTGACACTCTCCAGAGTGCTTCTGACCCTGTGACGACCCTGTTCAACGAGGAGTTGGGAGCTGTCGTTCAAGTACGCGAGCCTCACCTGGGTAAGCTCATGAGCGAGTTTGTCGACGTCGGCTTCCCTTCCACATCCATCCACGTCATTGGGCGCGTCAACACCGACCCTTCTGACCAATTATTCGCTATCAATCATGAATCCAAGGTGCTATTTTCGAGCACACGTCAGGAGCTTCAACAAGCCTGGGCCGACACTTCGTACCGTATGCAATCTCTGCGTGACAACCCTATCGGAGCACAGCAGGAATTTGACCTCATCAAGGATCACACTCACAGGGGTTTATTCTATGACCTCACATTTGAGTACACACCATCACCCTTACGAAGTCTCTCATCGCGGCCGAAGGTTGCCATCTTGCGTGAGCAAGGTGTCAACGGACATGTGGAAATGGCTTGGGCATTTACGGCGGCAGGTTTTGATGCCGTGGACGTTCACATGTCTGACATTCTCTCTGGAGAACTGTCACTTTCGCGCTTCCGCGGGCTAGCAGCTTGCGGTGGCTTTTCCTACGGAGACGTGCTTGGTGCTGGGAAAGGCTGGGCTCACTCAGTACTTTTGAACGACATAGCGAGGAAGGAGTTTACCCACTTCTTCGCAGATAAAAATACGTTCACTCTCGGCGTCTGCAATGGTTGCCAATGGCTCAGTCATTTGAGAGAGATCATTCCTGGCGCAGACCACTGGCCCGACTTCAAGCAAAATGCCTCTGAACGCTTCGAGGGCCGTGTATCCATGGTCGAAGTCACTTCTAACGAGGTGACGAAGGCCTCCGTCTTCTTGCGAGACATGGTTGGGTCAAAGCTTCCTGTTGCTGTTGCTCACGGAGAAGGAAGGGTGTCATTTTCGGACGATGCCCAGAGAGAAGCCCTGCAGAAATCAGGCCTCATCGCACTGCAATACGTCAATTCTGCAGGTGAACCCACGGAAGTTTATCCATTGAACCCGAATGGCAGTCCTGACGGGATTACTGGAGTGCAGACCATTGACGGCAGAATAATGGGTCTTATGCCGCATCCAGAACGCGTTATAGCACTGGAGAGTTGCAGCTGGTATCCACCCGCGTTTGGGGACTCCTGGGACGGCTCAAGTCCATGGTTCAGGCTTTTCCAGAGTGCTCGTGCCTGGGTGAATTAGAGGGTGAGCATGATCTCATGATGTGGTTAATGTCAGATGTTTATATTTTGTCATACAGAGCACAGAAGTGCACATACTAAAGTGAAATCGAATTATTGAGAGAATAGATTGTATCATGATAAAATATGGTTGTAGCTGGTCCGGTCGTATACAAATATCTCAAATTATCATATCAAGCTGTGACAAGTGACTCAGTTGTGACCAGTTGTGACAGCTGCGTGGGTGACAATGTGGTGTTCACACTGAGACTTGCACCAACGTTAACAACGACATGACAACTGTGTCGCCATTCGCTCGCAGCAGCGCGTTCGACGAGCCCCGCATCAGCGGGCGCGAGCAGACCGTAAGCCCATCTCGCTTTTATCATCCCATTTCTGCTGCATAAACACAAGCAAGCGCTTCCCAGATTGAAGAAATGTACAGTGTCCCTGAGAGCTTCTTAGAAATTGAAGTTCGCAATCCTCAAACACACGGTGAGCGATACAAAATTTGCGCGGTGGGATTCTACCTCCTTACCATTGAATAATAGGCTTTGGTAGAAAAATGTATACCGACTACGAGATCGTGTGCAAGGTGATATATACTGCTACTTCGGCTTTCTGATCAGCCGAATGCTCATCTTCCGCTATCTTCACGTTCCATAGACAAACATTCCTGCATTTAAACTGCGCCATTCCCTCGTCCGGCGCCGTTATTCTGACTTCGAGGCGTTCCGCGATATTTTGGAGCGCGAATCCACCCGCGTCAACATCCCTCCACTCCCTGGCAAAGTCTTCACCAACAGATTCTCCGACGAAGTCATCGAGAGTCGGAGGGAGGGGCTGGAACGATTCTTAAGCATCGTTGCTGGTCACCCACTTCTGCAGGTAAGCGACTAGATAAGATACACCGTGCAAATAATCTGACAGCCTTTTCAGACCGGTAGCAAGGTTCTCTGCGCATTTATGCAGGATCCGGCCTGGGAGAAGTCTCAATGGGTGTAACCCACCTACGTCATAATTGTAATGATCACCTCGGAAGACAACCTTGACATACGTTATGTACCCCTTCTGCCACAGTCTCTTCTTGTATATTTTACGCTGTTTGTTTTATGCGCTGCCTCGCTATAGATTCAATTTTTATCTGCCGATCACTCAGCGTAGAATGAAAGGACTACATCTGATGATGCTCGTGAACAACAATATCTAATACAGATCTACCAAAAATGTTCAGCGCGCGAATCAGAACTTCAGAAGTCGAATCACTTACCGCAGATCCATGGAGAAACCCGTTTCAATATCCGTGAGACTAAGAATCTCAACCGAATGTACACCAGGAGTCATTGCAAGGAAGTCCATTCTGACTGACTGGCAGGTAGATGGACGCAGCGGCCTGTAATTTCAAGAAACATCATTAAACAACAGCACAACAAATCACCCAGAAATGCTACATACCCGACTCGCACGCGGTTTTGCAACGGAAGTATTCCAGGAGGCGTCATCACACTCTTTAATTCCTCGATAGTCGTCTTGCCACCCCGCAAAGCTTTCTCCTGCTCAATCTTCCGTCTACGTCTACGATCTGGATCCGGGCAACTGATTTCGAACCTTCTGGTCCATGAGCTCTGATTGAACACGAAGATATCAAGCGTGAACTGATCGCATGGATATAATTTCCTAGATGCAGCGGAACCTGAAGGAGGTGGGAGCAAGCCAACAGAGACGATGATGGGCTCTCCACCAGTAACTGGGGGATCTCGAGCGGGATCGAATGTACCGCCGACGATGGTTGGTCCAGGAGTTTGCGGTATAACTGCCGTCATTCCGAGACCACGCTCCCTGCGGATTTCGACACTCGGCCCAGAGGCTCCTTGATGGTTACTCAGTGGCGTTTGGAAGCGAGACGTTGCTGGAGCAGTAGCTAGAGGGAATGCAGGGTACGCAGGAGTTGGCGGCGTCACAAGCGTTTGAGACTCTGATGGGCCATATGGACCGCCGTTGGGTATACTGACGCCTAATAGGGGCGTGGTTGGTGGAACCCCAAATGTAGTGGACGGAGACTTTAAGAAATTTTGCACAGTAACAGAGGGAGGAGTGTATTGTTTGTTAGAGAGGGTGGGTGAGGCGGAAGATTGGTCGCGATATGGTATCGGGCGGAAGTTAGCATTCGGGTTGATCGCACGTATAGCCGTGATATTGTTGGGAAGGGTATGTCGTTTGTTCCCAGTAACAGATTGCACTTTCGGGATCGCGGATGCCAGAGCCGCTTGCCCCGGAAAGGGAGACGCAGGCTCTGGTAACACACTACGAGCGCCACCAGAAGGGTCTGAAATGTCAAGAGGTTCTTCCGGTGGTTTCGAAGAAAGATCCAGGATACAGTTCCACCGAGAGGAAAATGTATGTGTTGGGTAGGTCAGGGTAGGACAATCATTGTCCTCAGAGTTATGCTCACTGCCTGCCTTCGACAAATAAGGTTTGCCATAGATATTGATCGCGACCGCTCGCTGCAGATCTGAGTTTGCAAAGGCAGCACCAGACCGCCGACCGACCAGCGAGAAATCTGAGTCTGCAGAAGGCTTGAGGAATGAAACAGCGTATAATAAATTGTACTGTTCCATGGACCCGATCAGAAGTGGGAAGGTGTGCATCTCCACCTCAGCCTCAAAAGCACCCTCTCCCCAACCAATCAGTTTGGCGGATGCACCTTCGCCACCGATTTTTACATCTACCCTTTCCACTGAAAAACCAACACCTGAGCCTGATTCTCCAGAGTTCTCGACTTCAACACAGAGAACAACGGTACGTTCGTTATTCCCTGCTTCTCGTTCCTGCGCATCGCTATCATCGTCATTAAGGCCAGTCCCTGAATTCATCTCCGGAAGGAGGATGTGGGGAATAAAAACAGTTCGCATCCGCACCCGAAAGCCAGAGACTGTCTGGAGAATTTTGCGAAATGATTTCCGTAAAGTGGCATGAGGTGGACGCTTAGGACTTGACGCAAGTTGTTGGGCAGATGAAGGTTGCACAGGTAGGAGAGAGAATAACTCTCGACGGGTGACATCTCCCAGGCGAGTGGATGGAAGCCAGAGTGGTTCCGAGCCGGGCGTAACGTTGGATCCTAAATGATACGTAAGTGATCCTGCAACATTGGCATGGTATGAAAGACTACCAGCTGAAAGACCATCTAGTAGATTGACTTCCTCAAGTCCAATCTGATCATTCTCCCCGACATCATTTATCTCCTGGTTCTGTTGCTTCGAGAATGAAGTTATGCCAGAGGCAGAAAGCTTGGCAAGAATGCCGCTTTCCGACAGAAATATGACAAATGGATGGTTTGTTTGTGACAGTGAAACCGCCTTCTCTCGTAATGTAGTTGACACGGTCAAGGACAGCAGAGGGTCCAAAAACGAGAGGCGAAGAAACGCTAGAAGGGTGTTTAGGAGAAGTGCAGAGACATTACTTGCGCAAACTCACACACGGTCAAGGAGAGTTCATATACAGCCAACCAAGCCCTCTTTGCCTCTGAATACGAAAGAGAGAACTTCTCTTTGGACAAATCCGCGGGCCTGTGACCCCATATACTGGCAAGAAGAAGAGTTCCTTCAGATTGTGCGTACTTGCGGTCCTTCTCCGTAGACGACGGTGTAGGATTTGGTGTATGAGGAGGGAACAAGGAAGGACGAAGTGATGTAGTCCGAGGTTTAGCTATAGATGAGGTGCGTGGTGGAGTAAGGACTCGGGCAGTCTGGGGAGTTTCAGGGAGAGTTGTGGGCGTTTGCGAGATATAAGTAGCTTCAAGCGAAACCTGCACATGGGCAAGGAAATCAAGAACGAATGTAGGTGGATCATTTGGATCAACGTCCGCAGATGGACAGGGTATTTGTGCAATCAAGAAAAGGTGTAGTTGCTCATCTGGATCGACCATTTGATGAGCATCAAGACTGACATGTTCGATAAAATTTTGTACCTTACCGAAGAACGCTTGTCTTCTTTCAATACCAGACGATTTGAGCGCGACTAACCAATCATCGGCAGCTCCTGGTTCGGGAAATTTTATAGAGGTATCTGGGGCTATCACTTCCAGAGTACATGACCCAAAGAGATCCTCGAAGCTGGGCACGGACATGACAACGTCACGTCCAGCGGTCTAGGTAGACCTTTGCTGGTATGAGCGACAATGTTTAGGTCTAGGTTAAAAGTTGAACCATACTAGTGTGCTTTATGAAAACCAGTGAGGCAATAAATGAGTACGGAATAACAGTGAGACCTTTGTTTGTGTCTGTAGCTGACAACTCTCCGAAGAGCAGCATCATCACATGTAACAATACATAGACGATTTGATAGTCAAACGTTGGTTTCTTGATCATGCAGTTCCCTGCGCCCGACCTGGTTTCTTCCCATCGTCTGCTTCTGATAACAGATCAACTTCCAGCTCCAGCTGACTTTTTACTGCATCGATTCCTTCACTTGCACCTGAAGCAAAGCAAAACTGCAAAATGTATTGTTCTCGCTGTATCCGAAAGCCTCGAGCGCTGGAAATCAGTAGCTTCAAAGGCCGTACGTCTAGTCTTCGCCATCGCGTTTGTCTAGTAGTAAATGACTTCCCCACAGAACACCAATGTAGCCCATAGCGAATCTTTTCAATTCATAGATGTTTTCGACCAGCATCCACCATCACAAAATCGTGGAGAGGGACATACGAATAAAATCTCTCTAAAGTACATCTACGATCTACTATCAGTCAAGTTGTCAGACTCTCGAACCAATGGTCAAATCCCACTCGTAATCCTGGATGACATCACATCGCTGGAATGGCTCGGAGTTTCGCTGCTTGACCTGTCCCGGTTTGCTCGTGCTCTAAGGACCCTCTGCGTCAAGGTAAGACAATATTAAATTCGAGCAATTACTGCCTTTACAACTAAAACGTAGATGGACGCAGCATTAGTCGTCAGACATCACATCGTTACTCCACCAGAGCCAGATGCACTCTTGCAGCACTTGCTTCAGCTATGCACCTATCACATCGAGGTCAGGCCTTTAGCCAGTGGGCGAAGCGGTGCAGTGAGCGGAGAGGTGCGTTCTGTTTTGTTACTCTTGATGAATCAGAACTCATAAAACCATCAAGATATGCGTGCACCTAGGGCCTAGCATGAAAGATACGAATGAACATGTCATATCTCGTACGTCGGCGCTGCAATATCGTTTGACGGAGTCAAGTGCTGTGTTCTTCGATAAGGGTACAAGTACAGGAGTTCTGTAAACGTTGTGACATGATGGTATGCGCGATTAATGAGGTCGCAGCATACTTGTCGAAGCTGTGGGGACAAAGAGGCGGTGTGCGTAGGCACTTCTGAGAATGAGAACGCCAATACAGAAAGATTCACCATAGGTTGAAGAAAAGTACAGCGTACGCTTACTACATATACTCTTTGAATAATCCGTGTCCAGCTTACCAATTCAACTATTCAGTGTGTGCAGTGGGTTGAGCCAATGTTGAGCCCACCTGTTTTTTCCTAGGGTCGTGAGCTGGCTGGACCACGCCACGGGTCCTGACCATCATAGGAACACCCCGGGAAGATGAACGCTCACCTTCCCGTCGTCGGTGAACACAATGGAAGTTGAAGGTGATGCTTCTAGTTATTTTTCCATGGCCCCAAGCGATCCGACTCAACGGTTTTTCAGCTCCTGGATCAACTACAGCACCGCACGTAGCAAACTACGAACATCGATCAAGAAGTTGAACGAAAACCCAACAAATCTCCCAAGAGCGCAGAAAGAACAAGACGATGCTAAAGAGATTTTTGATAGAACTCATGGATGACCACTCGTATCAGAACTCGTGCAGCTCTTGGATCTGTGCATACCATGTGGATCCAGGTCTGGTACATTGTCCGCAAAATACTTGATCACATCATCAGCCAGATATAGATCCGACCCTTCTCAAAAAGCAAAACTGACCTCTACAGCCTCGAAACTACTTGGGCTTCACAAACAACTTATTCCACGACTACACAGCGATTTCGCACGGCATGATATGACTTTCCTCCTGCAAGCAATCGGGTAAGGTGTCACTTAGAGTCCTGTTGGCGCCAGTAGCGTGTCATCGGGAGTCTCACGATGGCCTCCCGGCGAGTTCAAGTTGCTGTGTGGGGCATAAGCACAGCTGAGTGCTGAAGTTCTCATAGTTTGATGACTCACTTTCACATGAATCCCACAGGGCTTGTGCTGGACTATCATATTGTCCTGTACTCGGATCTTGCAAGACGGTTCTGAAGACAGTCATCCCTCGTCGTTTTCAAGTCAGGACCTGGGATTCATCGTATCGTTTTGCTCGGAGGTGACTATTCGAATTTCTGCTTGATCCGTGCGTACTATTCGCCCTGGTTATCCTTGATTTTGCACTGACGCTCAACAGTGAGCTGAGGCATTTGCAATTACGTCTTGTTCACCCTGTGCCGCTCATTCAACACTTTGATGCCCCCTGCGTTCTGTACCATCTTCAATTAGCTGTATATTTCACTACAACAACATGACAGACAGTGTGGAACGGTGAGGAGCGGTCTTTTCCATGTTTCTAAACAACCTTGCTGACGGCTTTCGTGACAGATTCGAGCAGCAGGACGCGCTGTCTGATTTGGATGAGGCCATTGAGATCGATCGAGCTGCACTCGCACTCTGTCCCCAAGGCCATCCTGATCAATCCATGTCTCTCTACAACCTTGCCATCAGCCTCCATGACAGATTCAGACAACAGGACGCGCTACCTGACTTGGATGAGGCCATCGAGCTCCACCGAGCTGCACTCGCGCTCCGTCCCTCTGACCATCCTCGTCGATCCATGTCTCTTAGCGACCTTGCCAACACCCTTCATGACAGATTCAAGCGTCAGGGCGCGCTACCCGACTTGGATGAGGCCATCGAACACTATCGAGCTGCACTCGCGCTCCGTCCCTCTGGCCATCCTCGTCAAGCCATGTCTCTCAACGACCTTGCCGACGGCCTTCGTGACAGATTCGAGCGGCAGGACGCGCTGTCTGACTTAGATGAAGCCATCGAGCTCCATCGAGCTGCACTCGCGCTTCGTCTCTCTGGCCATCCTCTTCGAGACATGTCTCTCAACGACCTTGCCAACATCCTTCATGACAGATTCAAGCATCAAGGCGCGCTACCTGACCTGGATGAAGCCATCGAGCTCCATCGGGCTGCACTCGCGCTCCGTCCCTCTGGCCATCCTCGTCGATCCATGTCTCTCAACGATCTTGCCAACACCCTTCATGACAGATACAAGCATCAGGGTGCGCCACCTGACTTGGATGAGGCCATCGAGCTCGATCGAGCTGCACTCGCACTCTGTCCCTCGGGCCATCCTCGTCGAGCCATATCTCTCAACAACCTCGCCATTAGCCTCCATGGCAGATCCAAGAAACTGGGCGCACTGTCTGACCTGGATGAAGCCATCGAGCTCCATCGAGCTGCACTCGTGCTCTGTCCCAAAGGCCATCCTGATCGATCCATGTCCCTCAACGACCTTGCCAACAGCCTTCGAGTCAGATTCGAGCAACGGGGGGCGCTGTCTGACCTGGATGAGGCCATTGAGCTCCATCTAGCTGCACTCGCACTCCGTCTCCCTGGCCATCCTGATCGAGCCATGTCTCTCAACAACCTTGCCATCAGCCTCCATGGCAGATTCGAGCAACGGGGCGCATTGTCTGACCTCGATGAGGCCATTGAATTCCATCGAGCTGCACTCGCGCTCCGTCCACTTGGCCATCCCAAACGATCTACGTCTCTCAACAACCTTGCCAGCAGCCTTGATAACAGATTCGAACAACGGGGGGCGCTGCCTGACCTGGATGAGGCCATTGAGCTCCATCGAGCTGCACTCGCGCTCCGTCCCCAAGGCCATCTTGATCGATCCACATCTCTCAACAACCTTGCCGTTGACCTTCGAGCCAGATTCGAGCAACGAGGGGCGCTGTCTGACCTGTATGAGGCCATTGAGCTCCATCGAGCTGTACTTGCGCTCCGTCCCCCAGGCCATCCTGATCGACCATCGTCTCTCAACAACCTTGCCATCAGCCTTCATAACAGATTCGAGCAACGAGGGGCGCTGTCTGACCTGGATGAGGCCATTGAGCTCGATCGAGCTGCGCTCATGCTCTATCCCTCTGGACATCCTGGTCGAGCCATGTATCTTAACAACCTTGCCATCAGCCTCCATGACAGATTCGAGCAACGGGGCGCACTGTCTGACCTGGATGAAGCCATCGAGCTCCATCGAGCTGCACTCGCGCTCCGTCCTCTTGGCCATCCTGGTCGATCCATCTCTCTCAGCAACCTTGCTAACATCCTTGATGACAGATTTAGGCAACGCGGCGCACTGTCTGACCTGAATGAGGCCATTGAGCTCCATCGAGCTGCACTCGCGCTCCGTCTTCTTGGCCATCCTGATCGAACCATCTCTCTCAGCAAACTTGCCAGCAGCCTTCGTAACAGATTCGAGCAACAGGGGGTGCTGTCTGACCTGGATGAGGCCATTGAGCTCCATCAAGCTGCACTCGCGCTCTGTCCGTTTGGTCATCCTGATCGATTTATGTCTCTCAACAACCTTGCCGTCGACCTTCGAGCCAGATTCGAACAACAGGGGGCGCTGTCTGACCTGGATGAGGCCATTGAGCTCCATCGAGCTGCACTCGCGCTCTGTTCCCAAGGCCATCTTGATCGATCCACGTCTCTCAACAACCTTGCCGTCGACCTTCGAGCCAGATTCGAGCAACAACGGGCGCTGTCTGACCTGGATGAGGCCATTGAGCTCCATCAAGATGCACTCGCGCTCTGTCCCCCAAGCCATTTCCTTCGATCATCGTCTCTCAACGGCCTTGCCAACAGCCTTCGAGCCAGATTCGAGCAACGAGGGGGGCTGTCTGACCTGGATGAGGCCATTGAGCTCCATCGAGCTGCACTCGCGCTCCGTCCTCTTGGCCATCCTGATCGATTCATGTCTCTCAACAACCTTGCCGTCGGCCTTCAAGCCAGATTCGAGCAAAAGGAGGCGCTGTCTGACCTGGATGAGGCCATTGAGCTCCATCGAGCTGCACTCGCGCTCTGTCCCCTTGGCCATCTTGGTCGATCCATGTCTCTCAACATCCTTGCCATCAGCCTTCGAGCCAGATTCGAGCAACAAGGGGCGCTGTCTGACCTGGATGAGGCCATTGAGCTCGATCAAGCTGCACTCGCACTCCGTCCCCCAAGTCGTATTCTTCGATCATTGTCTCTTAACAACCTTGCCAACAGCCTTCTAGCCAGATTCGAGCAGCAGAATGTATCATCAGACTTGGAAGAGGCCTTTAGGCTTTATCTGCAACTCCCTGAAATATCTCATGCAGTCTCGCGCAAGGATCTTTATGCTGCACAGTCATGGGCCGCCTCTGCTGAGCGGCTGAATCATCACTCTGCATTGGTTGCCTATCAAACCGCATTGGGGTTCCTTGATCGGCACGTTGCCGTTTTGTCGCCTTTTTCCCGTCATTTCGATGTGATCAGGGAGGCCACTTCATCCATTGCAATGGATGCTTTCTCGTGCAGTGTTCGTTGTGGTGCTCTAACCACTGCTGTGGAACTGGTAGAACAAGGTCGTGCAGTATTCTGGACCCAGTTGGCCCACTTCCGCACACCGCTAGATGAACTTTCTGTATCAGGTGGTGCTGGTGAAGCCTTGGCAGAAGAATTCAAGCAACTCAGCTTTCGTATTCGTACAGCGTTAGACACACTAGATGTTGATGACCGGTCCTCGCAAATCCGGCAACTCATAATTCAATGGGATGGTGTCATCTCCCGCATCCGCATGTTACCCGATTTTTCCCGGTTTCTGCTGCCTCCGCTGTTCTCTGACCTGCAGAAGGCAGGAGAAGAAGGCCCAGTCGTTATTGTCAACGCAAGCTGTTACAGCTGCGACGCCTTGATTATCCTGAGTTCCCAAGATCCTGTACACGTGTCACTTGACATCACGCAAGCCGAGGTCTCCGAGTTAACCTCCACATTTCAGTTCCTTACATCACATGCTGGCACTTCTGATCATAATACCGAATTATACAAGATCGTCGGTGTCTTACGCACGCTCTGGAGGCGCATAGTTGCCCCTATACTTGAAGTGCTCAGGAAGTTCATCCCCCGTGGCTCACGCATTTGGTGGTGTCCTACCGCTGAGTTCACCCTGCTTCCTCTCCATGCAGCTGGACCTTACGAGCTGAAAAGTCATAATTTTTCTCACTTTTATATCTCCTCTTACACCCCAACTTTGGGCACCCTCATTCGCGCAAGACGGCAGGGTTCTCGAGATGCCTCCGCTCAGCATTTTGTTGCCATCGGTCAAGCGCGCCCGGATGGAGCGAAGGAACTTCGGTGTGTCGCTGCTGAGTTAGATATCGTCGCTCAGCGTGTCGCACCCTTTTTGTCCTTTACATCGCTTGCGGACAGTGATGCAACAGTCCATGGAGCATTGGACACATTAGGCCAAAAACAGTGGCTTCACCTGGCCTGCCATGGTATGCCGAATCGAGAAGAACCATTTGAGTCTTCCTTCGCCATGTACGACGGATCTTTAATGATCAGGGACATCATACGAACTCGCTTGCAGGATCCGGAGTTCGCATTCTTGTCTGCTTGCCACACTACTGTGGGCGATAAGAAGAGTCCGAATGAGGCGATTCATCTCGCTGCGGCCATGCAATTCTCCGGATTTCGCAGCGTGATAGGTTCCATGTGGTCCGCCGATGACGATGTTGTAGGCCAGATCGTCTCTTGTTTTTATGACAACCTGGTTGACGATTCAGGGGAAATGGACTGCAAGCGTGCTGCAGGGGCATTGCACAAGGCTGTGAAGAAATTGCGCAAGCAGATTCCGTTTGAACAGCAGATCGCATTCGTTCACATAGGTGTTTAGTTTGTTTGTCAAAGACTCGTTCATTATTTCCCACTTTTTCTTTCGTATTTGCAGTGACTGACATACCCTGTCGGTACTGAAATTTTGCATTGGACTCTAACACGTACAGAATATTTCTTGTGTATGTTGCGTGTATCATAAATCCACTACCCCGCTGTAGTTTTCTGAAAAGCGGCTTAGTTCTGTTAACAGTGTTTGACGAAAAAAAAAATGAATTTCTGCCAGTGAGGCCTTCTCCAAATGAACGACCGTCTGAGTGGTTCGGTCCCCTAACTCGAGTGCTTTGCGGAGTATTGCAGAGCAAGGTCGTGTTGGATGGGCACTGCCAGTCTTGCCGGCGGTTCGGACGGTACTCATTTTGATATTGTATGTACTTGCGAAATTGTTGAACCTATGGGAATTGATAAATGACACACGTAAGCACCTCCAGGATGGACAAGGACAGGATTCGCTCTACATGGATTCAAGCACAGTACGGTACGTTAATTACATATACTCTTCAAATAATCCCGCAGACTGTCCTGCGAAAATACGACAGTTTTCATCGCCCCCGCATACATGTTCCACACCACATTTTGGAACTTGAGGTAATCATCAATAATCGCCTCCTCTATATGCGTGACCAGCACAGACACCGTCCGATCATCCTCGAGGTACAGCCGCAGCTTCGTCACGAATGACCGCAGATCTCGTTCGCAAGCCTCGACGAAGACTTGGTGAAGGTTCTCTGCGATCACTTGCTTTGCCCACTCTTGCTCCGTGAGGAGTGGAGCCTGTGGCCCTGACGAGAAGGCTACGCGGGCGTCGTTGAATGCTCGTACGCGGTCCACCCACTCTTGCAGAGGTTCACAGGGCAATCTTGCACAGAACGAGATGACTTCCTGACAGGCACGTTTCAGTTCTTGATCTATGTCCTATATCAGGAGTCGACGTCAGCAGGGATGGAGAGTCAGTAAAAGAAACACATTGTTTACATGTCGAGAGTCTGAAAGGGTATCATGTCCTCGAGGCATCCCCAATGAAGCGAAAAGAACATCTGGTAGCAATGCAGTCGTGCGATTCAGAACTGACGCCAAGGTATCTGTAATCGAGAAGGTCAACAGGATGATCCAGTGTCATGAACAAATACCCACCCGTCATACCGCCTATATCAGACCTCGGCTCTGTATCTTTCGGGGTATAATCCAAATTATTTGCAACCTCCTTCAGAATCAGGAGATGGCGAACGAGAAATAGCTGGCCATCTAGCACGCCAGTAGAACTTCTCTGTTCCACCAAATTGGACGATGTGACTAGCGATTGACGGCAAAGGCTCACGGCCTCATGGGCAATATCTTCAAAAATAGCGGGCTGCATGAACTCAGCATCCAGTTAAGACGTACAAGAGAAGTAACCACCTTGACGAAGTCATGCAGTTGAGATAATACCCATACCGTCTTTTGCAAGGTCGGAAACCACGTTTCTTTCTTGTCTAATGAGGGCAGCTGGAAAAGCTGGCTCACGCTATCCTTCTCCTTAATTTCGTGTTGAGAAACAGGCTTCCGCGCGGCTGACGGCGCTTATCAGACAATGCCTAGATCAGGTAGAATCATGCACTTACCAACAAGTTTATCAGGATACGCCAGGTCTTCTGGTTTCGGCGTGTAATATCGAATATCGGCCTGAATAACCGACTGCGCTTTGAAGAACAACCGGGTTTGCGCATCCTGGAGGACCATCTGCAGAAGGTGACTGATATGGAGTTGCCCTAGACCTTTCGGCTTTGGCTGATCAAAATCAACAATTAGGTTGCCTTCGTCAGGTGGCTCCTCTGGGAACTCTGCCACATCGAGAACCATCAGAGCTTGAAGCACCGTGCATACTTCGCAGAGAGTCGTGAGGCGAGTTTCATGCAATATCCGGGGGCGCAGGTCATCGTAAAGGTAGTCACACAAGTTCTCAAGATAAGTGCTTGATGTCATCGATGAGTGTAAGCAGAGACAACAAAAATGGTACTCACTAGAGCTGGTCCTCGCCAGAGTTGAAAAACTCTCGGTAGAGATTGAATTCGTCTGTGCAGAGGTGTTTCAGATAACTGCAACCCGCATTCGTCTGTTCTTGAATGAGTAAATCACTGAGCACAACCGCGTGCATCTCACCAATTCAACTAGCTCAGTGTGTGCTGGATCGAGCCCACGTATTTCTTCCATTAAGCGTCCCACCAGTAGACCTTTACGTGCTGCGAAATAAGCAGAATGACATTCTGAAAGTAGTGCCGACAAGTCCTCTGGATGAGCTTCGGCACGACGCTCTAACTCGCTGAGCAAAGGAGAAAGCTGAGAAGTGACACTGCGGAACCTGGTGTAAAGCAGATGCATCTGTGCTGTCGATGATACATCCTGAAAATCGCGGGGTCAAGAGACTGAGTATGAGTAATGAATAAGTTACCTTCTCTGACAATCTTCTGGAAACATCGGCAGTCAATGCCCTTAACGAACCAACGAAAAACATCCTGATGAGTGTCATGGCTCTCGTCATGCACTGCTGGAAGCGGAGTAGGTATATTTCCGCTTCTCTGTAATATCGCTGAAAGTATTCAGTCAGTATAGCATCTTGGAAACTAGCGTAAGGACTCACATGACCCTTGAGATAATCTATGCAAATATCCACACGCTCTACCATGTACAAAAAGTCGGTTTGAAGGACAAGAGACTCTCCAGGATGATTGAGCATGCGCGTTGCGTGTTCTAGTTCTTGGAAGTACTCAAGTCTAGTTCCGATTTCTTCAGTGAGTTCAAGAAGCCTGTCCTAGTGTGAAAGAATCAGCGATTAGGATATTCCAGCACCTAGTTGCTTACTCTTTCCTCCAGCAACCGCTCGCACGCATCCTTCAGATTCTTTCCGCCCTCCTCTACGCTTCGCCAGCCTTCAAGCAGCCCACCGACTTCCCGATCGACCTCGTCTATACGCTCAATAAGTGTATCTGCTGTGTTCAGGTGTTCGGATACCACCGCGACATGAGCGCGGAAGTGCGCTTCCTGGCTATGTGCTACGGACCTATCTATCTGTGCAACCCAGTCATAGAATTGTTGGGGCGTTTGTACGGGCTGCTTCGGGTGCAGCGCATGACTGGCGAACTGGCGAGTAAATGCTGGCACTGGTGTTGAGGGACGCGATACCGATCCGACCTTCCCTCGTAGATTGGGTGTAGAAGGACGCGAGGACTCGTCTTCATCGACGCTAAACTTATGTGTATTCAGCAATAAGCAGCGCAATAAATCATTCTGACTGTACTTTGAGTGGGAGAGGTGTTTTCTCGCTGGCAGCTTTGACCGCCGCGACGCTCTTGAGCGCCAGGTCACTGAGAGGTGCTTTGGCTTCCCATTCTTCGATGGTGAACTGTGGCTTGGGCCGTGGTGTCGATGCAGCAGGATTGCCTGTGCGGCGATGTGGTGCGGACGCCTTTGACATAACGCTGGTTCTCACTAGAACATGACGTCGAGCTCAACTGAGTTCAAGTATAAACCATGTACTTCCTATTCGGGATTTCCATGATCATGATGAACTTTGAAGTCCTCTTCTGTTTCCTACCACAATGAGCAACGCAAACTTCTCTATCAAGTGTTCAACTCCAAAAGTTTGCAAGTAGTAAGTAATGCTATTGCATCCAGCATGACAGATGGTTTTAATGTCACCATTAGTAGGGCTTGGGTTCTCCTACGATACCGATGAAATCATATCTCCCACAATGCAAACTACGCCACTGAGTCATTAGCCTCATGGCATTATCACGGTGGACGTCGAGATCGACTCCCTTATAAAGCGCGCTACTACCGTGTCTGGAGTTCTGCAAGCCAGCGTATTGTTATGTCAAAGGGTCACGCTTCATCGGTTAGACAGATCGCGGAGAATCCTGCAGGACTAAAACTTGAATCAATCGAAGATGAGACTCGTTAAACGTGCGCTTTTGAAAGAAATCTTGCTGTTTCAGCGTGTCACATATATTCATCGCGAACTCTCCAGCCAAGCGCAGTACCAACTACCCAGTCCTGTGTGGAATGCACTCCGAAGCGCAATACTATAACCTAACCCCAGGTGAAGTGTTAAAGTGTTTGACGAATGATGGCAACGGTGTGAGTGTGTGGGTGTCGCTTGCTTACCATGTTGTGTGCTAGGCAAGCCCCCATGTTCTTCTATACCTCCACTTTCTCCTTTCCTTTCCTTGCCTTCTATCATGGCTACCAAGTCCGAAGTATTTGATGATAGCAAGTCCGTTGCTTACACACCTCCCTCGTATGACACTGCAATATCAGGGGATTTTATCCGATGCAGACAGCCATCTGTATTGTCCTTCCTACGGACCAACTAAACGCATTGCTCTATCTCGCACCTATGATATTGTATCTGGTCCTGATATCACTTCCTCCTCGATCGCCTCAAGTATCAACGCCTGCGCTGCTGCTCTCTCAGCCACGGAGTTCCCCAACCTTTTGCAAACGCGCAACATCCAGGGTCACACAGCGATATATTGTGCATGATAACTAGCGACCAGGCGTCGTTTGTGCAGCTGAATCTGGAACGTACTATCAATCGTAAGTCTACGGTAATGTTCACCTGAATATCAAGTGACTCATTATGCTCCATCAGCCAAGGACGAGACTTAGGGACACTTTTTAGATTGCCTTCCAGATGAGGTTCAGGTGCATGAAGGGGATGGCGTAGACAGGAACTGGCAGTTCGTTGCTTGTTTCCGTTTCAGGATGTTCCAAAAACGCATGTGCATTATACGGGAAGAATTTGTTGCGAGGGGTATGGGGCTTATGTATTCCAACACTTCCCATGCTGAAATGATGATACCATTACCTACAGGACGTATATGGTTATTGCGCTTTGATACGGGGTCTGCCTAAAGGTGGCGCATCACGCTTAGTTTTTCTGGGGACAACACTGCAGCATATACGGACACTGTACCTTGTGATCGAGGCCCACAAAGGGAAGTCTGGATGTGAAACTTTACCTATCATTCCCATGCGACTATTCTTTGCTGTCCCGTTGAGGATGCAGGTCATCAAATGATAGGACCGAATTGTATCATCCGTTGAACGATTGGCTGATGGACCAGTAAATCTTCTCCCTTAGGCATCTTCAGCTTGATTCATGTCACAGGACATCTGTGATTTCATTGTTTCATCACTCTTCTCCTTCAACGACGTGAACTGACTATTATTTTTAGCGATACTATACATGTGGAGTGCGATGGCACCCTACAGGCAAAGCTGGAAATGACATTAAGCCAGTGTTGCCAGGTTATTTGCTAAGCTTATGGCACTTGTTGGTTGACTGAGAGGTGTGCTATTTCAGATCCCGAGAATTTATTCCCCTACCGCAGAATACAGGCTCAGCCTCCTCCGTCCCACCTGGATAGATTAGCGAAATTATATCCTGACACAGTGCATGCATGGCTAGCTCAGTCCATTGGTTTCATCGTGGACAAGATCGTTGAAGTCAGTCTGCCCCAGGGGCTCGTTCGGCACCGGGCAAGCTAGGAAGTGTGGTGTATCGTTGCACTAACAAAAGGTTGTGATGCATCGCTGGGAAGCGGAGAATCCTGCATGACTGGAACTCGAAGGACGTGACCGCGATGGTACTTTAATACTTGGTATGAAAATCACAAGAGATATATAATTTAGCGGCTTGCGGTTTTGCCCATTTTCAAGTTGGGTTATGATGGCAAAACTACACATTGGCAGCTCTCAGAGAATGCGTCGCGCAAACCCCTACTTTGTGCACTTTGTTCAGACAGGTTCCGACACCACTAGTACCCGTCTAGTATGTCACGTCAACAATTCGTCATCCTTCTGTTCACTGTGATGGGCAAATGAGATTCCTATGGCTACAATAATCAAAAGTGGATATTATTAACAAGCTTCGGGATATGTGCTAAGATCAGCCCCAAGGGGATGGTTCATCAGGTATAAAGGATACTGATGTCGGGCTAGCGAAGCCTAAACCCAGGGGAGGAGAATTGTCTGGAAGGTTGGAGGTCGCTTTCTCCACGGATTGCGTTTTTCGGTGTGACGCCACAAATGGAGGTTTCGGTGCTGGCTCAAGGGTGAAATCTGTAAGATGCTCCGGATTATCTGGAGTAAACGAGGCGGCACTTGACGGAAGTGCCAAGGTTACGGCAACATCATCAACAGCCGGGGATGAGGGTGAAGGAGATGTCGGCGGCGACTTTATTGCGTCTCGCGAAGAACTTCGAGAATGCGAAGATGGCGGTTGTAGAGTTTTATCCGATACCTCTCCTGCAGAAAGCTGCGCACCCCGAAGTCGACCATTTTCGACTTCAATCAGTCGTAGTGCTTCCTTGAGCGCATCCTTTTCTGACCGCACTTCTTGTAGTTCTTCCTCTGTCTCGACGCGTTTGATACGCTCGGTCGCGACCATCTTGTTTGCCTAATATATATATAAGTTTGTTGAATAACTTGAGGCGAGTAGAAACTATACCTCCTCAAAGAGTGCTTGTGACAAGGACTCTAGCTCAGCTTCGATAGCAGCCTTCTCTGCAGTCGCTAATGTATGTGCAAGGCGTTCCCGTTCAAGCTGCTCTCGAAGCTCCAGAAGTTCTTTCTCTCTCGTGCTTGCTATAAGAGTTGGCAAGGAAGGTGAAGTTAAATGAGAAGTGTGTTTTTGAATGGAATGAGCAGCAGGCGATTTTGATCCTGTATCAAGATGTAGATGAAGAATGGATTATATGAGAGCAGATAAGCGTACCACTATTGAACCTGAATCCGAAGAAACGACCCTCCTGGTTATTCTGGGAGGTTGCAGATGAAGTCGCCGGAGAAGAGGTAGTTGGAGATGGCTCTATACCATTGACAGCAATTGATGGAGTATTCGCGGGGTGGGATGGCGCGCCCGACTCATTCAAAGGGCCATAATCGAGACTCCTTCGACATTCTTCCTCTGATACACGTTGCATGTTCTGCGCTTCTCGTGCGCTCCAGCGCCGCCACCCGACATCTTTCGCGCTGGAGGGGGTTTCACGGTTGAGAGCTTCTTCGAGCATCTCATTGTTGGACATCATAAGTTGTAGATTAGATTTTGCGACGCTCAGTGATGTCTCTAGTTCCGCTTGAGTCTTGTACGCGATCTTGAGCAAGGACGACTAGCGAATCATGATCGGTTTGTTACTGCCACAGTGAAGCAGACCTGTCCACGCACTAGCTCTTCCACTCTCTTGATTACACGATCAAGGGCATATCTGAGATCTTCTTCCTGACCATGAGAATGAACACGCCAGGCATCACGGAGCTCATCGTCTATGCCTGCGAATATAGAAGATGTGGGTGAGGGATGAGACTCTTGAACTGATGAATGACGCGATTGGATGGTTGGCGATCCAAACGTCATATTTTTTGATGACATGAAGGAGAGCAGTAATGACTCAAATAACTGTATATACGCAGAGTTCAACTTGGTCGGACAGCAGACTTGTTTGACTACACCGTTCTTATTAGGTAAGCTGGATCAGCGCTCCCATTACCACCACGGTTACCGGTCCCGGAGACTTGGCAAGGCCGCAGTATTGACTGCTCCGTCGTCGAATGCACAGCAAGAAAATGCGGTGTCATCCGCAGGCCGGGACGGCGCTCAGTGCTCAGCCCTGGGCTCTGACCTTCCCTTGTGTCACTTTATCGTGAAACACTCTAGTAATTATTACTAGTACTATAAGGAGGGGTTCTCTTCCCAAGTCTAAGATGGAGAGTCTTAACAGCCCCGTCAGTACTCAGTAATACACTCTCACAAGGAACTGACGGTAGACACATTACAGGCTGTCCTTTCCACGTTTTGATTCATTAATATCCGACAGAGTCTAAATGAAGCCTCAGTCTATTCAGCTACCGGCAACAGATCTCACCTCTTCAAGTTGGCCTCTGGAATTATATTCCATGCATTGCTCGATAACGTTCAACATACTACCAAACCATTCCCGCTGTGCCGGTGATAATCAATTACCTGTATACATAGCAATCGCGCGCTACAACTTGTTTTAACACTACTCCGTGATCGTTGCTGTTGTTTTGAACACACGTTGAGAAGCTCACGTTCACAGTGCACACAAACTTTCATGTAGAGCTCTGGATTAATGCCCAGATCCCAGAAACCTCCTGGTCATTCGTTCACATTCCGGCGATTAGTCCTTCTCACACCCACGAAAATCTATGCATCAGGGACAGATCGCAGCTGTGTATGGGAATATGTTTAGAATCGCGTCCTCCGGATTTGATCTTTATCCGGGATAATGGTGTTTGCTCCACGCTTTCGTGACTACCGGTCAGTCTCGCACTGCTATCTCATTTCCCGACACGCGATATCATGCGATAATTGTATGAAACCAGTAACCTCATTCGCACAATACTCGATCACGTATCGGCGGCCCTCTTCCAGCTCATAAGCTTAATAGCTTGCTGCTTCGCCCAACCTGTATCTCCATCACTTTCTTCTTGTCATATTTCTCTTGTGCTTCTCATTCTAACCTTCCTCAACTCTCCTTCTAATGTCTCGCGGCGCACCCAAGCCCCCACCACCACACAAACTTACTTTTGCCACCAACAGCGTGCGCAACACCACGTTCGCTGAGGACAACAATAAGTTCTACTATGAGATCGTCACTCGATTTTGGCACCCTCACCTCACCAAAATCAATAAATACGACTATGAGGCTCGTGTAGTCAACTGCGTTGCAGAGATCGAGGATCAACCTCAGAAGGATGTGAAAGTCCGCTTCAACACTCCTGATGCAGAAGGAGAGTGGGTGAGAGCTTGTGACTTTATCAGGAATGACGGTACAGCAATGTGAGTTTTTGATCACTATGAGCCAGTGGTCATCAATTTCTAATGATCGATGGCAGTGGAGGTACCTTCGTCCACGAGGATGGCACTGAGTACCGCTGGAAAACACCCAAACGCAATTTACAAGTGAGCTAATTTTCCAACTGGTGTTTTCTTTATCTAACTAGCCAAGCTGCAGCTCATTAAGTCAGATGACGAGGAAGAGGTCCCCGTCGCTGAATATCACCCGCATAAACGACACTTTGGCGTCTGGCGCATGTCGCAGCGGGCTTTCCTCGAAGTTAAGCCTGAAGCGTCTGCTGCTTTGGACAGGATTGTTGGTGATTCATTTCCTCAGGCATTGATGCATCACACATCGCTGACTAGAGTACCTTCGCTAGTGAGCTATCTTCTACTAGAAAGACGCAGGCGTCAAGCAAAGATCAAAGTCAAGTTGGAGACAAAGTAATTCACGCCGACATCGCTTTCTCCTCTGTCGCATAACAGTTACCGCATCCTCCTGTGTCGTGCGATTTCTTCCTAGTAAAGTCAAGGAGACTGCCAGCCTCTGGCATCTCATGACGGGACTTCCGCACAAGGAAACGTCGACGCTTCTGCATTCTTCTATTTGTTGAACCTTGGTCATTCTAAGGGTTTCTTCGTTATAATAACTTTTCACTTATGTGCTATTTACTGCTTCTTGTTAATCAATTTAGATTCATGGTCATATAGATTTCTTACTGGTTCAAAGGTGTACATACATTTTCGGGAGTAGGATTGAGATACGGCGCTAAAGCTCGCCAAATTTAGATGGAAGTATGCGAATTCGAATCGTGGTCATGCATGATGGCGTTATACCTGCTGATCATGGCATCAATTCATGCTGACGGAGCCTCCTTCGCTCTTCCGTTTGACCAGTTGCTGACGACTTGCAATGGCAGCTAACTTCTCTAGTGTCCCAGTCCTCGACTTTGCTCTCGTGTCCGATAATGCCACGAAACCAGAGTTCATCTTGCAGCTCCGGCATGCGTTGGTTAATGTCGGATTCCTGTATCTCAACAACCACACCGTCTCACAGAAAGTTACAAATGATTTAATTGACTATATCCCCCGACTCTTTGATCTTCCCCAGGAGGCTAAGAACCGGATCCTTATGGCGAATTCACCGCATTTCCTTGGGTACTCCAAGTTAGGTACGGAATTTACCAAAGGCAAGACAGATTATAGAGAGCAATTCGACTTCGCAACACCTCATGAGACGCAGTGGAAACCCGGCGCCCCTGAGCATCTGCGCCTGTGGGGACCTTGCCAGGTGAGGGTTCTGTATTCAATCATTTCAAGCTGCACGAACTGAACTGAGTACACCCAGTGGCCAGATGAGGTCCTTATTCCAGGGTTTAAAAACACCATGGAGACATATCTCCAGCAGGTTCAGGCTCTGAGCTACCAATTCATCAGCTTACTCGGGGAGGCTTTTGGCCTTCCGTCGGATGCATTGAACAAGTTTTACGATACTGATGAATTGATGCAGCACCGCGGAAAGGTGAATGTCAAATGAGGGTCACTATGTACTATATGGAGATCGGGATTCACCTGTTTTCAGATCGTCAAATATCCCGCTAATGATGGTTCTCTAACTGATCAAGGCGTGGGCCCCCACTACGACGCCGGTTTCCTGACCTTCCTTCTTGTCGCGTCACCCCATCGCGGTCTGCAGGTGCAAAATCTTTCTGGGCAATGGATCGACGTTCCTCCTATCCCAGGAACGTTCGTTGTGAATATCGGAAAGGGTGGGCTGAAATTTGCCATGACGCATTTAATTTCAACTCTGACCTCTTCTTTGTTCCGACGATCTAGCACTCGAGTTTGTGACCCGCGGATTGGCGAGAGCCACATCGCACCGCGTCTTATCTCCCCCTGTGGGTTCGACTCCCCGCTATTCTGTGCCGTTTTTCCAGAATATCAGTCTGAACGCTCGCCTCGCTGATGAAGTCTTAGACTGTGAGTGCCTTTGATGAAATACTTGTTTTACATACCTTGATGACCATTTTACAGTCCCACCTGAGATCCTTCAGCTTAAACAACTTCGAGGAGACCCTGTTCAGACTGACTGTATGTTTTTCGTCGTTTGCTTTTGTATTTTGTAAACATTATTGATGCGTGCTCTACAGCTGTCAATTTTACGGAGTTTGACCGCGAGCCATCCGGAAAAGTGAACCTCATCGGGCGAGTGAAGTAAGTTCTCCAATTGGTTATCTGTGGCGGCAACGTTTGAATATATCTCTTCTCCCGTCAGGAGTCACCCTGACGTTGCGCAACGCCACTACGCGGACCTTTTCGCACAATACTTCCCCAACGGCCTGCCAAAGCAAGTCAGTGCGTATTGAGCTTGAGAAGAGCAGATCTGTACTCTAGATATTTCCCCCGCTGTACCAAATCAAGGAAACTTCAATTTGCAACGGGTGGATGCCTGTTAGGACATTACAACCCTGGATTTATGGGGAAAGAAGATTTCTTACGACCCCTCGATTTCCTCCCGAGGATATTAAGAATTCTCTGGCAAGCGAGATAAGAGTCCAACGTGCAAATATACATTGACCAGACTACCAAACAAGATAACAGCACTGCAGGGAAATTAGATGCGAGTGGAGGGGGGTGCGAAGGAGGAGGTGAGCAAGATATACAATGAGCCGGGAAGAAACGACAATATCAGTTGTGAACATGCAATGGAATTTGGAATAGTTGATTGTATGAGTGTCAAGACAAAAGAAACAAGGCTTAGCAAGTCATTCTAAAACCCCTAAGCCTGCCTCCTCCGCCCAACGGGATTGAGATGCAATAGCATTGCGTAGAGATGAATGAAATAGAAATGAAGCATATAATACACTAACGTGAAGCCTCCAGCATGACGCAGCGTCAGAACGTTGGCCATTTGAGCGGGTCTAGTAATCATGGTTTGCGTCGTTGGTTGTGTGACGTCCCGTGCAAGTGGATCCTCGTGCGGGAATGCCACAGTCGGCTCTAAGATGGACACATCAGGATCAGGTGCATCCACAACAACGGGATCATTTGCAGAGAGTCAACTCGAATCGGCAACTTGGATCCAAACCGCTTCAGGTGGAGTGGAGGGAGGTGGGACGTTTTCCTCGTCGCTGTCGTCATCGGTAGAGGGCTCACCCTTGTTATCGTCGACGGAAAGATCTGGAATGGGCACAACCCCGTCCTTCTTGTCAGCCTCGGACTTGTCTTTGGCCTCCTGTTCCTGGAGCTGCTGTCTGAGCTTGGTAAGCTCAAGTTCTTTCTTCTCAAGCTCAGCCTTCTCCTTCTCCTTTTCCAGGAGTTCCTTGCGCCGCTTCTCACGCTAAATGGAGTATGTCAGTTCAATTGGATAAACAGGAGAACGGACGACGCTCGGCGACGTCGACAACATCCCGAATACTCACGTCTAGTTTTTCCTTGAGTTCACGAGCCTCCTTTTCCTTTTTCAAGCGTTCCCTGAGCTCCCTCTCGCTGATCACCCAAGCAGCAGCTCCATTGGCAGCGGCTTCAGGTTGCGACTTGTTCTTGAGCAGATCTAAAGTCGTGCGAAAATGTGTCAGCACATGATTTTACCTCACTCACCACCCCGCCCACAGAAGACCAAGTAAAGCACGATAGAAAGGAACATCAAAGCACAAAGGGCGCCATAAAATTAGAAGAAACTTACAGCCTTGCAGCGCCGCAACGCTGAACTCGTCATCCGGAATTGAATCCGCAAATATCTTTGCGAGCTGAGCGAGTCTGGCACCATCCAAAGGCTTGGCGGAGTGCTGGCATGCAGTGAGATGCTCCTCGACCGGAGGCGGTAAGTACGTTTGGTTTTTGGAACCAAAGCCATCTCGAGGAGGCTTTGAGGGCGAAGCTTCCTTGGAAGACGCCAGAGATGATGTTGACGATGAGAACGAAGGGGAAAGCGACCACAACGTTGAAGACCGTGAAGACGGTGATGGAGAGGACGACTGGGGTGTGGGCGTCGTGGGTAAGTCGATTCCCTCTATGTCCCCCTCTATGACTTCATTGTCTTGATCCGTGGATGGGAAGAAGTTGCGGAACAGAGCCTCCGCTTGCCACTTTGAAGAGTTCTTGAACTCAATCCAAACGTCCATGCGGCCCGGACGTGAGAGCGCAGGGTCTAGACGCTCCAAATGATTGGTAGTTCTATAGGTGCACGTCAGGGTGTGCTAAACCGGAGAAAGATTTCAAACTTACGCGAAAAGGATACGACCTTCAGCAGCAGCTACACCGTCCAAGGCGTTCAGCAGGCCGCTCAGACTCAATGTGTTTACATCAGAGATGTGGTCCTTGTGACGTCTGTGCCTCGAGCTGCTGCTCGTCACCGGCTGTTCCGGGGCGCCCTCTTCTGAGCTGTTGCTCGACGAATCCGGAGTACCATTGGAACTCTTATCACGCGTGACGCTCCGCGTAAATGCCGCATCGAGATCCTCGAGAAGCACGATGCAGCGAGCTGGGACACGACCCATAAGGGTGGTCAATGTACTATCGCTGATCCACGAAGAAGACAATGACACAACGTAGATGTCAAGCATGAGTTCGCCCGCAATGGCATGGATAAGGGAACTCTTTCCAGAGCCAGGTACACCGTGGAGCAAGTAGCCGCGGCGGAATGGAATGCCGCGATCCGCATACCACTGTGGATTTATGAACAATGAACGTGGCTTTGATAAAATAACGAAATTACCTTCTCGGACTTCAAAAAGTCACGCGTGTCGTTGAGAAGCATCTCCTTTACCCCAGGGTTGAGAACAATGGACGACATAGGGCGCTTATGACGAGAGTCGGTCCAGCGCCAGCTACCGTGCGAGTCTGCAAAGTAGATCTGGATCCTGTGGATTGCCTCGGCCTCGTACTCTTTCTTGGCTTGCAAGACAAGCTGCTTGAGGATAGTGTTATTCCGCGCAACGACGCTGTGACACCAACATACATCAGCCACGAGGCCAAAAATGTGTCAGAAGGGGAATTTGAATATCACCTTATTGACAAGACTTCGCAACCGCTACCGTCTTGCTTTTTACTGCGACGGACCCTGAGCCAGTGACCCTTGTAATAAATGGTGTGTGTTGTGTCAAATGTCGGCTGGAATACGACACGTGTCTTGACTTTGCCGGGGGGTGAATCTTCATCGCCCTCTTCCTCTTCATCGTCACCAAATGAATTGTCTGCTTGGCGAGATCCTGAGAAGCCAGGGGTTGTGGTGCGAGTGGTAGTTTCGAACTCCCTAGAGCGCTGCCACTCAGGGCGCCGTGAGAGCCACAGCATGAGCCAATCATAAGGATAGTCCTCTTCCGAGAAATGCGCAGTGAGGAAGAATGCTGTGTCAGGTAATAGCATGTCAGAAAAAAAGCGTCAAATTACGGGTGACTCCTTACAGTTGAGGAAATGAGACCTTTGAGGTGCGCTGTCGTCAGTAAGGAGGTGAATCAGAATGATTCAGGACATACCAAGCTGAGCTAGAGGCTCTTCTGGCTGTCTCGACTGTTCCTCCCAGGACAACGAGCTTCATGCCGTCAATGACTGAGGAACCTCCTGCGCCTCCGACGAGGGGTTGAACGAGCGACTTGAGAGCGTCCATGGCAATGGTAATGTCTCAAGGTGAGTGGACAAGCCAACGTTGCGAGGAAGGACACTTTGAGTGTAAATAGTGTGAATGTAGGTAACAAGGTGGGTGTGTGAGGATAAGAAGAGGATGGTATCTAATAAACGCTGTAAGTGATATATAAGCTGTGTCTGTCAGGTCACTGGTGCAATAGGCTATAAGCAGCAAACAAGTTAGCTTAGGTCCATTAGCGTCTAGGGAACAGACAAACAAATAGTCAGGCAACAAAATAAGTCGGGGACTGGCTCTACCGTAGGTTCCGTTCGGACTGAGTCAACGAGGAGAAAGCAAGTCAAGCCGCGTCAGCAGCCTAAGAACGTGGGTAATAATTCTTTTACTCCCAGAATTATAAGCGCCCAGCTTATAAGTCACGCCACCTTCACAGCATAGTTCACAGCTTGTTGCAAAGGTCTAAGAAAAGCGAATGTCTACGTACAGTAGATACATGTGTACTCATAAGCAGAACGAATCGAGAATCACGATACCGCCAAGTATAACCCTTCTACTGCAACATTGGCCTGCCATATTCCCAGCTTCCGAACAATTCTGAGAATCATTGGCGCGGGAAACACCAGCACATACGACACAGGGACCACCACCAGCAGAGGGATGGTTAGAAACAAAGTGATACTCGGTTTGATAACCAAGAAATAAAATAATGCCTGATAGGATGTCCAGTCCGTGAACTATAATAATAATGGGCGGCCGAGTAACGGAGGTAAGAGGGCTTTTGGCTAGAGGGGGAAAAGCGGATTGGACATACCATGGCTATCGTGTTCTTGTAGAATGAAGATTCGTGGTATGGTGACCCTGACTCTACGTCAGATGATCGCGGTGGTCGCATCCGCTGGAAGATAGGCCGGGGGGGATATGGAGGTGGGTAAGCAAGAGGCCCATGGAATGTTGTTTGGAGACCGAGCTACGAGTGATTCAGTTTCATATTCAATTTGAAATTAAGATAGAAGCGAAACGCACTTCTCCCCTCGCAAACACCCTGGCACCGAGCAAATTAAGGAAACATAGGAGAGCACCCAAAGGCAAGGCAATTAATAATGTTGTACCAGTCTATAAAGGCCGCGGTCAGAAGTGATTGCAATTTTTAATTTCCAAACTGAACGCCAGGCTAGAGCAAAATGCTTACCAAAGTAAATACGAAAAGGTAGACCCATGCAAGGAGGGCATAGGGAAAATTAAGCACTAGAAGATGGAATACAGCCGCATGGTATGCTCTGCGAGTCGTGGGTCGGAAGTAATGAGACCAGCAGCGCCGTGAAAACAGCGGCCAGCTGTGCGAGCCTCCAGACTGTGACTCTATTGGTGCACCGGGACGCTGGTGACGCCTCTGGTGACCATCGTGTGCACACAGATAGTCACGGTCATCCCCGATCGCTTCATATATGTCCACGTCAGACTCGATATCTGGATCAGAATGGAGTAACGATAGCACTGTTTGCGCTAGAGAGGGCGCAAATGAATTGGACGAGATAATTGTGCTCGACTGCGAATGTGTCCTCTGACGTCCCGACGAACGTTGGGCGGAGCCTGACAGAAAATCACCAAGTAGTGGTGTCTGCTCTGTGGCATCTTCAGTGCGAGGGAACGAATGAGTTGAGACTGATAATTGAGGGGAAAGATATCCTGAAGCACGATCCGAATCTGGTGGAACCTGTGGTGATAATGGCGCTGGTAAGCGATGCCTCCGACTATGTCGAGCCGCGCGTGAGCGCCGTTCTTGCGATGGATAAGGCGGTGGGGGATCGTGAACCGCAGCTGCCTGGTTGAGTACTATGTCTTGAATTCCAGAACGGTTACAAGATTCCTCAGCAGCCATTCCTTGAGACATCCTTTTGCGAGGAAAGGTCGTGGTCCAACCTGAGCACGTGATCTAATATTGACAAGGGCTTGTGTTAGCATTAGAATATTACATAATTTGAGCGGCAAGCCTTGTCACTTCCTGTCAGTGGGCGGAGTCCCGTCAACTCACTGGACAGTTACTAGGGCTCGCCTCAACTTTTTTTCCGCATGAACCTCTCCCGGGATTGGTACTACTGACTGGCCAGCTTCCACGCGCAGATCTAACTACAATTTGATCAAGTAGAAGCATAATGCCATTGGACCAGTGCGCTGTCTTCCAATTTCAATGTGCTGAAATATTTATCAACAACTAAAGCTACATTAATATTTACAACCACCGAGCTACCAGGTACATTCCCACTAGGGCGATGACTTGTAGCTTGACATTTTCTATTTGCATTTGACAGAACTGTAGAAGCAAGCGGCTCTCGAATCCCGCTCTGAATTGAGAGTCTAGACTGGAGTGAAGCGATCTACTTACATACTTCACTGTGTAGTATACGTAGCTTGTAGAGGGTGAACAACGTTAACATTAATAATGGAATACTGTCAAAGTTCTAGATGGGTCGAAGCACATACAATGCCGAGAAAATAATTAAGCAAATATAATAAATTCGGAGACGAGTGACCATGTCAGCGATTTCTTCTTTTGCTTGCTGACTTCCCACATCCGCTAATTATTGTTGGATCACCCGCTCCTTCGAAACTTTTGATCTCTACCTTTCGTCTTCTTGTTTGCAATCTTCCTTTCTTTCTTTCTGTTCACGCACGACATTCTCTCTCTTTCCAAAACATGGGTTGTGTTCAATCTACTGGCGTCGACAGCGAGGCCAAGGCTCGTACGTATTCATTTGCCCTATGTCCGAACGAAGACATGTCTTAAGCTCGTCTTTTGTAGGCAACGATGAGATTGAAAACCAACTCAGACGAGATCGAATGATGGCAAAGAATGAGATTAAAATGTTGCTGCTGGGCGCAGGAGAGTCAGGAAAGGTCGGTTACGCACTGACCATCCCGAACACATTGTTGACGAATCATATTTTATCAGTCTACCGTCCTCAAGCAGATGAAACTCATCCATCATGGCGGGTTATAACGACTCTGAACGAGATGCCTACAAGGAAATAATTTACTGCAACACCCTTCAGTCCATGCGGTGCGTACTATAACCGGTCAAAACTCGATTGTAACCCTGAAGGTCTTCTAGCGCCATCCTCGAGGCTATGCCTCAACTCGATATATCTCTATCACCACAGAACGATGCTCGTCGTGCTGTAATTCTCGCTCTGCCTGGCCAAATTGAGTGTGATGTGCTCCCGAGAGATGTTGCTGATGCCATTCGAGGACTTTGGCGAGACTCGGGTGTCAAGGAGGCCGTTCGTCGCTCACGAGAGTTCCAGTTGAACGATTCTGCTGTCTACTACTTCAACGCAATCGACCGCATGTGCGGACCAGGGTATATGCCGACGGATCAAGATATCTTACGGAGTAGAGTGAAGACGACTGGTATCACCGAAACCACGTTCAAAGTTGGCGAACTTACGTACAAGCTCTTTGATGTCGGAGGTCAGCGAAGTGAACGTAAGAAGTGGATTCACTGCTTCGAGAACGTCACAGCGTTGGTATTTCTGGTATCCTTGAGCGAGTACGATCAGATGTTGTATGAAGATGAGAGTGTTGTAAGTTCAAAGCTTCTCATTTGTATATCTCCTTCCAGATTAATTGCGCCCGTAGAATCGCATGCAAGAGGCCCTGACTCTCTTCGACTCGATATGCAATTCACGGTGGTTTGTTAAGACATCAATTGTACGTACTTTTACCTCGTGGCGTATTACATACTTATTCCCTGCACAGATTTTGTTCTTGAACAAAATCGATCTGTTCGCTGAGAAACTCCCACATTCACCGCTTGGTGACTACTTCCCAGACTACACGGGCGGCGACAACTATGATGCCGCTTGCGATTATTTGCTTCACCGCTTCGTTGCGCTCAATCAGAATGCGGCGACCAAGCAAATATACGCTCATTATACTTGCGCAACGGATACTCAACAAATCAGATGTAAGAACCCTCCCTTGCGCCTGTGGCTTACATACACTGACTCTGCCACCCTTCATAGTCGTGTTGAGTGCTATTCAAGATATTCTGCTACAGATTCATCTTCGTGAGTGTGGCCTGCTGTGACGGCACCATAGCGCCACTCTTCTCCCTTTGGTCTTTGTTTTATCCCATGCATCATCTGGCTCTCGCGCATGCAGTTCGCTCTATCAGCTTTCATCGCATCAGACATTCACACCTCTACATCTTGGCTTATTTTGAGATCCCCACGTCTATCATCGTTCTATGCGCTCTTCTGAACATACACGTACCGTGATGGGTTCGTAGGAGTGTTTTATATCGTTGTGTCATTCCCCTCTTCCTCTCTCATTTCCTTCGACCAAAACACGGATTGAGCAAAACCTAGTATACCCTCTTATACGATTCCTATGTAATTGGAGCCCTTATCTTGACCGCTCGTTAATTCTTTGTGATTGAATTTATCAAAATTTCAGGCAACGCACCGGGCGTTCCGGCCATGGGTGGTATATATTAGCCTAAGGTGTGAATGATGCGAAGCTTAGGATAATATTATTGTAAAACACTGATATGATCGAGCACATGGCTCACCCAAGCCACATAGAGAACCCCATCAGTCATCCATCTACACACCACGCGCTTGGGGGTTGACGGTGGTGCTGGATCCACGATCGTGGCGGGCTCTGTGGGATGACCGGGACATCACAAGAGCGGTGCCCTGTCATGCCCGTTGACACCACCGGATCCAAGTATAGCTCGAATTTGATAAGTAACTATCATGGGATCTTTTTTTTCTCCATATTAATGGCGCAGTACTCTTGGAGTAGAAGATGGCGACTGATGGCATCTGCGGACGCCGTAAGCACCATTCCCGAGGAGGCATAGGGCTTAGTTAAGCGCCCAAGTCAACGGACAGGTTGAGTCTTTGCACAGGTATGGCAGAAGCTTATTTACCTTTCAAGCATAGTTGAACATCCATTCCCGTTCCAGAACATGCATCACGAGTCTGCCGATAATGCAGACGCCACTATAAAGGGGAACGCCACACAGCTGGCGAGCAGAATCATAGCCACACATAGCAGGTAATGACGCTGTAACTAGGATAGTGCTCCGATGACTTGCTGGCGAACGCCTAGATCAAATTTCTGTCAAAAAGGTATTCGTGCAAATGCAAGATAGGGTTGTGATGCAATAGTACAGGTGCGTTTGAACGACGGTTATAGCAAATTGATGAGTCGGCGATAGAGCTCAGGGATTTATCGATTTGGATGATAGTTATAGATTAGCGAGATTAGAAACTGAAGTAGGCATATCTGTAACACGTCCGACAATGTTGTAGCGTTTCCTGTTAAGTGAAGATAAGCGCCGTGACACGCTTATCCAGGTGAACTTGTTCGGGACATACTGGAAAAATAAGAACCAGTCATTGAGGACGTTCTTCTCGTTCTCCGGTAGGTCACTGTAGTCTGGTACAGCGTCCTCTGGCTTCAAACTGGACATTCCGAGTCCCTTTGAGCCGTCCTTCCCGGCAAAGATGTTGTATGATTTTCCGGGACCGTACACGTCGCTTTTACGTGTGACGTCAAAGACAGTGCCTACGAGAAGTGAGCGGGAGGATCATCACCTCATACACGAGGACAAACCCTTAACAGACACGTAGATCGGCTTCGAATTGTCGGAGCCGTCGAACTGCTTGAGTTGATCAAGGGTGAAGGGGTCATCCTTCGGGGGGTCGAGGTCGTCTCTAGGTGGTTGCATGATGGTCTTTAGGGACTTCTTCTCTTCTGGTTGCGAGTTTACTGGTGGAGACCGCTGCGATGGCGATAAGGCGCGTCGTTGTACGAGAAATAGAAGGGGCAAGGCTAGCACGAGTCCATAGATCACCACTAAAAACATGACTGGCTAACCACTAATTCGGCATTTGCCGCCTCTTACACTCTTTCCTGGTGTGCTTGCGGAGCTTCAAATTTAACGTCCATCCTGTCTACTTTCCTCAAAGCTTGTTGTTAGCCAAAGCACCATAGACCACTGGCATCCACCGGGATCCCCTTTATGTATCGTTTTCTTCTGCAGCTTGGATAGTGCTTGTCAAAGTGCTGTAACCCTGGCAGTCAAAGTAGCCACACCTCTCGACTATAAAACTAGGTCGCATCATGATGGCACAAACCATCGACTCGCAATCAGTACGACTGCTGTGTTTTTCTTGTATCCATCATCATATCTTGCCTGTCTCTAACGTCCGTCCACCATGATTCCCCCGTTTTCCGTCCCTGTCTATGAACCACTTCCCTACTCTCTTTCGGGTCTCAGCTTCACGCAGCTACCGATGTGCACACAGCATTACCTGCTAGAAATTGCAAAATTGGTACCTCCTCACGCGCACAAAGTGAACTCTATTTTGGACGAGCGCTCAATCATATCACTGGCTCTCTACATCAACCTCCTAGGGAATGACATAACCCTCGTTAATCTGCGGCATGAGACCATCACAATGGCCCGTGACCTTGAAAGAGGCATCCCGCCTCAGGCTAGTGCACAGTGGCACTTGGCAATGCAGAACGGGCGCCTCCAAACAGTATTGGGTACATTGCTGCCAGAGCGAGAGCTCATCTTCAACGAATTCATGATCAAGTTTGATGCGCTTGTCTGGCTGGATCAAGAAGGACGCGAGAATTATACCCCTGAGGATTGGCAGAGGTACAGGAACGCGCTCCTGAAACCTATTCTTGACCATACAAGCGAACGGCTTGTCGCGCGGGACGAATGCGTCAGGAATCTGGCGGTGATTAATGGATATTACTACCGGGCGCCTTCCTTACCATACTCGCGATTGGGTTCGCCCCGTCTAGATGCAAGCCGCACATGTTCCAGGAGATCTGCTACCTGTGGACCTGATTCCGGAGAGGATTGTCCCAGGGGTCGGATGTCAAGCCGGCATTCATAAAGGACTTAGCATCATACTCTCCACAAATCGAACAATCGAACAATTTATCATGCAACGAAGCACACTCATTGACGCTGTTACATACATACTCCTATGTACTTGATCACACTGGGATTTCTGTACAGTATTGCAATTGTTATTTCTCCAGTGGTATGGAGTATTATGCCGTGTCCGTAAGCCTCAAGTGGAAAATTCATGCATGGGCTTCTTAATCCCCTGATCGACCTCGTAGTGGTAAATCCAATCACCACGTCGGAATCAAGAAGCACCGAAAACATTTCGGCACCATTCCACTCACAAAAGGTAAAAAGTTTGCTTCATCATCAAGGCATCCTCCGCGGGTAAAAAAAAGTCGTCATTGATAATGTTATTGAAGAACAGGCTGACGACAAGCGGAATCGACAATCAACAGGGGTATCAGAAGTGGTACAATACAAACGGGTGTCGAAACCATCAGGTGATGTAAATATTATTGCGAAGCTTGACCAAATTATGGAGAAAGAAAGAGTAAGAGAGACCGAATACAGTAATAACCAAGGCTGCAGAAAGCGAAACAATATTGACATAGCATCTGGCGTAAACTAACAGGTAGACAATATTTGCGATGGATCGTAGGCGAAGAGGCATTGAATATGAGTTGTTGAATCTGAGATTGTTTATGGCCCACCCCGGAGAAGTGGAGGGAGCGAACAGTTGGGTGGCAGCGGCGCAGCGATATTGACGGTGTGGCAAGCCTCTGTCACCCGCTTCCGCAAGTCGTCGCATTTGCTCAATAACACTGGGAATCCCGATCAGATCAGTGATAATGATGAGAAAACTTATATTACTGACTTGGGCAAGGCCACAACGTATTCAACACGTCTACCGGCACTATGACGTCTTTGGCAATCTCCAAAGCATCAAGAAGTGACTTGTCCTCCTCCCACAAAGAAAGACATCTGCGGGTATAGTTTCCATATTGAACAGGTGAAGTCTCTGAATGTGCGCTGGACTTACATCGCAACTTGGCTTAAAAACCAGGTCACCTGGAACGGCTGCCTTGTGAAAAGATGGCCATCTTGATCGCCAAGATGGTGAATTGACATCTTAACTCTGCGGATGAAAAGGTTCTGGTAGTACACTACCGTTGCCAACATTACAATCAATCAACACATCCCGAAAATAGAGCCACTTACGCCACTGCTCAGCCTGCTTGCGGTTGAACTGAGGGGAATTTCCAGCTTCTGCATGGCCACTAGATACGCCACCATCAGCAAGACTGACGACATACCAAAAGCATATGCTTACGCTTGTAAAAGCTGAGTAATTATGATTTGTGTGCTGCAGAAAATTATTGTCATCAATAGAAAACACTAAGGAGATGAAATAGACGTACTTGTACACGTACTCCCGACACATGTACAACAATGCCATATCAAGGTTGCAAGTGTGGGTATCCAAGGCATCTTGGATTTCAAGGGTCTCCGACCAAGCTTCAACCGCAAGGTCCGTTGTCTCTGTGCTGCTAAAAACATTTTTCCGGAGACGAGTGGTACAGAAATTCCAAAGGAGCATGCTGCGGCAATAGAGTGCCCATATTGATTCTTTAGGAGACTGCGCCTTGTGCTCGTTGGACCCTCGTTGTGATATCTCGCCAGGGAACAGTAACCGAAACTGTACAACTGTCAGCCTGGATTAAATGCACGGACAAGGAACAAACATTGGAAGGGTCGGTTAGGAAAAGATCGCTCGGTTCTTTCTGGAACGCGATGCAATGTGACGTGTACCTGGCCACGAGGTTAAGGGCGCTCCAACATAGCCTCCTGCAAGATTCCTTGTGCATCTCCTCAGGTGTCCACGAGGGATCCCAAGGTGGCGTGAAAGACCACGAAGACGAAAATTGTTCCGTAGCGATAGATGAATTTGGAAGGGGGATACAGTCGCACTTGCGAGGGATGGCATGAGGGGTACGGCCCCCGTCCTTAGACATTTGGTCAAAGGGGCGGCGTCTGTGAGCGATGGGTACAGCATTAGGGGTGAACGTCGACACGTCTGGCTCATTGCCGTCCAGGAACGTCAAGCCTAATTGGCGAACAATTCCATCGAGATAGGCCAGAGAGCGTCTCGCGCGTTCGGAGGTATAGTGTGGGTGAGCCGAGGACTCGTACACAGCGATGATCTGGATAGAACGTAAGCAACAATTGAGAGAAGCTAGAAGCACAAACTCACAAGAGCAGCTTTCGCAAGGGTCATGTCTATCCATTGGGAATTCAATGACGCTTCGAGCCAAGCCTGCGCCTTATCACGAAGCCAGACGGCGCGCTCGCGACCTGCAGACCCCAATTCCATCTCACTCGATTTCATCAAGGTTGCTAAAGCTAACCCCGCAAAAACAAGTGAAGGTTGCATAAGCGAACGTTCTTCAGGGTTATATAGGCTGTGGACGAATTCTGGAACGTTCACGAATGATAACCAGTAACCGCTAGTGGTGAACCTTAACAAAGATTAAATCAAACCAATTGAATCACATCAGTCGATGACCTACAATGTTGAGAGATCTGATGCTATGTCCTTTAAACTGATAAATAAAGCGTCATTTAATTAGTCTATTCATGCAATCGATAATGTAAATGACGTACGACTGATCCCGAGTAGTAGAGTAGCTCATAACCAAATTATCCCACCATTCCTTGCGACTGTACTGTACGGAGGGCGTTGATGGGATGCGGTACTTCTCCACTTGATGCTGAATAAGAAGTGGTCAAGTCAAAAAATATTTGGCAGATAAAAAAACACGGTGAGATAAACGTACTGGATAACTGTCGTCTGAGGCTGCACGCGTTTGCATAGACGAAGAAAAGTCAGGGCCAGTAGGTGAAAGTGAGGGCTGGAGTCGAATTCTATCCCCATCGGGCCGCAAAGCGGGAACATTGGGAAGTCCACGAGATTCCCGCGGAAGCTCGTAGTCATCATTCCTGACCGAAGTGCGTTTCCGCTTGGACGGAAGGGAAGGAGGGGATGAGCCATCGGTTGGACGTTTCTTACATGAGCGCTGGCGAGTGCCTGGCCTTTTATCGGGCCCTCGCCGTTTGGGTGCTGCATCATATTGGCATTCATTCGAGCGGCGCACACAATTATGACAAATTGGTCTTGTGGAGTCGCACCGAATTTTCCTCGCACGACTTAGCAACCACGTGAATGAGCAGCCTGAAATAAGAATAAGAATGAACGCACCATTGCCGACAAGCTATCACTTGATTCGAAATTTCCCTGCGGGGCGGATCCTGGGATGTAGATGCTGCTGGCTGTGGTTGAGGGGTTGACTCTGACGTTGGAACAGAGGATCGAGTGCTCTCTGGAGTTTGTATTACAGGGGGTTGTGCTGAGCCACCACCGGAGGAGTAAGATTGTGGACGCAAGTCCTCGGCAGAGTATCTTCGGTTTGGGGGGCCTTGGTAGGACAAATTGACGGCGCCGCCATGAGCTGGAGGGGGGGGAAGGCGGGTGTTGGGGTAGGCATGGGGCGGAATGTCAAGGCCAAGGTGATTTCTTTGTGGAAGAGAAAACTCAGACTGATATGAATTATGGTGGTGAGGATTCTGATTTGAATGAAGATTCAAAGGAGTTTCGAGAAGGTGAGGGTGCGGGTGGATGTTGATATTGGTGTAATCGAACTGAGAGGCTAAGATGCCCGCTGCATGTTGTATATCTAGTTGATCTTGATGATAACGGACTTTATTGTGGACAACATGTGAAATGACGATTAACGTTGTTTTGAAAAGACTACGAGCTTTGATAGGACTTACTGTCCCCGTGCGGCTGAGGAAATTGAGCCCCGAAGATGGGTGAGTGAAGGCCGGAGCCATCCTCACTGGACTGAGGACCGTCCTCCATCATCATGCCTTGTGGAAACGGAGTATAGATATCACTGTCTGTGCTGATGACCATAAGTACTGAAAGAAGGGGGATGAGAGTTTAGAAGGGAAAATGGTAACTGGTAATACGGCACTGGTTTTCGATGCTTTGCCACGCGAGACTTACTCGTAAAACTTGAAGGAGAAAGTACTTGTTAAGGGGAACACATGCCCACGGCAAGCTCAATGATTATCAAATCTTGGTACAATCATGAAAAACACATATCATACATACATTTATATTTTATATTTTATCTTGAATATCTTTACGAAAAAGGGGGAAAATCTTCCACCTCCATGAATTCTTTCCTTGGGGTGCAACTTGCTTTTTTCCATCAGATTCATACCCACGACGCAACTTCGGGGCCGCCTTGAGCACCGTGTACGCGTGCCTGGTCGTCAAGTGTTCCGAACAAAACTCTAATTATTTTCCTCTACTTTTGTTCTCAACATGGCTCATTGTACAAATTACCAAATTTGATCAGCCGTTCTGCATCAGAATTGACTATCTTGCTTAACCTTGCTCAATTTTCAATATCAACTTCCATTACATGCCGCGTAGCCTCAATCCGGGTTATCTCCTTCAATTGACAGTCCTGCACATTTGATGTTTTTTAAATTCATCTGTCTCTCTTACGGCGCCCGACCCTCTCTCCATTGTAGTGAAGACACGTCCCCTCCCCGCTCAAACTTCAGGGTCACTTGATTCTAAACTGTCAGTCGGACTTCCGACCGCACCTTCCCGCGACGATTAACTTGAACGACCATCGGATGGCCTCAGCCTGATTGTGCCACGTCTGAAAACTTTAAAATTAGCCGGATAGCCGTGCTCAATTTGGAAGGTACCGTACGCAACCCGCATGGCACAGCACGGCACATACTACTACAAAAGATACTTAAGCGCTGTTAAGTTCCTCGTCGTAAATCTGCGATTGAGGGGATTAGATACCCCACACAGATGCTGAACTGGGTTGAGCTGCGGTCACAGCTCATTTAGGCTGATTTTTGATCGCGGCTAGACACGTCAGCGCGGGGGATTCTCTGGGATTTTTGGTAGGTAGAGTCCCCAAATGTTGTTACTTACGTCAATTCCTATTGTGGTGATTAGTGGGTGCGATCACCGTCCTCTCGTTAACCTCATGCAGGTCCGTGCTAGTGTGGCGACGTGAAGGTCCTGGTCGACGGCACAAGTTCACCGCGATTTTCAATGCCACTACCACGAAAACATAGTACTTACAGATGAGATGTATTTGGCCGCATCCATGGCACATGCTATTTACAGTTCGAATGTCCCACCTCGAGTCAGTAGCTGCCATCGCGACCCAACACCAGTTTCAGGGCGGTCACCTTTAGTTTCACAGGCCCGTCGGCATCCTTTCATGATAAGCCAAATTAGGGTGGCTGACGAAACTTGGTGTTGAGCTGTTGTGCGGTACAAGCTTTTGCATTTCTATTGACATGCTTCTCCGTAAATGAGCCAACTTAACGGTCAGTCGAACTGTCACAGATACACGCGTTATATACAGCCGCTTGTCCATTTCACTTCTGATCGCAATTGGCACCGAAATTGCTGTATATGGTATCCTCTGTATTTGGGGATACAACAGTCCTCGTGTCTTGCCTCATCCATGTTCAATTTCTTGTTCTCGTGTTGTGTTCGTCAGCGTCGGCGCGACCCAGTATGTACAATGAAACGGGTCGTGGAATCAATATACCTAACAATTCAGTAGACGGTTCCTGATGAACGCACCTTTCTCATTCCCGCCACCACCATAAGCGAGACTCCTACGCAAGTGTCCTACACTTTATTCTTCACTGTCTCTTTCTCAAAGTCGGCACAGACCTCAGCCGCGGGTGGTTGACCATCAGAAGCTAAAAGAGCGGTTGGGTACCGTCGTGCGGTCAAAAGAAGGGTGCGTTTCTTTTATCTCTGCAATTTATTTTTTTCCTTCTCCTGCATCGTGCTTTCTGACGATGTCACACAGAAAAATGGTCAATGTAAATGCCGCCTTCCCATTTAACCTCCACAACCAGTCACTTGGCGACCCTCCCTCTCGTAGTGTCTCAGGCGGGACCCTGGATAGCAGTCGGCACGCCTCGCGATCCCCTGCACGTCATTCGCTACACACGAGGCATTCGAGCACTTCACTACAGCGGGATGCGGAAGGTTCCGCTTCTCAGAGCAATGACGCAGTGGAAGGAAGAGGCGATCCGCAAAAGCCGATATTAAATGTCAGGCTTGTATCAACTCCTGTGAGCAACGGTGCGAACAGGGCAATTAATAGCATCTCTCGGGGGCGACCAGGGCGTGGGATCGAACATGGACGAGTGATGGTTGTCAATGCTGACCACATTTCTCATCCTGACGAGGACGTCGAAGAACATGACCATGTGGCCGAAGACAGTGATGCGCTAACACCTTGTCCACAAACGCAAATGTCTGAAGGGGATGCAGATAAGTTGTCTGATACCGTGAGCTATTAATCTATGGTTAACATCCTGTGACCCTAACTCGTTCTCTCCACAAGGACCCCTCCAAGCCGTCTCCTGATGTCAATGTCATACATACCGAGGATTTTACGATTCGTGACGCTGGTGCTATATCACGTTCCTGGGGGGACTGAATGCTCCGATCTTTTGTTCTAAAATCTGCATGCTCACTCCGGAACTTGGTCGTCCATGTAAGGTAGTACATTACCCTTACATGTATTTCCGAGTACTGCAAGGATTGTTCCGCACAGTCGATCTGCCGGATCTAAATTCATGCTACATCTGGTTGGTATTTATACCAAAAGTTCCGGTCCGATTCATTGGTCAATGTTTTCGTCGGAGCCCAAGTAGGATGAGAGTCACACAGTTATCTTGGATTGAATGATTGGACGATACACTGAAATAACTGTGCAGATGTGACCATGAATTCCCTATTATCTTTGGCGGCGACGTAATGCCTTGGTATGGGCGTCTTTGAGTTTCATGTGCGTCCCTCACATTGCGCTCTAAATCCTCGCGGTATTAATTCGGCAGTAAATCGGGCACGGCGCTGACCAGACATAGGCAGGTGGTGTTCACAAAAGTGATCCACAAGAAAATCAGGGCAGGGTTGCAACGGCCTAAGTAGACGGCATTCCCTAAGAAGATATAGGTTTTTAGACATCCACTTGTTGTAAATTGAGATTTCAATGCAAGACGGTTCATCCGTTGCCCTTGGAATGAAGGGCAGTGGAAGGTCTTTCATTCTCATCGGCGCCCGTGCGTATGGGATTAAGAGCCAACTCAGGTGTGTTCTTTGCTGAGTACTATACGTGTCCCTCCGACGATGAACTTAAAATGACGCCATCTGCAGATGCTTACGGGCTGTTAAGGGAACGGCAGCCAGCCCTGGAGCTTCACAGGAAAAATCTCGCAGGCCCAGACTTGCCCAGACTTTGCGGATCATTGCGACATCGAATATCATTCGCTCCAACTTCATTCCTGAACGTGAACATTGAACCGTAACACGTGAGTACTTTTGAGTTTGTGTATGGGGAATATGCAGGGCTCCGCGCCCTGGCATCCTCACGATTTTAACACCCAGCAAAGTCTGTTCCCACGGCTCTTGCCACAGAGCTTCTATCCTTGCTATGACGCCGCGTTCACGATTCCAGATGAGCGTGGCAGCGCGCGCGTCCACCGTGAACTCCGCAAAATGCCGAACCAGTTTTAGAGTTATGTCCATTAGATCTTGACTCCCTGGGTTTCTAAAGACATCAGGAGGTGTGAGTGTCAGGTACGTAACACTCTTAGAATAACAATACACAATGGATCAAATTAGACCAGGTCATCATTCCTGCAGTCTCATGAACCAACCACCTTGTCAAGGGTGGAATGTATGTCAAGAATCAATCATCTCAGACTCAGGCTCATCAGGACACCCATTGAAGCCCAACCATGCTTCCGATATTCTGGTGTGGCACTCTATCATGATGTGCGTACTGTCGCTTCCTCCTTTGGACCGGGGAAATTTTTGCGCGGTAAGTCTATGGGGTTATGATTCATGAGAGATCTGTAATAGATGAAAAACAGCAACCTTAAACGTGGACGGGATATACCGTAGTATATATGATCTGGGCCATATGCACCTGTGACTAGTCGGCAGTTTCCCCTCACTGGCAGAGCCAGACCGTGACGACACAGAAGAACGGTAGTTCCTTACTCTGACTTTCCGCGACGTCAAAAACAGTACTGGCCTGGGTCATCGCACATCGAGAACGGAGCTAACACCTCGAGTAATCCGAATTTCATATAACTTGCACCTATTGCACAGTTGCCAAACGACTCGGATTTTTCTCATTATCTTTTAAATTCAAACAACAACTAGTAGGCGTGCTTCTATTTACGGAAGGCTGTTACAGTATTGCGAAACGCCCTATGATCGGTATCGTCCTCTCCGCATTACATGCACGCTTCTCGGCTGTCATCTTGCAGTTTTGTGGCATGACGACTTGGAGTACGAGAGGATCTGATATGATACAAGAAAGCGCGTTTTCATTCGCTCGGGATCAACCCTCCGGAACGTACTTTGTGTGCAAACTCATTTCGATTTGATGGGGCCAAATCTCGGCGAAATGCACAAAGTAAATTACCACTAGTGAGTCAATATAATTGGCGGATATAGTCATCATCATGAATCATCAAAGAATACCGCCAGGACCTGCTCTAGCAGAAAGCACGCACAAATATTTCATTTCTTTATGGAGTGATAGATAAAAGGACTTACGAGGTTCTCTCCGACCCGGAGGCAAGTCAAATTCAATGGCTTATTATGAACAAGCAGTCACGACAGTACGATCCTATCATCAACTTGCAAGTTATCACTCGACTCGGACTTTTCCAACAACTTCTCGGCACATTCATATTTTTGCCGTCGGTATACGAAAGGATGCTGTTGTCCTGCCTTGATTAATCCAGCCACTCTTATCGATCGTATCGCCTCATTATCGCCTCTCGTCCTGCTTCTCTATATAGTTCAACAAATTAAGCTGAGGTATGCGATGAATTCACTCATGTATTTCACTCTCTGACTTTTACACATTCTCTCACGACCAGTTCAAGTACTTTCTGGTCTTCGCCATCCTTTTTGGTTCCTACTTGAATTGTCATCCGCACCCTCTTCCGCTGAATTGAACTTTCGTGAATGCATCGGCAATATCCCTTTATGCATGTGCAAACCCAATCTTTCTGCTACCCAGATTACTCAAAGACGTCGTTGCGGTGGCGGACTTGTTCCTATTTTGTGCGGCAGATGTAGGGGCAGGAATGCTCAAGGTCAATTCCGCCAACAGAACCGTGCCACGAACACTATTTGACAATATAAGAACCCCACATCCCAAAATTGTCCATCATGGTGGGCAGCGAGACTGCTGTGATTTCTTTTTTAACATATTAAGTGGCACAAGTCCCTGGTTAACACGCTCAGTTTCCCAAAAAAATATCAACCTCGTGTTGCGATACCTCGTTCCATCGGCCAGCAGTTGTTCCACCGCTTCTTTCTTGCACTCCAGTATCACAAATGCTGCGTCGATCCGCATATAGATTCCGGACCGGCGAGATCGATTTCAAGCCTAGTGTTTCCCAAATAAAATCGGTCCCCGTTCGAAGGACCAGAAGTAACGCCCAGAGTTGTTGTAGATCACGTTGGTGCGTTAATATTATTACTTATGAAGGAGGACGCATGAGGTCTGGACGTACTCGTGAGTCTAACTTCTGCAGACTGTAGAGTCTGTTGTTGTGGTACCGAAACACAACCTACCCATAGGATTCTGCCAAAGAACTGCCTGTGACACAACGCTCATAAAGCACGTTATAGGGGCACGCGGTACTATTTTGGTATGGGCGGAGTTTCAATATGTATTGCTCCAGACCATTCTAATTGTCCTCACTCAAGTCTCGTTGGAACGCAGACGACGAGGATTTAGCCAGCAAAACGAGGACCCCGTTGCGAGAGCAAGAGGCATATTTGACATGCCGAATGATGCACGGGGCATCGGCCAGAGGCGGCAAAGAGACTGGCCCTAAACAGAGCATGTATGACATGCCGAAAGACGCACAGGGCATCGGCCAGAGGCGGCAAAGGGACAGGCCCTCAACAAAGGTAATTTTCGGGAAGACCCGAAAGACAAGGGTGCTGAGGAGCACGCTTGTCCAATTACCCTGGTGTAAATAAAGTTAAACTCGAAATATTCCAAGACGACTTGTTTCATTCCCCTCTCAAGAATATGGTACAACAACTATGGTACGTATCAGATATACATAAATCAAGATGATATGCTACAGTTATACAAGAATAATATACGAATGTAGTAGTACAGCTCCAAAATTACAGGTGTTGATCATCAAAAAACATCAAAGGTTATGGGCGACTATATGTCTCATTATTGTCAGGGAGGCCAACATCTCTGTACGCCCTAAATCAGTGTTGTGCCGCTAGAAAATTGAAAAAATGGGCGTACCGGCTGCGAGGTGCGGATAGGCCTCTTCAATAGTAAGCACGCATCCAGAGGAGTGATCGTATTCTGGCTCTCCGGGTACTTTCAACGAATACGACGCGACTTGATGGTTACTTGCGTTTGTACACTAAGAATTATGCATGAGATTTAAAAACGCATGTGAGAACTAGCACGTACCGTCCACTCCTCGCTCTGTGTGGCTCGCCAGCTCCATTTGTACTGCTGGCCATCAGACCCAATGAACTTCCTCGTCTTTGCACTGGATGATAGATAAGCTAAGAAAAAAGCACACGTAGTCGGAACTTGCCTCCCATTGAAAGATGGTTCAAGGAAGCTGCTCATGGGTACCTGAGAACCAGACCCAAAAGTTATTGTTCCGAGGGAGTTGTTGGAGCCGAAGTTTAGGGTCACGACTGGATCTGTTCCTGTTGCCGCGTTGTAAATTATATATGTTGCGTGCGTAGATCCCCGAGAGGTGCATCGAAGCGTCAAGCGCAAACGATCATTGATGTCCACGAAGTGCGATCCTGACAGCTTGCCCGTCTTGTCCTCCAAGAGGTATGGCATTCCATAGCTTGTCATGATGAGGATCGAAGGATAGATAGGTTGAAAGTTTTCGGTGAGGGGATGATGAAAGAGGAATTCAGCCGCATCCCAGGTATTTCTGCAAGTTAGCCATGGCAAGCCGTCAGCCTATTTCGGCAGCCATGACATGTCAGGAGACCGTCATGGTATCCGGGCGGTAGATAGGAGGGATTCGCACTGGCGTGTAGCCGAGATAAAAAAAAAAGACCGTTAAGCGGTAAGTCTGTGAGATGGGCACGTTGAATTCAGGCGCGCGACATCGGACTGACCGATAGAGCCAGAAGGAGGGGAAGACATGCGAAAGAGGAAGCGTAGATCAAGGATCAGGCAAGGTATTCGTCATGCACGCTATTTGCGAGGACCTGATGCTTGAAATTAATGACGTTTGTGCCTGTCATGACGTACCAAGGAGGACAGATACTCGGGGGTCATTAGAGACAAAGCCTAATTCTCATCAGGTCCACTTCGTTCACGGTCGATGAACCTGGAAGCACGCGGCCGGCGTGCTTTTACCTAATCCTTGTTTCATACGAAACAGCACAGAACTAACGCGTTTTGGCTCTAGTGTCAACATGTTTGTCAGGCGCTGGAACATGCAACGAGGCAGAGTCAGGTGAGGCATTAGCCGGAACAAATGATACGGTATGATTATCGCATGGGGAATATCTCGAAATCGAATACAAATCTGTAGCCAAGAATCTCTCAGGCATGACCGACATGCACGCCAATTCGTCATCAAGATGGCATGGATCAATGCGCAACTTCACGTCTTTGATCTCCGATTGGCAGCCCCATGCTGCAATGGTGTGGCACCAATGCGCATGTATCAGCGTCCAGCCCAAACTCGGTCAATTCCAAGACGTACTGCAGTTGACAATACCTGGAAGTTCCAGACGCATCTTGAGTTACGGAATCACAAGTTCCAAAAATTGTGCGGTCAGCAGTGGCCGATGCCATGATTCTTCCGCGAGAAGGCGAAATTTGATGAGTTAGTGCGGGGCAGATGCATTGCGAAGTTCTAGGTGCGTAATACATGAACATAGGACAATCTGCTGAAATGGCATGATATATTTCTTGAAGAAGACTCAGCCGATTTAATTTCGTTCATGACGGGTACTCAGCCTGTTCCTTTGATCCAAGTCCCACCGCCGCCGATCTCTTTCGCGTTCTCTTTCGCGTACAACTTCATCATAGTCCTTCACATGTCGAGGAGCATGAGGTGAACGACTGTGCCGCGGGTGACGACGCCTGCCGTAATCAGCGTCTTTGCTAGGTTTAGGTGAGCGCGAACGAGTCCGATCTCTACGGGAACGTTGTTCGTATTCGGCATGGCGAGACTCCCGATGTGCCTCTTTGCGTGCTTTTTTTTGTTCCCTCCGTTCGGCTTTCTTACGGCGCTTTTCCTCTTTCTCTGAAGGATGCTGTCCATCATCTACAGCAAGGGTATGCGCCGGTCCTGATTGAACGCTTGAAGGGGCTTTTGTAACAGGAATGCTACCAGACGGTGCAGCGGCAAACCCACTGAGGAAGTCGTTCAATACTGGTCCGACATGTTGAGGATAACACTCACAGTGCTGCAGAAAGTGCCTCTGCTTCCGCTTCCTTGACCTTCCTTATCTCTTCTTCCATCTCAGACTCATCCTTGTTATCTCTACTATACCAGTGAACATCTTTGTTTTTCTGCCATCTCCCGGTCGGGGCATTGATACTGTGACCCAGATAGTTCTAATTGACAATTAATACCACTAGAATAAACGTCGTGTAACAGTCGACGAACCTCTCTGTCTTTGTCTGCGGAGACATCCGTCCATTTGAACTCTGCCTGGCCTCCTCGAGTACCTCCCCGAATTGGTTCAAACATTGGAAAGAAAACGTCGAGAAACCTGTACTCGGTTACCCTGACCGAGGTGCCGTGAGAATTTTATGAGCTACTTACTAACACGAACTTCCTCTCGGGGTAAGTAGCTGCAGAGCCTCGTGTCCTAGGAGGTCCTAGGCTCTATGAACATGCTATCTTGACGCCGGTACCGCGTCGATTTTTCTTCACTAATCCACATCCGTGGCGCCGCCACAAACCATGTCTCCTTCGGCACAGATAAGTTCAAAGTAGCCTATTTTTATTTACCTTATTCATGAAACTTACTGATTCTACTATGGTACACACGTGTGCATGCACAAAAAGTAAGACTGAAAGTTCACCCAGGACACCGCCCGATTGTCATCTTGTGGCCTCGTTCCTCGGCCAGCAGGATGGCAAGGCCATGCCGCTGATGTTGAACTTCAGTCCCCTTTTTTGTCATCATATTAATTTTTTCATGGACTACTTACTATGTGTGAAGAATTGACGGTCCAATGTCACCGTGGTTTGCAGTCTGAGATTTGCAGTCCGAAGAGGTGGCGAATAGATGTGTTCATTGAATATCTACAGGATTCAGGAAGGTGTGCATATACTAATACTAGTATCTGTTGTCCCCCTGTCCGTGTCACACGGTAGCAGAGTTGAGTGAGATAGTTGAAAGACACACCTGTCGATATGTACCGTGACGAAATTTTCACGATACTGGCACTTTGGAAGTGCCGACTGGTGCTGGTGCAGCGCTGCTGAATATTTTTATCGATTCTGCGCTAATCCAGCTCTCCACGTCCTACAATAATCCATCTGGCGGTCCCATTGCATCTCGACTCACTACATCCCCCTCAATTATACAACTACAGCATTAATGGTCACCGTACTTGCTCGCTTACGCCGAATACTAGTAATTGCTTGGCCGAGCTCACTTTGAAACCAGCCTATGTGACATGCTGTGACTCACAGTGATATTTGGTGCTGACTGAACCGTTCCGGAAGGGATAGTAGTAGTGACACTCAGGCAGATACCAGACCGGAGAATGCAAGACGGTCTCAGGCTAATGTCGAACTGCAGGTTATGCTTGTGCGGAATGTCGTACAAAACCAGGCAGAGTCATGGATGGATCGGTATGCCACCAGGAAGAGTCGTTATTCATATGACGCGCTTTTGATAAAGCACACGACTCTCAGGCCTGATTTTACGGCGGGGACTTTCCAGTGAGACGAAGCAACGTGGAGTGGGCCATGCGTTCGATCGTGTTGCGCTTGAACGTTTAACACACTGATTAGCATTATGCCACTATGCTAACGTCAATCAAAAGTTGCTCTGAGTACAATTACAGGTAACATGTAATGATGTATGTACGAGCCTCGTAACGCCTTATCTCGGTTGAGTCGAAGACCGCCTTGCTCTAGGCTCTCTCCAGGATTGTTGCAAAGATTCCCATGTAATGTTCCCAAAGTCGTAGTAGGTGTGGAAGTTGTTTCGAGTTTTTCAAAAATATTTTACTGCTTTATTCTCTTGTTGCTTCTGCCATCATATCCACTGGCTTCTTCCGTCCCAATACGCAGCTACTGTATAATACGCTGGAACGATCAGAACACAAATCTGGTACATCGAACGTTCATTTCGAACCCAACGCGGCATTAGTCCGATACCCCATCAAAGTCGTGCAATCGCTGCAAGGGGCACCGAGCACAATCCTGTATCTACGACGTCCGATCACCATGCCACAACCAGTACCAGTAATTCGCCCTATGGAAGCTTCTATGAGGTTACTGCATAATTGCCAGTGCCTGTAATACGGATAACCATGGCCGTGGCTAAGCTGCTTTGCCTCCACTCGCGAGGTCATTTTTTGGGGTTGAGGTGAGTAACCAAACTATCGTCTCATGACTCATGTATTCATTACTGCACGTCGTCGACGATACTAGGACGCTTCACAGACACCAGGTTCCCCTGGTCATTTTGACTCAGCTTGGACTTCATGATCAGTGGCACCGGCGCATTCACTTATCCCTCATCCAAATAAGGCAAGGTATTAAATTATTCCAAGGTTTATCCGGTTGAACAGCTTCAACGGAATACTTGCGTAATGGCACAATGACCACCAAGTGTATTGCATGGAAAGCATACCATTACTCGATGCATTTGCGTTGACTGAGTGCGTGTTGCGTGTATTTCGATTCTGACTGCAGTCTTTTGCGGAACTATTTTACTGATTTGAATTGTCTATTTGTCATTGATCGGTCACGAGGACGCACGGGCCCTCGTGGCAAGAAACGGGGGTTTTGCTGCATGTGGAAATAGCCGAGCAGAACCTTCGTGTTCTCCTCAACCATCGTTTATCTGTCGCGCAAACGCCAAACGCACTCTACATTTGTCTCTTTCATTTCTGCGCCATCTCTGACGATGAGCAAAAAGGGCAATAAAACGCAGCAACCAGAGACTAGCTACGCAGAACGTGATATCGTGCTAGCTAAAGTACGCGGCTTCCCCCCGTGGCCGGGCATGGTATGTCGCGTCTTTTCAACTTTTTTGGAAGATATTCGTGCCAATGGCATGTACAGGTCGTAAACCCTGACACAGTCCCCTCCATTGTGTCGAAGGAGCGCCCAGGAGGCAAGAAAACTACGTTCCACTGTGTCAGGTTCTTCCCCGCAGGCGACTAGTATGTCAGTACTGCTCATTCTCTTTTGCCTTGTTGAACTTTGCCTTCCAGTGCTTGGCTTGTGTCAAAGGATATCTCCAAGTTAAAGCAACATGAGATCGAAGCATACATCAACGAACCTCACAAGAAATCTGGCGACCTTCTGACAGGCTATCGGATTGCACTGGACCCATCGAAATGGGAAAAGGAACGTGAAAATGCAGACTTGGCAGCGGTAGAGCAGGAGGACAATGCTCCAGTTGATCAGCTTGACAGTGACAATGAGGAGGATGGGGCAAAAAAATCGGCCAAATCCAAGAAACGAAAGCGGGAATCTGAGGCGCCTCCCGCCAAGCCCAAGGCCAAATCCAAGGCCAAAGGCGAGAAAAAGGTTCCCTTATCTAAAGGGAAGAAGAATGGCACCAAATCGAAGGAAATGGTCGAGTCAGAGGACGACGGCGAGCCAGAAGCCGAGGCTGAAGAGGACGAGGAGGCAGGATCGAGTGCTAAGGCAGCCCCTCCCCCATCTAAGAAGCCCAAGCGGGAAAAGGAGGACGATATCGATCGTATGTTTGCCGTTTGCCACCACGCCACACCCTTTGTGCTCACTTTTTTCCATTCAGCTGCACTTGAAGGGGATAACGAAGCTAAGAAAGTCCGAGAATGGAGACACAGATTGCAGAAGTCCCTTCTGGGGAGCAAAGGATTGCCTCCAGTTGATGTATGTTCTATTTGTTATCGGCCAATCAGTCGTCAATCAACGTTTTCTCCAGGAGATGCCTGCTCTTGATCAACTTTTTTCAACTATCGAGAATTATAACCATCCCAATCTCATATTATACCTCTCAGTGCGTCCTACATCCCATTGTTCATGTTTGCAACGTGTACTCATGGCTTCTGTTGCCTAAATTTCCATGCAGTTTTCCAAAATCGGTAAGGTCATGCGTCACATTGCTGCTTTATCCACGGATAAGGTTCCCCGCGACGACGAATTCAAGTTCCGGACACGAGCGAAGTCAATGGTCGATAAATGGCACGCTATTCTTGGCGCTAGCAAGGGAAATGAGAATATGGCTGAAGGCGTTGTTAACGGTGCACCGGCAGATGCGGACGCTACTGCAGAGAAGAAAGTCGATATTACGCAGACGTCTCCAGTTGAGAACGGCCCTTCCACTGCTGTGGACACATCATTGGGTGATGTTACGATGACAGAAGCATGAAATATTCATAGGCCTCCTCGATGCATTCAAGCGTTGTCCTCGTCCTTTCATATTTTCTTTCCAACGTGGCTTGTGCCCTCGCGTTCGAGGATACGAACGTCAACTGTATGTATCACTCGCACACTCATCGTTGAAGCTATTTTACATTTTCACTTGACACATTATTTCCTCGTGACAACATATGCGGTTCATATGTTCCAATGCCATGCTATATCGTATGCTCTTGCGCCGCAGGATTAGTTTGAGCGTTTAAGCTTAAGATGTGGGCTGATTTCGTGCCGCTATCTGCGATGGAGCACATGTTGGATTCCACTTCCAAGATAATCTGCACCACTAACATGATGCCAGTGTTGAGCGCACACAACACATTTGCTGGCTGCGAATAACATCCTCCTGACGTTTGAAATTGAAATTTGAAGGCTTGAGGCGAGTACGTACTCGTCCTCACTTGGGCAACCACGATCGATCGTACACCTAGTACTTCCGAATCTAGACAAGACCTTGCCACACGTTATTATCCGCATTGTTCGAAAATGGGCTCTATTAATATTATACAGGGCCTCCTCAACTTACCTGGTCGACGCTTGCTCTTAGCTACGCAGGGGTCCTTGCATTCGTGTGTATATGCTACGCGTTTGAGCCGACCAACAGTCGAAGTGGAAACTTCATGGCGTCGGATGCGCATGCAACGTGGTGTCCGAGGTTATGCAAGTTCGTTCGTCAACATCCATGAAAAGAACAAATCTGAAGGCTTCCAAGAAGTGAACTCCGGTGAGCGGGTTGACTTTGGTTAGGTGTTGATGAGTTATGACCAGCCCCAGAGAGCATTGCATCTTCAGCAGGTACTATCCATATCTACAATGGCTTTGGAGGGATTTCTTGAAAACATTTCGTATGTGTAGACACCTCCCTGAAGCAAGAGTCTATGGGCCCTCTCGATGTACAGGATCTTCCAGAAATACCACCATTTCCCACTAGACCAACCCTCCACATATCTTTGGAAGACGTCACAATGTATATCCAACCACTGGTTTCGCGTCAGTGGAAAATCGGCCACGTCTCCACAGGACTCGGTGAAGATGAAATACTCTCTCTGGACAGGCGTTACAAGTTCAAGGGCTTCGACGACGTCATGGACTTTGTCCAAGGAGTCGCAGACATCTCACGGGCAGAAAAGGCGCGTATCAAAGTTCCCTCATAATTTCCAAGATACATAATTGAGTTGTCACATTCAAACTAGCATCACGCTCGAATCGTGTTCGAGTATAACACCGTGGACATTTCCTCGCATACGCATTCAGCGTACACCTTACACCGCGTAGGAAATGGAAAACCTGAGGCTAAAAAAGTTCCTGGGCTTACGCGGCGCGATATTCGATTCGCTATCAAGATCGAGGAGTTGCATGAAACATTCAAGGAAGGAGGGCGCACGATGGAGTTTGTATCAGCAGCACTTGCCGAGCTGCAGCGCCGGTCTATGAAGTCGGTGCTACGAAGGTATAACCAAAAGCAGACGGAGGATGTCCACAGCACGAGCAATGCGATGTAAATCCAGCGTGAGGCCTCATTGAAACGTTGCTACGTTCGTCGTTGATCAGTTATCAGGATTTTAACAATAATTCAAAGAACTCGCTCCCCGGCCGGTCTGTTTTGTGTATGATTAGCAAGAGAATCACATCCGGTTAGAATGTCTAAAAACGGTGGAATCCCCTCTTTTTAGAGGAGGTGCAAGCATCTTTTTCATGCTGCTCCTATGCGAATCTGAGTTGTTCGTTGTTGTATGCCGTGATAGGCTTCATTATCCTCCTGTCCTGATGTTCACCACCCAACGAGCATGAAATTACTGTAACAACCAATGTCGCGGATTCTGGAAGAACTTCATAACTATTGCTACTATTCTCTTGCTCTTATCTTCAAAATAAAGTAAGTGTGCACAGCATGCACTGGACGTCTTCCTCATTTCCATATCAGATCTGTAATTCTTTTATAATCGTCGAGCATCTCCTTCTCGAATACTATGCGCTCTGCAGCGAGATCTTGCTGCATGTGCAGTTCACTTGTGGTTCCACTGAGAGGGACGACGTTGTTTAGTTGGGCAAGCTTGAAGAGCACCTGCGCAGCTGTGACGTCTAGTCTATCTGCAAGAGAGGTGGTGTGCGAGTGTGTTAGCAACGCCGGGGAACCCGTCAGTGTCCAAAACGACCTATTTGACTGACTGTCAATCATTGAATAACTCTGCAATACGAAACTAACGCACTGGTAGATAATTCCATTCTCCTTACAATACGCCCAGACCTCTTTGTCCCAGGCATTACCTTCATACCACCTGTTTTGTACTATCTGCACTTTTCTTTCTTTTTCCAGCGCTTTCAGTACCCCAACATCGTACACGTTGCTAATCCCAATGGCGCGCACAGTTCCCTCATCCTGTGCAGCCATAAGCGTACGCCAGGCTTCTACCGTTAAGGGCAAAGTTCGGAGAGGGGAGTGGAGAAGGTAAGCATCGAGATATGACGTATGCAAGCTAGCCAGTGATTTGGAAAGGGAACTTTTGATCTGGGCAGGGATACTGTCTCGGGGGTTATATGGGAGGGGCTTGGTTGGGTCTTGACCAGGAAAGGGGGTGAATCTAAGGAAGCTTTACTTCAAGCTGCTGAAGAAACCCTCGACTGAGCCGACGTACTTTGTTTGAATGTAGACATCCTCTCGCTTTATACTATGCTTGTCTTGGAGAATCTCCAAGGCCTCCCCCACAAGATCTTCTCTGTAATATGCATGGCATTAGATGAACCAACGAAGCACTCAATGCAATGCCTGCCTGTAGTGTTTTGGCTGACATGCTACACAACTTGTTCACCATGAACAAAATTCAGCTGACTTGAACACTTACCTGTGTCTACAGCTCGGAAACCTTGGAGAAAGGCGCTTATCACAAGGCGAGCTGTGTTATCTCCCTTCCTACTTGCCGATTCAGCATGTCGCGTGCTCGCTCGCTGAAAGCTCACCATGCTGTCCCATAAATTAATTTCGGAGCTAGGTTCATGACAGGATTCGGTCTTGCAGAACTACCAGCAGGATCCGGTATAGTACTAGAAGTACGAGGCTCATAGGGCGGCGTTTGCATGCGGTGCATTATGGAGTAAGTTACCGTGACATCTGTTTCCGCGTCAGTATCTCGTGACGACGTCATATACAAGATGTGTCCTAGTTAGCTTAGTTAGGAGATTCTAGATCGTTTCCGTGTAGTTTTCGCCTGTATAAGTGCAAGAATGATATCTGTATACCCACAGGCTCGCTTCAAGCGTTGAACCCAAGTCGTTGCCGAACTTGCGAATAAAACAAGATACAAATCCAAAGTCAGTGGGAACTCGATAGTTGGTCTATAAGGGGATCTCGGTACTCAAAAGTAAACGACCTTCACCTTCGCAGAGTTTCCGGCAGGGGTGCCAAAGGCTTTCACTGTTCCTGTGTACGATCCCAACTTTACATCCGCCTTTTTCTTTGCTCTCTCATCTTTCTTTATATCTCTGTCTACATCCGCATTCTGCCGCTTGAATGTGTGGAAGTCATCTTCATCCGCACCAGCGCTTTGGCCCGTCCCAACAAAAGTTGCGGTTCCAGATTGAGCTGCATTGCATGCGTGTTACTCAGCTGATCGCCGTAGATTGGTTCCAAAATACATGCCTTGTTTTCTCAGTCCGCAGTCCTTGGCCAAATGAGACGTTTCGCCACAGAGTTTGCAACAGCCTCCATTTGGATAGACACCCTTGTCCTTGTTTTGTGGACAAGATGATGCTAAGTGACCCTTACCAGAACACACGAAACATGATGCAAACGGAAGAGGATGATGAGGGTCTTCTGGGGCATTGCATCGCGAGAGAGTATGCTGATTTGAACCACAACTACCAAAACCGAGTCTAATCCATCGATCGAAGGGACAAAGTAGAAAAAGGACGCACCGATAACATATTCCAACAGTTCTTTGTCTCGCCACACTACTACCACCACCACCACCACCAGCTTCATTACGTATGGTTGGACAGTCTCTTGCAGTGTGCCCTTTTTGGCGACATGCAAAACAAGTAGTGTCTGCGTATTTCTCTGCAATTCGTTTCTGGCGTCTCGATTCGGAACGTTGAGCAGGATCTGGCCGAGCTGCAAGCGTTCAGTATATAAGTAATTGCTCGCAGGGAAATATCTACTCTTCGGTTTCCGTTTATCCTTCAGTTTCTTCTTGGGCACAACTTTTGTTGTTTCAGAATCACCCGCATCCTGTGCCTTGTCCTCACTTGGTCCAGCTTTTTCACCACCATCATCACCATTTTCTTCTTTTGGTTTTTTTTGTTCGTTTTCTTTTCTTTTTTGGAGGAACTTGATCGTGTGGCTGGCTCTCGGATGGTAAAGTGGACGTCGAAGCGTGTGGCTCTGCCGGTTCTTCAACAGGCTCGGAATCATCAGGAAAGCCTGCTTGCACATGCGTGCGTTTTCGACCAAAATCCGTGATCCGTGTCATCGTTAGTTTCTTGACGCAGCGCAGATTGAGGTGTGCACTTGATGTGATCGTTGTACGCAAAACTTAAAATGCACCAAATTTTACACACTTCGAACCTTTTAGGAAAAATACCTCCTAAGTTTATTGTGACGGTAGTACCCGCGACTTGTTCCTGGCATGTTTAAATGTCCATCGAATTACATAAACGCAAACTAGTCTTTTTATTTCATTTTTCGTTGGCAAATGACTGCTACTATCCTATGTGATTCTACTGTCAATGCATGATCTTCCTCGACTCGTACACCGGTCTGACCAGCCTTAGTCAAATGGTAAGCATTCGAATTCGGACAGGACAAAAATGTGTAGGTTCGAAACCTGCTCAACAATCTTTTGTTTCCTTTTACCATGCTTTGAACATTCACTCGTGGATGGATCCTTCAAAGTCTATCTTAAGTATACTAGTCATAACTAACTGGCACAAGAACAGATTAGAAATCTGCTCTCTTGGGTGGTGCGGATTCGAGACCTGCTGACGGATGGTTTTCCTTCTTATCACACCCGTAACATCCGCTCATGGACACGAAGGTTTGTATTTGTCGATCCCAAATCCTCTCCGAGCACAAGCTGCTTTTTTCGGACTTCGCGGGATCCACGCGCCTGATTCGTTCGCAACTCACTACCTCCATTCTCCTCCTCAGGTGTCTAATTAGGGTACCGCACGGGTAACACCGAGGGTCGGAAAGTTGACACCGCACCCGCACCCGCCAACACCGTACCCTTCACGGGTACGGGTACACACCGACCCGTCAATGTCGCGGTTTATGGAAAACACCGCGGTGTCTCTGAACACCGCGGGTACATTACCAAGAAGAGTGTATTAAGTATTAACAACAATGAAATAAAATAGTACTACTTTTCCTTGTCATTCTCCTCTGCTTCGACTTCATTTCGCTTCCGTTTTTTGAGTCCTGACAGCGGCTAAAAGGTCCTCCATCACCAGAAGATCACTTCTGCCCCACGCTCCGAGGCAGAGAAAGGCACGAATTGTTGCTGCGTAGACAGAGCCACTATTAGCACCAGCATCCTTGCCCTTCATGGCGTTGTTGACGGCATCCTCGCCAAAGCATCCAATGGCATGGTGCTTCAGATTAGTCGTCGAGGACTTATCCTTTGTATCCTGATAGCGGCGCACACCACCTAAAGCTGTCTTACACTTACGCGCACCACACGGGAAAAAATGACACAAGCGGCCATTGTGGTGTTGGACCACAACTTCGGATGAAAAGAAACTATAGATAGGTGACCGCCAAGTCTTCTTGAGAGCCTCTGTATCATTGTATAATCAGATATTTGCAAAAATCAATGGAAAGAAACATACCAAGATCTGCAGAAGGATCGGGATCAGGCTCGAATGCACCTGCCGTTGATTTGTTATCGTCAGTGGCAAGTGAATCAGTACTTGATCGCGTAAGATCAACGGTGTCTGTGGGGCTCGATCGAGAAGACCGAGACACAAATGACTGCTTGACCTTCTTCAAGGGGCGGGCCAGAGCCTTAGCACCCTTTGCAACAGCCTTTTTGAGTGACCTGGCCTTCTCGAAGATGGACGACGAGATAGACTTAGATGATGAGTGTGACTGGGTAGACGAAGCATCAGATGCCTTCTTTGTGAGCTTAGTTTTCATGGGGAGACGACTCAGTGGACTTACTGGTCTCGAGTTTTTGCCTTGGCTTTATGGTAGTGACTCGAGCTTCTCTGCAACGAAGTGTCAGCTCAATAAATTGCTAGAATGATTCACGGGGGTACAAAAGACATGACAGAAATCAGTATAGCATTCACTTGTGATCCTCAAGCTCTCAGAGGAAGGAAAAACAGAGAATCAAACACGGTGTTCAATGGCTGTCGCGCGCCTGGTTCCCGATTTGGTATATTATACCCGCCCAAACACCGTCAACCCGCGGTGAATGGCCACGGTATGCTCAAGGGTACGACTATCCTACTCCGTACCCGTACCCTCCAAACCCGTCAGCATAGAACCGCGGTGTTACCCGTACCCGTGCGTTTCCCTAGGTGTCTTTCTCTCAAGAACGACTACTCCTCTCACAGATTCGAACCAACGAATATCATTTCTCTTTTCCCTCATCTTCTCTTAGACGACGCGTGAATACGAAGGGTGGTTACCACAACAGAATCGAAATCTGTTTCTCCTCGACTGCGCAGGTTCGAAACCTGCCGAGAATAAAGTATTTTTCTCTCGACCTTCGCCGCATTCACTCATGAATGGTCTCGTCGAAGGTTCATCTTCACCGGTCTCAGCTACTTAAGTGGTTACCACAACAGAATCAAAATCTGTTTCTCTTGGACTGCGCAGGTTTCAAACCTGCCGAACGACAGCTTTTCTATCGGAACACGCCTTGAAGATTCACTCATCAATGGTTTCCTCGGAGGTTCATCTCAACGTCACACTGGCCAAAGTGGTTACCACAACAGAATGTAAATCTGTCTGTCTCTGGGACTGTCACATGCTAGTGCAGGTTCGAAACCTGCCGACTACAAGGTTTTGTTCCATCATGGAACACACCTCGATGGAACAAAACCTTGAAGATTTGCTCATGGATGATTTCCTTGGAGGTTCATCTTAACTATGAATGGTCTTGGTAACCCAGGTGGTTACCGTGACAACAACGGAATCAAAATCTGTCGAACCTGCTGATGACAATTTTTCCCCCTGTTGGGCCATACCTCTCATGGATGCTTTCCTCGGATGTTCATCTTAACTGGTCCCAGCCAAGTGGTTCCTGCAACAGAATCAAAATCTGTTTCTCTTGCGTTGTACATGCAGGTTCGAAACCTGCTGAACGACAGTTTTTTTTTCTATTGGAACACACCCGGGCCTTGACATTGACTCGTGGAGGTTTCCTCGGCATTCCATCTAACTGGTCTTAGCCAAGTGGTTACCACAACAGAGTCAAAATCTGTTTCTCTTGGGGTTGGTTCGAAACCTGCTGACAACATTTTTGCGGTGTGTAGATCTTCGGAGGTCCATCTTAACTAGGCTAGCCGTCATGCCGAGACCTTCTTTTTATGTGATAGTCCATGAAAAAGAATCCACCTTCACGCTCCGCGAGGGTTGTCTTAGAAACATAACATATCTCCGAGGTGCGTACGTGCCATGATACATAGACTCTCGACAAACTGACCAAAACTGTTGGGATTCACCACCAAACGAAAAATGAGGCCAGAAGAATGTACGCAAGCCAAGGACAGAGTGAATCTGATAGTCAGGAAAATGATAAAACCTCCCAGCCTCGCTGAGCCTCATCGATGGACGCTCCTTCGGCCGTTGGCTCTTCCAATGCGACCGAGGGTGACTCGAAGGCTAAAGGTGGCAGACTGAGCCATATCATTCTGATGTGTAGTTTGCGTTTTATGTTGATGCCGAGGCGGAACAGATTTTTATTTACTTTCGATTGCTGCGACAAGACCCGGGCACAGGACAGATGTAAGGCCAACACGAAACTCTAGAACACCTTATATATAACGGAAAGCTGGAGACACCATGCAGGAGTGGCCCAACGAGGCATGCACAGCGGAAAACAGGGGGCTCAGCGAGAACTGAATGACAGACACCAAGAAAACTTGACAAGCCTCTAACTTACAAATAAGGTGTTAAATGACTGTGACCGAAAAGGCCTGAGGTTTTGGGAGATGGGAGACCGATCGTATTTGACAAGAGACCTTCACTAACTTGAACGTGGGGAGTCGGCGATCATGCACGTTCGTCGGCGCTTCAGTAGACTATTCAGTATCGATATCCCTCCAATCGTTGATCTAGTGAGAAGGATATCATGCTTCAAAGACCACGGTACTTTATTGCAGCTCGCGGTAATTGTTCGTGAGCTCATTGTTTCAGCCGTTCTATTCAGATCCCACGATGAATGAAACACTAAGATTGCATTGAGATATATCCTTCAGATTCGACGAAAACACAGAATCAACGAAAAAAAACTTAGGCATAAATGACATTCGACCCTGTAAAATCCACGACGCACTTCTGTTAGCTCTACGAGGTTACCGACCTCAACCAACACTTATTCTAAAGCCATTCCTTGAACGCAAGTTGATAAATTGTCTTGGCAACATGCACGACCAAAGCATAGCCGGCGACCATCGCTAGCAGGTACGAGTAGTAGATGGGCTCAGGCGGGGTTAACTGTAGGGCAGTGTTGACCTTCGGCATGTATGGGATTGCAATAGCAATACCAGCAATACCGAAGGTGGTTAAAACCACTGGGACCGATGCGCGGGACTGGATGAAGGGGACCTTGCCCGTTCGCAGGAAGTGGATAATGAACAGCTATCCCGTGATCGTCAGTATGGTCGAATTTGTAGAACTTGACTGGGATCGTACCTGCGTCAGAGACCCCTCGAGAAACCAATGGGTCTGTGCAAGGGGAACGAGTGGGTTGTCGAGCGTACGAATGTCGTAGACGAACCTGGAGCCACCCGGTAATGTATTATTGTTGATCATGCAGGGATCTACTCACCAGTTAATACTGAACGTGATGATATCAAAAGGGCTTGAGAAGGGACCCATGCAAACCATGAAACGAATGATCGATTTTGCTCCCCATGTCTTCGGGGCCACCAAGTACTCGGGGTCAACATTATCCCTGACACATACTGTTCGGCATCAAATGTTCGACTAGATGTAGCGACACATACCAGGGAATCGATGCCTGAGAGAAATCATACAGCAGATTCTGGACGAGGAGCTGCAGCGGGAGCATAGGCTGGTATGGAAGCCACGCAGAAGCAACTTCAAAAACATACCGCATCAGTGGGCATCGGTATGAAAGACCAACAGCGGACACATACCCAAGACCGAAAATACGTTACCGAAGTTGGAAGAGGTCGCCATCTTGATGTACTTCAGTGTGTTCAGGAGCCTACGCCTCTCATTCAGCGTTCTGCGCAAAAGCTCGTCCCAGATGCACTCACGTAAGCCTCCCCTCGATCACACCGTCAACGACGACAGCTAGGCTCTTCTCAAGTAAGATCACATCTGCCGCTTCTTTCGCGATGTCGGTTCCTGAGTCCACCGAGATGCCGACGTCTGCGCCACGTATAGCAAGAGCATCGTTGACGCCGTCTCCTAAGAAAGCGACTGCTCTGCCACCATCACCGGCGCGCAGAGCTTTCACGACCTCAAGCTTCTGGTAAGGCGAGAGTTTGGCAAAGATGATGCAGCGATCAATGGCATCCTTGTAGGCATCTTGATCATCTGCAAGGGCCGCAAGCTGGACGCCAGTGAGAATGAGTCCTTCCTCGCCTTTAGAAGAGGCAGAAGCCTCTACATCCTTCTCGTTCTCCGCAGTCAACGAATGCTGGCGAGATGGTATAAGCCCGAGGTCGCGAGCTACCTTTGCAGCCACTGCAGGAGCGTCACCAGTGAGGATTCGAACCTGTTGCGAATCGCAAGATTAACGGTATCCAAGGAAAACGCGAAGGAAATACATACCTGCACGTTCAATGCGGCCAAATCTTTGATCGCCTGGGTGGCATCAGGTTTCAATGGATCAAGAAGCCCGATGAATCCAATGAAGGCAAGTTCGCTCTCGTCAGAGCAGGATATGGTCATAAACGGCTTAATAAGCTGTTCTCGGCAGGCCACAGCGACAAGACGCAACCCCTCCTCGTTCAAACGCTGAGCAGTATCAAGAATTTTTCGCCGCTCGTCTGCTGTGAGAATTAACGTCGCTGAGGGGGACATATCGAAACCGAGCGGTTCCGAGGCATCTGAGGAAGGAGATGGCCGATGGTTGTAGACTGACACGCACGCGTCCAAGACTTCTTCTACTGCGCCCTTTGTGATCAACAGTCCTTCAGAGCCATCGCCACCAGGTCGCGAAACTAAGACCGATAGAAGGCGGCGTGACGAATCGAAAGGAACTTCGCCCTGCTTGACCCAGCCGTCTCTGGGAATGTCCGTGAAGATGTCCTGCTCACTTTGATTGACGAAGTCAACGATTGCGTGGTCGATCGGACTACGAGAACCAGTCTGCAGTGAGGAGTTGATGTAAGCCAATTCGATGGGAAGTTGTGAGAGGTCTCCTGTGCCCGTCGTGGACAATGAAATGCGCACGAGGTCAGCGGTAAGCGTCCCTGTTTTGTCTGAGCAGAGAATCCGAACTGCGCCAAGGGTCTGGATGGCATCGAAACGCTTCACAATGACTTTTTTGCGTGCCACACGAACAGCAGACAGCGCAAGGTTAGATGACTGGATCACAAGTATCGTTAAGAGTCACAGCATCAGAAAGCAATGTATACATACCACAATCATTGGCAACATTTCTGGGGTAATGCCGACTGCAACAGCGATCGCGAACATGATCGCGCCCTTCCAGTTCTTACTAACAGCACCCTGGACGATGAACACAATGGGAGCCATAACCTGTTCAAAAAAGTCAGATTCGGAAAATACACACAATTCGACAAAATGTTGACTCACGCCCATGAAGGCCATCAAGACATAGCTGACTTTCCTGATGCCAATCTGAGTAGCGTTTTCCGGCCGTCGTTTGGAGAGCTCTCTGGCGATAGAAGCCATGTATGTATCCTTGCCAGTCGAGACGACGAGAGCGTGTCCATTCCCTGTGACAACAGATGTGCCGGCGAGACAAACATTAACATTGTGTAGTAAATCAAAGGTTTCTCCGGGACTTGTGGCAGCAAGGCGGACGGTTTTCTCGACGGGCATCATCTCTCCGGTAAGCGAGGCTTGTGTGATTGTGATAGCCTCGGCCGTAATGAGAACACAATCACCAGGGAAGACATCACCGCCTATTGTGGAAGGCAGAGTTAAAATGATGAGAAGGAGAAATGTAGCAACCTACTGGTGACAGCTATGACGTCACCTGGAACGACATTGCGCTGATCGATTTCGAGCTGTTCCGAACCAGAGCTTCGATAACGAAGAACGCGGGTATTGGTCGTGACTGACTTGATCAAATTGACTGCTTGAATCATGGACTTCAATTCTTGCCAATACCTAGGGCAAGATGAGACTATGACTGACAGAGACAGGGACCACGAACCTTAAACCGGTTGAAGCGAAGACCATTGCCATCATGACGACGAAGGTGGGGATCTGTTCAGTGGCAGCGCTGATAATGGCGAGGATGGTCAAGAGGATGTTGAAGGGATTGATGATGGCCCCCCAAAGCATGCGCAGGGCGGAGAGAGGAACTTTCCGCCACCGGTGTGTTAGGTCCATGAGCTTTGAGAATCAAGGAAGCTTGTTCATCAGAAAGACCTCTAGGGTTCCATCCGGGTTCCGATCTAAATAGGGGGGGAGGGAGGAGATAAATAAAATGAGACGGCGGAAATGTTGGACATACACGAATATAGCCGAGACGGGGACTTGCGCGAAACGACTGAGGGTAGCAGATATGAGCTGCTCCTGCTCCTCGGTTGCGACCGGTTGTGCCGGGATGGGCGACTTGTTACTCTCGGAGTCTGAAGTGGCTATGTCGGGTCCATGCTTTTCCAAATTTGCAAGTGAAGAGCGAGAGGGGAAGAGCTTTGCAAGTAGGAGCATCACGGAGGCTTCATCGTAGACAGGATGATAAGCAGCCTGGACGAGTCAGAAAATTTACCTAGCACAAACCTTCTTTGAGGAGCTGGTTCTGCTGACGGCGAGAAGACCTGGAAAGATTTTGATGATTCCTCTGAACGACATAGGTGAAAGAGAGCACTTACGGTGTAGCGGGAGTTGGATGCGAGATACCATGTATATGGATCTAGTAGAACGAGGAGAGAGCGTTTTTATATGTGGGCTGAAGCGGCGTGCCAGAAAATTGATCTCCAATCGGATGCAAAATTGATCTCACTGATTTCTTGTTATCCGAAGCAGCCAATGGGCAGGCATGGAGTATAGTGATTGATGACTGAAATTCAACTTGACAGGTGTCAAGTCACAAGTCGACATGTCGACACCAACCTTTGTCAATCCGCGGATATGTCGGACCGCTAACTAGCCTCGAGGTGGTGAGCATGAGAGGCCACGAGTAGTACGAGTACTACTAGGCGAACATATGAATGACCTCATTCCTAAATAGATCGGCTCTCCATGACAATATTTATTAATAGTAAGACCCCGAGAACGAATATTGTCCTAACGTTGTGCTAGTACTCTCAGTAATGATCTTCTGCCATTTCAATATTTCCTACTACCCATGATCTCTTTGCATCCTGCCCATCCCAATCCCGCTCCGTCACCCCTGATTGATTTTTTTCGGAACAGCACATCAAGACCGGGCAGAAGATCCGGCGCCATCGCCCTCCTTCATTGCCCAACCCTCCTTGTCAGCTACTGCTATTGGCTCCTTCGCAGGCCTTTACATTCTTCAGTGATTTCGATTGCATCCTTGTTTTTTTTCTTCTCCTTACTTGCAGCTCCACATTGTACCTACTACATACCATATATCTACATGTTCCTGTAACTGGTGGTTATAATTAATTTCATATAGCATCCTCGTCCGATCTCACCGTTACGGTGTAGCAAACCAATTACACGAGAATTCAAATGATTAAAATTCCATCATCTGTAGTAAAGCAATAAAACACTGTCAAGGAGATGTTACACTACACATTCAAGACATGAGGATGAAAAAGCTAAAAGTGGTGTATCATATGCCCCGAGGAATGCACTCAGCCGATGCTCCGGTGACTCCAGTCGAGGTCCGTCCGCCGGTGCTGATGAGTCCGTAGGCTGTGAGAAGTTCGGAAAATGCGGAGAGGTTGGGGGCAGAAATTAGAATGCCCTAAGCTTGGTGGCGTCTTGAAACTAGTAGCACCGCGCGTGCCACGGAGTTGAAGTCAAGGATGTCAATATTAATAGTCGGATAGCTTGGCAATGAGCGTCTAGCTAAGGGAGACCTTGGCGTGAACGTGGTAGAACAGCGCCGTTCGGCACTATCGGGCTGGCTTCAGGCAAAGTTTCTGCTCGACGGTGGTGTCCACATAGTACTGTCTTATCATATCAACAAATTCTCAATTTTTGTTTGCTTTAGTCACACTCGGTACGAAGAAATCTACAAATACAACAGCTCCATGCATGAACTGATTTAAATCGTGAATGTCGTAATAGAGACAGGCGCGGGAGTGCCAAGGAGCTCACATGAGTGGAACACAGTCGAGACATGGGTGTGTAATAGACTAATAGTGCAGATCATGCACAAGGCGTGGGAGGTCTCATGTACATGAATACGCGAGAGGAGGCGCTCGATGGTTCCCTTGGTTAGAAGAAAGGGAAAAAAAACACTTAATGCAAGTGAGAGGACGGCAGGTGCAGGAGAGCGGTAGCATGTTACAACAGGCGCAAGAAGTTAGCGGGAGGTGTTGGAAAACAGGGGGGTACAGCGAAAGTATTGTCCACTGAAATATTAGCGTCATGCCACAAAACAGCACAAGATTTTTTTTTAAAAAAAAGGTGGGGAATGGGCGGGAGGAGTAGAGCACGAGGAGCGATGGTGATGAGCACATCAATATTGCAATTCCGCTCGAACGCAGCCGCTGAAGCCCCAGACTAGCCAGAGTCTACGTGGAATAACCCCAGAGTGGCCAAATCCCTGACTTTCACGGTGGTTGAGGTCTTTGCCACTGATGTAGTTGATGTGTTCAGGGATTCGTGTTTCCCACCATGTGGGGCGATCTACTTCGAAATTTCAACAGGGCACTAGTACATACTCGTCCGTAAGAGTCCGTGTCCATACCTTGTTAGCTCAGGGATTGCAGGAACCAGATAATTTCCGAGTGATAACCGGGTACCATCAGTGCACGAGCTGATGATTTTGACAGGTTGACACAAAGTTTAGATCGATTATCTTACAATCACGGAGATATCGAGGTAACCGGGGGAGGCTATAGGCATGTTACCGGTGAGCAAACCACGATATAATTGCGACGCACATACCATGAATGAACGCCTGAACGACTAGCGGTAACCTTCAACAAACCTTATTTGACCATTTCTCGTGATTTTTCCTGGACTTCAATCTACATCTATCCGCGGTGCTGTTATCTTACCTCCATGCATCCACTGGCATCCCACGTTCCCGAACTCAGATCCTGATTCTAGTTTTCGAAGTCAACGGGTACTCAGGGATCGAGCCTATCAGCTGGTACTGGTATGATTACCGCCCGTGATTCATTGAAACCTGTGATCAAACAGCCAGCTGTTCGGATGACCCCATGACGATATGATATCGATTAGTTAGGATGACGAGATGTTGAGATCCTGGTGGGTCATATTCATATCTTCAACTAATCGATGTCCGACGAAGCACCGCCGGGAAGACATGAGAGCGTTTCAGAAGGCCTTTCGGGACCCCGCAAGGTCCTGCCCAAAGAAAATAACCTTGCGTGGGTGTTTGCAGGGCTTGACTCTGCTATCGAATCTTTTGATACCTCACAGAATCCCATCATGCGATGCACCGCAGAGGCCAGCTACTACATGGTGGTCATCAGTGTGAAGGATAACGTGCCAGGCTGCAAAATATTTTATAGCAACACTCACTGAGACGTGACCGAAGGCAACGGTTGCCGCAGAGCGAAGGTGGTAAGTAATTCGAAAGAAGCAGTAGGACGGTCAGACTCTGAACGGAAAATATAACGCAGAAAAAATGCAATGTGTGGAGGCCGTGCCCCATAGTCTTAGGAGGCATGCCCAGCTTGTGATAATGGCAAAGTGGGTACCTGGAGTCTATCCAAGCGCGTCGATTGGCGTGTGATCCTCTTTCGAGGCGGAAGATAGTGCCCTGCACGACAAAATGTTTGCCCACTGATGGCAAGCGTTGATAACTCGAAGCTGGCTAAACAATAACAGCGAACACGCGTGATGCACTGAAGGGTACCTCTCGGTTGTGTTGATCTGGAGTGTGGATTCGCATGCAAGAACTGGCAATGCGCGAACGAATGTGCGACCATAAAATTATTGTCACCGCAACGTTGCCCGGTGAAATGTGAAATGTGCAAACAGAAGTCCGCACGTTCAGATGTCGATGTCATCATGCACGTACAGCAAAAGACCCTGCAATTGACACCGAGCCGCCTGCTTAATGTATAGTGCGTTTTCATGACAATCATATTAGCATGACAATTTACACAAACTCCACCTGTTGTAGGGCCGAAATGTTTGCAATGGGTTGCAGATCATTCTTCCAATTTCCAGTTGTTCTCCTTCACTACTTTCTCGCGCTCAAGAAGATACTTTCCTATAGCATGTAAGATGGTATTAAGCCACGATCTATACAAAGACTTACCTTCCTTATATTTCTGAGATAAATCGGCTGCCTTATGATAATACCACCCAACACGGTCATTGCACCCCATGCAGAAGATGTCCGCTACGGTGTGGACTCCTGTACTAAGACACAAGGAGTGGTCAAAAGAGACGGGCAGCAACTTAAGGGTTGCGTACTCACAGAAGTGGGCGATCCTCTTTCTTTCCCAATTTCACATTAGTTGTTGAGTGCATGAGGCTGGGTTGCAAAAAATCGCGTCACTCATTCTGGTGATGAATTGAATTATGTGTCACTCACAAGCCTCTTCCTTCTCTGCCTGAGAAAGACTTGCTAATAAGTTCGTCCTGCAACGCCTGAAGATGCATCATGAATGTGCGGGCTTAGTACTAGTAGTAGCTTTTCAACACCATCACGCACCAGCACCGCTGAACAGCTCACACAAATGAATCTGGGATGGTCGTGGTAGGTAGAGATAACCTGGCCGCGGGTGTTACTACTAGGACTTATGGTGGAAGTCATTGGTGTCAAGTGCCATCTTCGAGGAAGAAAGGTATCACAGGAGTTCAAGTCGCTGAATTTGGCAAACCCTGCTTGACCGGAAGCAATCAATTTGGCGTGACAAGTTGCCCGCAACACTACGTGGAACAGTTGCTCTCAGCAGCTCTTCTGCAGGTTATTACCTCGCATGTCCACACGTTTGACGTATGGGCGCCATGGACATGCTGAACTTCCACAAGAGGTTGTCGTTGCAATCCAACGCATCCTCGAGCTCGATCCAGAGAACCAGAACGATCCCCTTGATGTTCTGTCTAATGAGTTTAATCCACTAGATATGCTAAACCAGCTTTTTCCAGACGGTATGTCACATATCGAGGTGCAGATCGTGCCCACTGAACAAGGTACAGAGGCCTCACTGAGCCAGCTAGAAACAGTTCAAGCAAGGCTATCTCAAAATGAACGCGACTTGCAAGGCGAAATAGATGCACTCAAGGAAGAGCTAAGACATGATCAAGATCCCAACCGTATGCAGATGATTCAGGAAATGATTTCGGTATGCCTGCCGGTCCAACTGCTGGAGTCCTTATTGAAGTGTTATGACAGGACCTCCTTGGGCAAATGTCGCGCATTCGGGAGAAAGCGACGGAATCTGAGGCTGTTGTGCGCGACATCACGAAAGATATCCAGGCCCTTGACCTGGCGAAGAAGAACCTCATCCTCAGTATGACGACACTCAAACGCCTGCAGATGTTGGGTATGTTCCTTAGCATCGCTGTTGCAAACATTCCCGCTAATCCTTCAAAGTAAATGCTCTGACACAATTGGAAGACCAAGCGAAAGAGAAGAAATACGGAGACATTTCACAGACTCTTGCAGTTCGTTTCCATCTCTCATTTTGCAGCAACTTCTTGACTCGTCCGCAGGCTGTGAAGCAGATATCCGCCTCCTTTAAACCTTACACATCCGTCCATCGCATTAACCAAGTCTGGAGACGGGTACAACAAATTCAGGGTGAGATTCGCACTCAACTCGAAGCAGAATTCGACGCGTTGTAAGTCACTTTCTGAGTATGCAGAGTCCTTGAATTGTCAATCTGTTTAGTTACCTTCAGGACCCCGCTAAACCGTCAAAACCTGCTCAGATCATAGATGCTTGTGCTGTCGCTGATGTTTTAGGCCATGACGTTCGGAGACATTTGATTGACCGTTACGTTGCACTCGAGCTCAAGGAGTATCGGCGCATCTTCCGTGCCACAGACGAGGCAGGTCATCTAGACAATATTAGCCGGAGGTATGCATGGTTTAGACGTGTACTTGGAACGCATGAGTTGGAATTGGGCCGCATATTTCCTTCAGAGTGGAGGGTTGGATGGGCGCTTTTCACGAAATTCGTGGCTATCACAAGGTTCGTCACGCCATAGCATATGATGCTTCTGATTGATATCTTTATTTCCTCAGAGATGATCTTGTAGCATTGCTTTCTAAGGCAGGCTCCTCTTTGACAATCCAAGCACTGCTCGAAGCCCTACGGCAGACAATCGAATTCGAGTCATCCATGGCAAAGAAATGGTTAACGCCAGTATGTCAATCTCAAGTTTATCTATCACTCCCTTGTTAACGATAGACCTTTGAACAGCTCAATGAGATATTGGAAGCATGTTCACCTCCATCTTCAGCGACCGTTCAGTCGATGTCATCCGCCTTTGAACCACATCTTGGTGTCTTTGTTGATGCTCAAGACAAGTCTGTATTTGCTTTTCCTAATGTCTACATTCACCATATCTGCTGATCTACTAGAGCTCTTGCTGACATGCTTGCCACTCACCGAGCATCGAGTTCGAAGGCAAAACCACGAACATCCCTTGAGACCACCCCGCGCGATTCGATCTCTACAGATGCGGACGCAGCTACTCCACAGACGGTACTCTCTTCGTCAACAGAATTGTTTTACTTTTACGGCCAGAGTCTTGAGCAATGCGCCAAGCTATCGACAGGACAGACACTGTTTGATTTGTGTATGGTACACAAGAAATGGCTGCGCAGATATGCCGGTAAGATAACCTAGGTATTTATTACAGTCTTATCTCTGATGTACGATGTAGAGGACGTCCTTGCACCACGGTCAAAGCGGTTTGTGACGTGTAGCTAAAGACTACTGCATCAAGCATCTGACGCATCTACAGGCCGACAGCACAAACACGGAGGTCAATGGACTCGCGTTTTGATGTTACGGATTTGCAACAGGCTGCCCTGTTGATCAATACAGCGGACTACTGTCAAACTACGGCTCTGGAGGTCAGTCCACTACAGCTGTGTGAAGCTTTTATTGAGCATTGTCCGGATGTAGCTCGAGGAGAATATCAAAGAGAAGATCCAGGACGGCTTTAAAGAGAGAGTAACATTGCAAGCAGAACGTGACTTGTTCATGACGTATTCCTGTTATTCTCATTGTTCATCTCTGATCGCTAATGCGAAGCCAGTGCTATTTCCGTCTCTATCACGACGCTTCTGCGAGAATTGGAGGCTGCTTGCGAGGGTGCTTTCACCACGATGTCCCGTATGTCGTGGGAGAAGCTGAACCAGGTCACTGGACAGTCTTTATATGTGGATGATCTTACCCGAGCTGTCGAGAGCTTTTGTGACATTATAAAGCCGTTAATCGAACAGAAGAAGTACCTGAGGAATTTCTTCGACAAGGCATGCAGGTTGGTCTTGTCACTCTGTAGGGAGAAGTGCTGATAATTGGGTAATAGTCTTGTCTTGACGAAGTTCACCAACGCAGCGGTGAAGAGCCGACCTTTGGGAGAAATTGGTGGAGAACAAGTACGTTGGAAGTTGATTAATTTGCTCTTCTTTGACCTAACCCAAAATGTTCCAGTTACTGATTGACCTGGGCGTTGTCAAATCTTACCTAATGCGACTACCAGGAGAAGCACTAGTAACGCAAGGGTAAGAATGACTCCCGTATCTTGAAAAAGCATAGCTCATAGCTCATAATTTGTTGCATAGATATACCCGCAGCCTTACGAAGAGCACAACGAGGCTCGAGGCTCTGCTCAAGGTCATTGTGACACCAGTGGTAACTACCTTTTCCCCCGCCCATGTTCCGTCACTCACAAAATGTTAGGACCCTCCTGAAGGTTTTATTCTAAACTATACTCTCCTCGTTGGCGATGCTTCATTTTCAAATTTCCAAAAGGTCAGACCACCTTCATTATTTTGGCTGCATTTCGTTCACTGATGCCCTCTTCATTTGCTATTATTAGATCCTCGATCTGAAAGGTACACCGAAGACCGAGCAGAACAGCCTTCTTGATTCATTCCTCACCATTACGAGCACCAAGACAGATCTCGACAGTACATCATTTCTCTCTGCCCTCGATATGGATCCCCCCTTGACACTTAGTGCGATATTCGGCAGTCCAGGCTCTAGCAGAGTCACCCTTCCGCTGTCAATCACACCGGGCGCTGGATCGGATAGTATATTTGGATCACTTGGGTCTCCACCCTTGAGTGGACCACCTACAGGGTCCAGCACCGACGGAAGTACTTCCAGGGGCCTGGAATCGGGACAGAAGCGAGAGGTTTTTGACATAAGGCGATTTGTCACTTTCGGTTTGCGACGATCGGAGACCTTACCAACTTCCTGACTTCTATACATTTTGTACTGGGCCGGCGGAAATATACTCATCATGAAAAACAAAGAATTGTACTTGTGAAAAAATTGCAGTAGGGTACAAATGCGTGACGTGAACGATAACCCAAAATGAGCGACAATGAGCTTGGTCTGTGAGACCAGAGCATGATCAGTGCAAACTGGGGTATTTCCAAAAAACAGTGGGTAAATGAGAGAAGGATCGGATATATCGTCCAAGAAATTGTCATCATTATCTCTGAGAAGACGGCAACCTATCATTGATCGTTGCACTCCACGAGCCTTGTAAAGGTAGTCGCAAGTTTGGCGATCCAGATGTCGAAGGTCGAGGTCTAGGACCAATCAATGAGCCCATCCGATAAGGACCTCTGGGAGAAGATCCCAGAGGGGATGTTCCAGGTCGGAATACCCGTCCCGCACTGGAATGGCTTGCAGGACCTGCTGCAAGACGGGTCGCAGGAGAGTTTGGAGTAACGGGTGACATTCCAAGCACACGCTGCACAATGTACGGCGGTGGAGTGTTTGGCTGCGAGCTAGGGAGAGGCGGATGTGGAGGTAGGGTAGAGGCTGCGCTTTCTCTTCGCGAATCAATGTCGGTGTAATCGGAGTAACTATGTCGGAAATAGACGTCGGATACAGAGAAGGGTACGCTCTCTGTGGGAGAGGCGGGAGAATCTGCGTCTGATAGGAGACCTGAATGCCGGGGTTCTGAAGGGGCCTGCGCTTGTCGGGGCACGGAGGGTGATGGTGGACTAGGGGGTGAGAAAGACTGGGGTTCCTCAGGCTCGCTTTCGCGCTGGTAGTCGATATTAAAGGGGTGTGGCATATGCGATGAAGGCGGAATAGTGATAGGGAAGGGAAACGAGGATCCGTGAGTAGTGTGTGTAGCATGCGCAGACGGCGAAGAATGAGCATTAGATTTATCGGAAGGACTTTCGTTCTGAGATCCCTGAGACACAGTGGAAGGTGCATCGGGTACAGAATGCATTGCGTCACCAGGTTTATCGCGTTCAATGCGTACCATCCGTATGGACGTGCTACTATCACTCCATGGCGTACGGACTCCGCTGTGCCCCAATTCGGCTGCGGCTGAGCTTAGCGTGGTGGTCTTCGATTGCCGACGTAATGATGAATGCGACGAGGTGAAGTCGAGGAAGGAGTAAGTGCCTGAGGCAGGAGCGTCCTCGCTTGGAGGAGGCTCTGATCCCGATCCTGATTGGAGCATAACGACCGGGACAGACTCAGGGCTGGGGTTCTGAGACTTATCCTCGTGGATGCTCTGCTTCCCGTCATCTCTGTGGGCTCTTCGGTAGAGCCTGGCACAAACCCGAGACCAACTGCTACTTCCGCTCCCACTCGTCCGTCGTGAGTCCTGACGTCCCCTGAGCTGGCCGAGAATAGCTCCCACATCTACCCTGAACGGGCTGGTCTCTCTCACTTCCAGGAACCGTGAGCCAGGCCGAGACAGTACAGAGGACGCAGGGTCCCTGCTATCATTCTCCGTTACGGCACTCTCAATCCCCGCAATTGAGCGCACAGCGGAAACGAAGACGCCTGGCGCTTCCGACGTCCGCGGGCTAAGGGAAAGTGTCGCTGCAAGTGTTTCATCTTGCCGTGACGTGAGGGTCTTGGCGTCCGCATCGTCATCATCATACGCGTCCTCTACGCCCACCTCTTCCACATACAGTTCCGGAAGCGCCAATCTGTGGCTTCCTGCTCGTGTGTGTCCTTTTCCCATAGAGCCAAACGACGTGCGTGCGATAGGATTAGTCCAGCCCGGCGCTAGTTTCTCAGATTCCGGTGGAAAACCCAAGGCAGTGAATTCCATGGTGAGAGTGTTGGCCGATAAGCGTTTGTCGTCGCCTCGCTCCTCAGGCGGAATTGCAACGTGGGACACGGAACGCGAGCGTGTGTTGTCAACGTGGCTGCTGCTGCCACCCCCATTTTTCGTTTTGCGGACGAAGGGGAAGGTGCGTTGCAGGCCGAGTCCGAATCCGTACCCTTTGCTGGTACTCAAGCTTTCCACTTCGGTCTCTTCTTCGCATGGAGGGCTGATGTCAATGACACGTCCTGGGTCCATCATTTTCCTGGAGTAGGATTGGCTCAATTTCTGCCTCCTACGAGCACGCGGGCGAACAACGAATAGCCAGTATATGAGGATACACGCTATGAGGATCACCAGAACAGCACCGAGTACAATGGCGGCAATGGTCCCGGCATAAATCGAGCTGCTTGATGAGGACAGGATGGTGGAACTTCTGATGAGTCGGTCAGCATCTGAAATGTCAACAGTCTGCAAAAGAACACGACGCACGTAGTAGTGTCATTGCCGAAGGCGGTGACGTTCATCCCACCAACTCTCATAGCAAATGTTGTGTTCTGAGTGTTGGTGAGGACGACTGTATGAGAGGTATCTTGAGACAGTTCCGTAGCGAAATATAGCAACGCATTTGAATTATTATATGAGGATAGAGCGGAGAAGCTAGTGGTGATGTTATCAATTGTGACAGAATAATCTCCAGAAAACGAAGACACGAGGCCGTAGACAGTTAAGGCCGATCCTTCGGAGATCGAATCGGGAACACCATAAATTCAACATGACTGGCAAATAATAGAAGTGACACTTGCCTATGAATGTGGTCTGAGCATGGTCACCGGCGGTGTTGGACATATGCATAGAATTTCCCGTGCTGTCAGTGACATAACTCCACCTACCAACGAATGCGATGTCGTTATCGTCATCGATGGTCGTTGAGTTAGTCGTTGAGCTGAAAATAATATGATCAGCACGCTAAGAACGTAGATCAGCACTCTGGCTATGTTGGTAAAAGCTCACTTGATAATGCCAGAGGGGGCTGTATATGTGATGAGAGCCTTGTCGAAAACTATATACGAGTCTGGAGTAGTTTGGTTCGTGAAAGTCGTCAACAACACTGTATGGTTTGTGTTCGTTAAATCGTGCAAGGATGCAAGGATGGATTCCGGGTCAGATGTATTGGGAAAAATGTTAATTCCGTCCAAGGTTATTTGATATGATGCATTGGAAGCATTCCCCAGGAGATCAATACCAGTGCCTGGGTAAACAATGAGCGACCCAGTTTATCATATGGTTTTGATGTTGATTGGCGAGAGCTGTGCTTACCGTTCCATTTAATCATGAAGCTTGCTTCATTGAGATTGGTAAAATGTGTACTGTATCCTACACCAACCTGACCTGGAGAAGAAGCAGCACCCGAAACCGAGTAGAACTGCTCCCAGCCTGCAGAAGCATTAGGGCTGAGGCTTGTGTCTACGAATGGGTAGTAGACAATCTCCGGCGAGTCGTCCTCAACGTAGAACTGGGATATGTTACCTGCCATTCATATGACCGATGGATGACAGACTCCTACGATGAGGGGAGACGGAAAGGGAAATGAAGTGTGCGAAGAGAGCCGATTATAAGAAGAAAATGGCGCTGAGGAACACCAGGAATTGAGACGCTCGATGATCATTCGGCTGCAAATTCCGCCTCGAGGTTGTACTAGTAAGCCGTGCGAGTTCCTGTCATGATCTCTTTTTGAAAACCGGAACGGGCCTTCCTACTTAAAATAATGACTTGTAGCCATTGAAGCTTTCTGAACCCTCAATCATCATGTGGTGTGACACTGTGTGAGATCTATGGCCAGCAGAGGGTGACCTGGAGCAGTCACAAGCTAAATCACCATATCAACAACCACTGAGTCACTTGACCTCCGAGTCTTACGGTGGCCTGTGTCTTTTAAACACGTTATCCGTACACGTCGCGCGTTCGTGATTCTGATGGTGACAATCATTGATCTTGACAGTCTGCCACATCCTGGTTCCACATTATTCCTGCCGTCTTTGCTTGCCCATATACGTACTGCTGCTCCTGGCCTGCCAATCGAGCCCGTCATTATCCAAGTTTTACTTCTTTGTATTGTTTCAGGGAATAGAAATCTTATCCTGCGGACCCGCGAAGAGGACATCAGTCTTGTGTCCAGACTTACGACTATCGTGAGCATGCTGAAATTTATGAACTGCCTACATCTCAATAATAACTCGTACCTTAAGTCGCTCACATCTGTTTTCGGTTGCATCACCCACAGACTTAGATGTCATGCCGATGCTAAGTCTCACACACCCGCTAAATTTCTGCGATCTCTCTTTATCCCACCCCCAGCTGTCACCGCCACCGATGGTTCACTATCACCCCCGCACAGGCACCATCGTTCATCCACGACAGTGCACAGCAGGAAATCTTCTTTTCCGATGTCTATGTCCGACGTTGCGCGGTCCATTCAGCATACCTCGCAACTAACCTCTGATGATCTGACTGCCAGTGCTGATGGCGGACCGTTCACAGAAACCCGCTCAATGTCAACGCGCCTGAGCTTCCAAACTGAATCATCCGTACCTAATATTGGTTCTAGTGGCAATGCGGCAATGCATCGCCGTCGTACATCGCATGTCAACTCAGATGTGATTAAGATACCATCTGCAATTGTTGTCTCTGGATTAGAACATGCCAGTTTACCTGCGCAGCGTGCTGTCCTACGGACTCTTGCAGAGAAGAAGCTCGTCGTGTCGGATAACCACACAGACATCGAGCCAGAATTGCAGCTTGATCTGCCAGACGACTTTATCATGGTCTATGTATGTCGCTTAGATCCACATGAGAGACCGCCTATATACAATAGCCTGGTATGTACTTTCTATACGATGTCATGTGTCGTCTTATATGTTCCAGCTCGACTGGTTTGCTATGAGTACGCCTATCAATGTTCAGCTATCCACACGAGCCGCGATGCATAATTATCAACCTCACCGCACCTCAACACCATCCACAGCCCTATCCTCGCCCTCGATACCAGGGTATCCATTCCCCAACGTAATTGCGTCAGGCCCACCAACCCCTCCTCCACCAAACAGCTCTACGCCCATAATACCTGCCACATTCTTGGCAAGGCTAAAAAGCCTATGCGCCACCGAAGTTCGCATGCGCCCACCGCTCGAAATATACCTCGCAGATTTATTTACCGCTACGCGGCATTTTGGTGCGTTAGACGCCATGATGCTCACTGTGCGTGCACGCCAAGACGCGGAGGTCCTCGCGCGGGCCGCGCGGGTGCTTGGGGTTGATCAAACAGGGGCAGAGCTGATTAAGGAAGTATCGATCGGTGATCCAGAGCGCACTGACGAGGACAGTACCGAACGCGGGTATCCTCGTTCCAGCATGAACACCCAGAGCTTTGAAGCGCTGATCGATGGCTCCGCACTGCCATGCGATGTACCTGACGTGACTAGCATGCATACTCACCGCAGTACGCGGAGTGCGCCCATCGAAGATGAAGGACCGCTAGAATTGGATGTGTCCGAAGCGGATGTGGCGAGGATTTTTCCGAGGGTGGTGTCGCATCGTATCAGGGTAAGGGACTCCCCTGTGGATGAAATTCTGAGCAGCGCAGTCTGCGGGGCTGTAAGTCGACTGGGGGTCATATCAAATGGGATGAATTCGGACTGGGAAGAGGGACCTATTGATGTGCATGATCCAAATACCGTTTGGGAGCGGGAATCAGTGAAAGATATATTGGTGCAGGTGCTTGCAAAAGTATGATTATCATCCCCCTGTTGGTATGGTACTAATCTATCTGTCGTACCGATGAAATGTTTTCTATAACAGTACTTACTTACACCATGAGGCGATGACTTGGAGACAGAACCATATAAAGCCATCATTCATTAGTGGCGGTGGAAGCACAATGACGCTACGCCGTGTGACTAAGAAATGGCCTTCTTTCGCTTCGCTTAACAAATTCAACGAATTTGAATTGCCCGTGAGCTTTATGGACTCTTCGTTCAAGGATTTACAACCATTGCCACAAAAGGTAGCTTTGACCCCTGCTACATATCTAGCTAGTGAGTCAATGACTCGGGGAATGAGAAAATTATTATATTAGTGCCGAAAACAGAAACCTAAATAAAGAATAACAATTGTGTGAAACCCGATTACTGCAGCTCTGGGTCAGAAGCAGAGGAAGTTTGACTCTGAGTCCAAAACCGTACATGGCAGAGTCGATTCCCCACGATGACAACGCAGTGAGCTGGAGATCCTGGAACTGGTGCCAGCTCGGCGGTGCTGTGTGGACAAGCCCGATTTATCAGGCCCGTAAACAAACACGATGAGGTCTTGGAATATATTTTTGAAGGGTATGCTCGTGAAAATTGGATCAGGAGCACCATGTCACATACAATCAAACGGTTTTCATCTACCATACTCACTCTCGGTGATTTATGTAGGCTGATGACGCACTTGTTGACTTGGTCTCTTGACGTTGCTTGTGTTCCATCAAATGTTTTGTCAAATGGCTCCAACGCATACCGAGTACTGGGTCGAGTCATGGTATTCTGGTAGCAGAAGGTGTCTATAACGGGATGACAACGAAAGGGAACCTAAAAAACCAGTTGAAAAAGGGAAAACCTGTCCACGTACTGCGTTTCTAGGAAGGACCATTGGTGTGTTGAATAGATACACAGCAGACAAATAACACAAAACGAGTCTACCGTGTGGGATCTCTGAAACGTTTCAGCTTGTCACTTCAACATAAGGACTTCGACGATAGGAGGTACTTTGCCTTGAAAGTTCTGAGAGTTCAATTATTTGATTGGTGTCGGGTGAAGAGCGGAAGAGCGAGGATAGGCGGCCGAGGACTGCGTCTGGACGTGACACCGACGGCCTCAGGCGTTGCTGAGGTTGAGGTGCTTCATCAGTGTTCGGTGAAGAGCGAAGGCGTGAAGATAGCGGATCGAGAAACGCGTGCGAGCGTGATTCCGAAGACATTTGGGGTTGTTGAATTTCGGTTACCTGATCATTGTTAGATCAAAAACGGCGGAAGAGCAAGGAAAGACGAGCAAGGAGGGGGAGGGCATGTGAGCGTGACCCCAAAGGCACTTGAGGTTCGGTCACCTCATAATTCAGTCCGCAGAGGGAAGACGTCACTATGATTGACGCAAGCCATTGGGATCGTGTTTGTACAATACATGGATCGCCATTAATCAGCAACAAACTGACGGGGTATAATACATACACTTACCTAGTAGCTATCAGCTCTTCGGAAGAGGTGGTGACCCAAGTGGGGAATTTTGAACCACTATTAATGTCATAAATCGGCGGATGTCATTGACAGAACAATTTAACACAAACGCGCTTACAGACCCTTGGAAGCGCACTCTGAGATCCCTCTGCGCTGTCGATGCGAATGTAAGTATCGCGTTCCGGTGATTATAATTTTTCATTAAACCTCTCGGATTTGAACGTCGCGTCTCGTTCACTAGTACTTTGCTGAAAATCAACCGATGCCTCGAGCAATCGGGATTTACCGAAGACTTAATAGTATGGATTCATAAACCTACGCACCAATTGAGCCTGTCGCTTCGAATGCGTTGAATCTTAATGAATCTTACTATTGTGGAACAACATGTTCAGAGCAGGTTGTTTTGAGAAGAGTACACATGTGAATGGAACGCTGTTAGGGTAGCAAAAGATAATCCCTGTACTGTGCACTACTTAATAGTTTAAAGTTAATCACAGTCCAGAGGTTAATTACCTCCGAGTTGTCCAAAATCTAAACCAATAACGACCTTGTCCCAAGTACCCCAGAAACGAGCTACTGACCACTCTGCCAACTTGCGGAACAGCTACTTCAACTGTAACTCTTCGACAAATTCCGATAGAAGAACATACAGCGCCATGACAAACGGTCCTCCGCCCTCCCAAGCAGGTCCCTCACAACCATCTGAAACGTCAGCACAACAACCGGCTCATATAGTCCCTATTCTAGCATCTAGTACGACTTCACAACAGACTATAACAGCAGGTCCTTCCTCGCAGCTTCAGCCTGTACAATATGGGCCTGCGACTCAAGGACAGAATCCTCAAGGCTACTACGCGATGAGCTACACACCCGGTGGATGGCAAAACGCGTGGCAGGTCCCCTCTTACCCGTACATCGCGTCCGGTAGTGTACCAGGCCAGCAGACACACTACACTCAGGTTCCCTATGCTCAATATCAACCTCCTACTGTGACCTACCAGCCGCGTCAGAGGAACAAGGTTGCACAAAAACCGCGTTCACCAACCCCAGAGCCTGAATTGCATCGTCATTGGGACGAGGTGATACGGTCGTTCTTGAAGAAGGTTGGGATGAATCAGGCTTTGAAGGGGTTTGATGATGATATGGTAGTTATGAATGCGGATTGGGAAAGGCAGAAGGTTCCCGGTGCTATTGGAGATTTAATGAAGGATCTTATGGTGTGCGCTTCGCCTCTTTGCTACGCTACTTACCGAACTAGTTTCCTTCTCAGAACTTGGGGAAAACAAAAGGCAACGAAACGCTCCCAGAACGACCACTGGAGGAGCGAAAGCTCGATTATGTTCATCTCTCTGGCGGTGCCGAGCCTCAGTCTCAGACGTCGGTGATTTTTCTGTCTATTTGACCTTCGTCACAGCTTCTAATCCGTTCCAGATAACAAGATCGATATCCCAATTCCTCGCGCAAAATCGCGCGAGGAATGACGCCTCTAATCGCACAGAGTTTCTCGAATCTCTCGCCCAAAAACGACGGCGACTAAATCTTGATCCAGACAGTACCGAGCCCATACCATCCTGCGCACGAACGGATGCAAAGCACCTTGACCGCGACGTGCAGATGAAATATGATATTGCAAAGAATGAAGACGGACCTCTCCGACGAACCATGAAAGGTGTCGCCGGCGATAAGGGCTGGCAGAAAGAGCTTCTCGCGCTACACGATGACGCAGAAGGCGAGCAGCAGCCTGCGACGGACCAACGGGTGAAGAATATCGAAGAACATCTTGCCGTCCGCTATGGTAGGTATATGGTATATTGTATAGACAACATATTCTAAAAAGAGACGTAGTCCCTGCTCCACCACGAACGCTCATGTCCCGTCTCCGACTGCTTGAGGACCATCTCATGCAGCTCGAGAAGGACTACCCGCCGTGGGCTGCTTTACATTTCAACCAGCCAAATCGCGGTGTATGTTATTCTTTTATTAGATATGTCAGACGTTCACTCACGCGGAACCCAGTGGCCTCCACCTCCACGCCAGACACCGATTATAGTTCCTTCGCACATTACAACAACAACAAAAGAGTCCAAGACTGATGCTTCGCAACAGGAACCATCATCTTCCAGCCCTACCGAGGAAACGTCACGCACAAAAGTGAAGAACAAAAATAAATCTAGTTTGCACCGAGCGGTGATGGAAAAATTGGAAATACAAAAGGCGATGAGTGATCTTGCAGGAGTCCGCAAGTCCAATTGACAAACTACATATTTGTCAAAGGATTAATGGGGGTAACATTCACCTTGATGGAAACGTGTTCTGTCCGATCCGCAGTCAGTGTCGCCCCTGGTCGCCCTCGTACATCAGAGTACAACCGATGTCGTGTTCTCTCATTCCGCAGCCAGTATCCCCTTTCTCCCTCGTGGGTCCGCAGCCAAACATTAGATTTAACGTTTCGTTAAACTAAAAGTGGGCGATGCCGACAAACACCTTGGCAGTGCATAGGAACCGAAATTAACACTTGCGTGACATAATGTTTAGATAACTTGGCATAATGATCTAATGACTCTATCCATAACCGTTTGCGCTAGGATGTATTGTCGGGTGAGCTTCATCAGCCTTATGGTAGGTCCTTGAGTTACTCTGCAATCAATAAGTAGGATGATACGCCGCGCGCGCAACACTTAATTCAAGCACCAATAGGAGTTACGATCGAGACACATGGCAGCCAGTGAGTATTTGGCTGTACTAAGCCATGTCATTGACATGGCTACACCCAAATAGTACCCAATAATCTCAGCAAGTTGGGTGTAAGTTGTAAACATAGCACTGAATCGCCTTCTTAAGAATTTCATTGGCGAGAGTATGCTCTCTGGAACTGCGTTCAACTTCTCTGTGAACCTCCATATACTGAAATAGCACCATCCTTATCTCCATTTTTCTAGATGTTAAGGCGAAGACTTGGTTTACTCATCGGGGATATTTGCCAACATGAATCATTACGAGTATCCTGCAAGGGGAAAAACTCATGACACGGTAAAGATCCGTCAAGAATGACGAGAAGTAGCTTGAAATGACTTGAATGCACATGTGCTTCAAACGTGTTCACTGATAACCGTCGAAATCTCTCGTCTACACGAGTCGGGAGGGAGGAACTGAGCAGTTTGACAACAAGAACCCTGACCAATAACAGACGTTCATGGTCTCGGCCAGCCATGCCAACACTTCGTCGGCATAAACCGGGAGAAATCGTGGATATGTGACAGTCTGCAGAAGCTGCCAGTGGGGCCTAGATCGATGAAACATCGGTACCGATAGTGTTACGCACGGCGCTGCAAGGATTATGCTGGGGCGAGGCCTTGTGTGCCACGTAATGATGAGTCACTAGCTCAAACACACATAAGTAGCCTCGTGGTGGATGCCATTACTCATGTCTGTGAAGTGCTACCAGCGCGATCTCTTGACAGACGCGCAAGAAACATCAAAAGGACGGACTCTGATATGACCGCTGGCAAGTCAACTTGCCTCCTAGCTCAAGGCTCCTTCATTTGAAGTTTCGAGAGCAGTCTGGTCCACACGGCCATCAGACGAACAAGGATGTGTAAATCCAGTCTTCGTTATGTGGAACACAGGAAGATACATAAAGATTCTATGGAATACATAAGTCATATATGAAGGAATCATGATGAGGCTATAACACTTATTTTAGTAGTGATGAAATGAAAGATTATAGATGAATCCCAGCAGTGGGATCAATGCAGATATGAAACGTACGAAGCACTGGAAACTGATCGAGGAGTCGTGTCTATAACAATTCTCGAGATCGTCTGATGCGAGGGACAGCTTTTTCGGGCTTCAGGGTGCAGAAGAGAAAGTGACGGCGAGGACCAGTAGTAGCTGCGGCTGCTACTGCAGCAACGCGCACACCAAGAGGCGCAACATTAGCATCGCTGCGGATGCCCAGAGAGAACATCCTGTCAAAAACTGAAAAGCAATCAACTAATGCGATTTATATAAGAAAGAGCGTAACTCACGAGTTGCAGTGAAAGCTTTGGCCGTTGTCTGACACGTAAGGTGTGTAAGGGCGAGCGGTGGACTGACACCCTCCAGGTTTCTTAAATAGCGATATACCATAGAGGGTTGACAAGGACCTGATGATGCATTGAACACGCGATACACATACGCGCGATGTCAACCCACCAAAACGGAAAACAGCATTGTATGCTTGTCTCCATTTTTCCTCGAGAAGACGAGCACAGATCGCGGAATCAGGGCAAGTGGCGCACTAAGAATCGTCAACAAGATAATAACATGTCCGACGGGGACTTACACATTGATATTCCTTTGCAAGTGGGGTTAACCCCAGTTTAAGTACTCGCTCAAGGAACCAGTTTCTCCTGTGAACAGCACCATAAGATCAGGTGTGCATGATCACATCATCCAGAAGGCCCACCGTTTCTCTAGCTTCAGCAGAGTCTCTTGGCTAAGGGTGCTAAGTTCTTCTTCGGACCACCCGCCTGGATTGTCAAGTACGAAGCGGCTTGACTCGCGGTAGAGCTCTTCTTCCTCAAAAAGTTCTGCGATCCGCATGGCCTTTATAGGTTTTCCGGCGGCGTGGGTCAGGAGGAAAGTGAGGCATTCCTGCTGGAGTGTCGGAACACAAAGCTTGTGGGAAATGTTCATAAGACCTTCTACATTCTTCCAGGTTATGGTGCACTGGAGGCTGAGAAAAGATTAGTGTGAAGGGTAACCATAAAGACACTACTCACTGAGGGTAGACAAACTTCAGGAAATCGTGAAATGTGTTAGCCTATGCGAGATAAGTAACCTCCACGTGTAATTCAACTCTCTAAACTCACTTTCTCCTCTTTGAGAACTATGACAGCGTCATGACAATTAGTGCGCCGGCGCCGCCTGACGGTTGCATGTGCTGTCTGAGACCCACGTCTAATCGACGGTCTATCGTCCATTCGCTGCTTCCCTTTCGTGTCACGACTTGATAAGGTCTCTCGACTGTTGGCTGCACCCTGCAGCTTGGCAAGACTAGTTGTCACGAGCACTGGCCTTTGTGTCAACTTCGCCATCCTCACTACTACTCATGCCACTGTCAGTATCGCTCCTCGGGGGGTTTTCAATCTCTACAGGAGACTCGGTATCAGATGAATCTTCGCGCGTGAATGTCATTTCTGTGGGCGTCTCGACGATGCCTTTCTCCCCTGGAATGGAGGGAGGCTGCGAGATAGTGATAACTGAGGACATCGACTGTGGTCTTCCCGTCTCGGCCCAGCTGCCACTCAGCGCAGCCTCAAAGAAGGGTGACGCAAAGATAAGGACTTCTTTATGCGCCCTAAATTCGTGGGTGAATATTTGGGCGTAAGCCACAGTAGTTCGTGCCACTCACCAGAAAGTGGTGCTTTCGACCACAATCTTGACGGTTCCGGGGAATCTTCCCTTGCGAGTAAACGTTTCGTCAATCTCTATACCTTCTTCAGAGTCATACAAACTCAGTTCAGTGACCAGATCGTCAGTCTCGCATTCCTCGAGCAACCAAGGAGGTGAGCCCGAGGAACGGAATATACCTGAAGCTGCTGCATGAGTTTCTGTAGGTGAACTGAGGGAAGCCGATGGATTGATATTGTTTGGCCCTCGTGAGTTTCGCGCAATTAAGATGTGTGAAGGGTTCGTGGTCATCGTAGTCAGTGCAGAACTACACAGCAAGCACACTGACGAGGTCTGGTCGGCTAACACATTCATGCTCCGGCTGTGTCCACTATGTAGGTGTCCACTCTTTTCCTTTTTCGAATCATCACGAATTCTGAATTTACGTCACCTTCAAATTATGAATTCGAACCAGCCTGAGGCCTGAGTAATAACGTGAGCCTCTAGATCTTTCGTTATGCTAGTTCACAGACTATTTCCTGGGTAGTGCTTCTACCAATCGTATCGTTGGTTTGATACATTGTTCAGTTCAGAATTCAGAATTTTCGTGTACAGCCTAGGCTTCAGGCGGCCAGTCCGTTCGGGCAAACTTTACGACCTAAATCAACGCATACGATCCTCACGTTCCCTTTGTCCTGGCAAGAATATTCAACTGTCGGTTGACTGTCTGACCAAACGAAACTCCAATCTGGCCATGCCAAACTCAATGACGATCACCCTGGATGATTCGGAGCCTGCTGACAGAGAGTGGTCATTGTACTTGGTTTTTATAGAAGATACATTCTTCATGACCCAAACAACACGTCGGGCTTACCCTCCGGTACCGCCCGTCTGCGAGTTCAATTCGTTTTCAGATATCGTTATACTGAGGAAAGCATGTCCGGCTCAGAATACTTCGTATCCAGGGGGGACGTCAGTGTTGTAGTTGCGTCAGCGGCTGCCGGCTCAAAGTCCCATGTTGCGCCCTTCGCACAACGCACAATGCAGATTCTTGCTACCAAGTTGCAATCAAATCAGATTCGTAGCGGCTACGGAGTTATTGGTCCTACAAATCAAGTCGCAGATTTCCCGGTTTGCGGTCAAGGCATCTATCAAGATTCAAGATATACCGATGGTCATTACATCTATGCTGCGTAGTCAAGGGAGCAGTTACTTCGGCCGTTAGTCTCCAAGTCTCAATCGTTATTTGTTTACACTAATCCTGGCGTCCGCAGTCGCGTTGGCTGTCACAGTTGCTCATGATTGCGGTCAGTTTATATTTCCTCATAGCGTCAGTACGCCCGGAATGAATATAATTGCCATCATTTGTGTTCAGGACGGGGACTCTTGCTCAGGAGAAAAAAAAACTTCTCGTGTCTGTATACTTCACCAGAAGGTCGAATATCCTCCGCATGCCCTTGACGTCCCAGATGATGATGGTTTCATTGCCTCTACCACTCGCAATTGCCCTGTCATCTGGTGATACGGCAACTGACCACACCCAGTCGCTGTGTCCATCGAAAACCGTTATAGTAAATACTGTTTTGTCTGCGTCCCGCATCTGGAATGTGGTTTCCGGATTCCTTCAAGTTGTCGCGTTGGCCTGGACAGGGAGATTGATGGTCAGTGGTATTTGCAGCAAGGAATATACTTTATGGTTACGTCGTCGATCTTATGTGTGGTGAGCAGAGCGGGAAATCTACCTACAACCAAGCTCACGTAGGTGCTTATCCAGTCCTGTCGGAGACGAATATGATACCTTGATTCTGACACGTCCATTAAGGGATCCGGAGTCTCCGTGGGCAGCCGTGGACTCACCTACAGCAACTCCTCCCCCAAATATGGTAGAGTTTCCTTGATATGCTCGTCGTACCTTTGTAATCAGATCGAAAGGCTGAAAACGAGAGCTAAATATCCCGTGTTCTAGTTATGAAGTGCGTCATGTTCTAAATCTGAATATCAGTCCTCCCTCCTCGCAATACATGCTCCAAGTGAGAGAATATGCCCCAATTACTGCGTACGAAGTCGGTTGAGTCACTCGAGCAAGAGGGTGGGAACCGCTGAACATCGTACCTTGTCGCGTATGTTCAACAACTCTTTTGCTACGACCAGGAGAGTTGGGCAATGACACTCATCTGAATGCGCGTCAGGGAGTGACCGTTGAAGCAAAACTTCCCCGCATTCGTTCGTTTGTCCTGTATGATTTCGTGCTATTTTTTCGCAATTTCTGACGATGCTGAGATATCATCATTCGGGATCGAGAATCTGCTAATCTTCTATCACATCTATCCTAAGAACCCTGGCCAGGATTTGACTCGTATATCATGCGATAGCCTCGCAGCTGACCCTTTCGCATTTGCCGTGGGCGGGCACGATGGCAGTATTCGTATACGGTCAACATTCTTATGTCTCACTCCTATGACTCCATCCCATGATCCACAAAATATGACACCCTCCGAATCGCAATACAGCTACTCGCCTAGAAGGATGCCATACAAACTCGGCGGTTGCGATCTCCGAGTATGACGTGAGCGGCTTTCCTGGAGCTGAAGGCAAGGGTGCGTAACCTGCGTAACCCCTGTCGGGTTTAACCGAGTGGCACTAGCGTTGCCCCCTACGTACACTTGGACCCCTCTCATCAAGGCCCCTCTGAGTGAGTGTCGGGCTCAAGTTAGTTACCCACACGGAACACCGTCTGCTCGTGCACTACACCGTGATCTGTTTTCGCTACTTGTGAAACTTTGCTCTGGTTATACTTCCCTACAATGTCAGCAACCGCAGGCAACAATGCCAGCCTAACGTCCCAAACACATTCATCCGGATCACTTGCCGGACCAGGAGCATCGGGGACCTCGTCCCAAACCAATTTCAAGGGACCAGACACATCTCAACAAATTAAGGCGAAGAGATGCCTCGCCTTTGTCGACGACTACAGAAATGATCGTCTCACCAAGATAGAAGCACTCGTCGATATCATCAGTACTGTTTCAGGAGTGGTTGCAAACACGCCTGGACGAAGAGTTGCTACTGTGGCAGAGCCATACGCCACCATGCTCGACCGCTGGGACTCGGAGAAAGCTCGAGTTAGCGGGAGGTCAGCAGATAGATCCCCTCTTCTAGAGGATAATAGGAGTCGAGAAGGACGCACTGAGCGAGGAGAACCTGCTCAGAAGCGCACCAAGCTTGACTTTTCATTCATCGGTAAATCCGAGCAGCTCAAACCGCTCTCGGCCAACCTTCAGCGAACCAACGAGCTTCTTGCCAACTGGTCAAAGGACCAAAAGGAGGTTCTACGCCGACTTATGTACCACAGTTGTTCTCCAGAATTCCATGAGTCTGGGTGGGAAGAAATTATCGCAGGCAGGTGCATTGACCTCGATATCGTCCATACCATCATCGTCACTTCTCGAGCGGTTGAGAAGCACACAGTAACCATTGGGGAGGTTGAAATATGTTTTGGCACGGAGGCCACTATGAAGATTACGACCGAGTCAGAGTGGAACGCAGCATGGAACCGAGCGGCTCGCGCTCTCAGGTTCGCTTTCCCTCACCGAAGGGCTGAGCTCGATGCATACTTTGAGTATATCTCCGGTATGTTCGCGCAGTCTGCCAAAGCCGCCCATGGAAAAATCATTCTGTTTGATAAGGCAGTCAGGAACAGAGTCGGATCATCACGCAGATACGAACTCTGCGACTTCGACGCCTTCCAAGACATACATCGTATGTTTTTCCACCCTGTGTAGTTCTGTTTGCAATAAATGTGACCGAAGTCCACGAGGCGTAGTAAGGTTTGAATAATTTCAAGTATCTGACAATAGCAACTAGAACATCCACGCTGTTGCTTGATCGGGTGTGAATTGGACGGTCAGGTGCAACAGTATCTGAATAGCCCGTTGAATTCGAATAAAGTACATACCGATATAAGTGATAAGTTAGGGTGATAACGTCGAAGTGCATCTTGTTCGATCTGTCGCTAAGAAGTATTGAGTAGATACACTACCCGGTGATAAGCAAAGGACAACCATAGAGACGAATGCCATAGTACCCGAGAAAATACGAAGTATACAATAACATACGGAAAAGTCCATCCGGAATAGAATGTGAGAAATCAACGGGATATTTGCGACTGGAAAATGGAGGGTGCGTTATCTACGAGCCATTCAACCATCATGGCCTTGCCAGCCATGTCACTAAACTCAGAACTTGGATCTGAAGAACGCATTAGCGTGGCTAAATTCAAACGTCAGTTTTGAGTTGAAGCAAACACAGGTGAGAGGACGTACGTCCAAAGACCACCCCCAAGTTCCTCGCATTCATGAGATTTTTGTCGCTGTGTTCCAATACACTGTACCGACGTTAGTTAAACGTCCGTGAGTTGCGAGAAAATTCTCACCGGTGTAAATGCAATACAAGCAGGCGTAGAGTGTGATAGTGCTCGCTGGGAAGGCGGTTGATCAAATCCTGCAAGTACTGGGTTTTGAGCCCAGCATCCTTGAGTGAAGTGGCTGAGATAAACTCTCCATGAAGGTCATAAGTCAAAAGAGGGACAGGTAATTGACGGAAATATGTCTTTAAGACGGAAGTGACACTGCAGATATCATTGAACCGATCTTCGTCACGCAGATCGAATGCCCCATAGTCCCCTCGCTCGAATAGTTGCATGATAATTTTCGTTTGCCCAGAACCGCCAGTTTTGCGATAGATACCCTCGTAGTCCAGCGCTGACATCTACGTCAACCAGGTACAGGTTGGCATAGATTATATTTACTTACCGAGAGCCTCCACCGCGTCGATGCATTTCTCCACGATGACAGGAACTCTCCGTTCACCCCGCTTTGAATCCGATTTCACTTGTTCTACAAGATCACGGCCAAACATGGAGGGAGCTAAAGTTTGACTTTAGACTTGAATGTCGGTAAGATGTTCAAATCACTCACGAGGTTGTGTAATCGCATCATCTCGGCGAGGGGGCTGTTGGGAACATGCTACATACACTTGATTCACGCAGCGAGGATGCACGGATATATGGCAGACTGAAGAACTGTTAATAAAGTGGACACGAGAGACCAAGACATGACCTGCCTGAGCATCGGAACTGGGAGCCCCATAGCTTGTCTCCACAATGATCGCACCGCGTAAAGCGGAGTACGCTCGTCTGGTTGAAGGAATGAGCCACTCGACCTTTGCCCTTCTGATCAATTGATGAAAGCGAGGGATCCCGACCTCTAGCCATAGGCCACTTGAACTTTGCGGACTTCAGCGTCGAGGGCATGGAATCTGCTAACTCGGCGCGGCTAGCCTTGTTGAACTTGGCCTCTGACTCCTCAACCAATGTTGTCGTGCTGCGCGCTGCCAAGCCGTTGAGTGATGAAAACATTGATGGGAAGTCAGACTGAGGGTGTTCGTGGTCAAACGATGTACTCTTCTCGCGAACGGAGTTTGCTCTTGATTCGTCCTTTGAGCCAATGACGTCCATAGTAGGTGTTGCTGAACGAGAGGTCTCTATTCGACGCACATACTGAGCACTAAGCTGCGCCAGTTCTTCGTTTCGAGCGTTAAGGACAGTCGTCTCCTCAAGGAATTGTTCGCGGGCAGCTTTCAACTCTGCCACCTCTCTGATGAGAGCCTCGCGCTGCTGGGTGAGAGGAATGAGCTCGTGCTGATACTGCGTCTTGATGTTGTCCAAGCGCATGGTCAAAGACCGGCTCATCTGTGCGGCAGGTATCTCGCCCGAGTTTATAACGCTAGGGCAACTAAAATTCTAAAATGAGTGCTCGGTGACTTCAAAGGAAGTATTGCAACATTACTTCTTTGACGCGCAGAGTTCTTCAAGCTCTGCTAAAGTCATATCTCGCTCCGCTTTCAGATGGGACAGATCGTGCTCCAACAGATCCAGCTTTTTGGCAAGGTCCTGGGAAAGCTGTCGTCGTGTTTCCGACCTATTTGCCTCGCCATTGAGAGCAGTCAACTTTGCAGCTTGACCAGACAGCAAAACACGCAGGCGGGTGACCTCTGCTTCAGCATTCCGTCGAGCAACAAGTTCGCGGTCATGCTCTTTCTGGGCAACGGTAAGACCCTCGATATATTGCTGGCTCGCCCTCTAAGAAGACATTAGAACGAGCGACTCTGAGGTGAATTATGTCTACCTTTGTGCCGTCATACTTGTGCTTGAGCTCTCCGTGTTCTATCCTTCGTTGCTTCATCGACGTAATGATGGTCCAGACGAAGTTCTTGTCCAATTTCAATTGCTGATAGCCATGTTCGCTTGCGTCATCGAGAATCTCATGAAGGCGACGAATCACAAGATCATATGAATCGCTGTTAATAGGCGTTGAAATGGTTGAATCGGGCGAAAGTGACGACGATGCGCGCATTGGGATCCAAAGATGCATTCGAGTCAAGCCTCTCGTGCCTCACTCCATGACTGTGAAGAGAGGGATAATGCGACTCGGAAGAAGAGCGGCCTCTTGACAAGAAGTCGTGAGGCAAGCTTGAAAGCAGGTCTTTCGCCTCAGCATCAAGTAATTGAGAAGAATTCGAGGGATCTCGTTGGTGATCATGCGGCGGTTGGGATGCGGTAGAAATGGTTCGCTCCCGAGGATCTTTAGCTCCGTTGATACGGTCAACACAGGCCGCACTCCCTGAGCTTTGTGACTTTCCATTGGCGTCACTAGCTGCTGCTGGACTAGGTAACGATTCATCCTTGCGAGAATCATCTCCCTCGGCAATCTGATCGAGCGATTTGAGAGATGGCATTCCGCCCACCGACCTCAGAAAGTCTGAGAAGTCCGAGCCTGTCATGGAAAAACGAATAGGAGGAAGAAGGGCGGGCGCGATAAACGTTGCGACCGACGTGCGTTCAACTGGCGAAGATTCGTCCGAGTTAGAATCCATATGTGATACAGCAGATGCATCGGGATCAATGTCCAGCTTGAGCTCATTTGCGCGTGCCTTTGCCCTGTGCTCTTTGGGTGGGACAGGAGGAGCGGGAGCAGTGGGTGAAGGGCTATCGTCTGAGGACTTGCGACTGCCGTCCCCTTCTACGTCTGTGTCTGTACCACTCTCAATCCCATGAGGGACATCCGCTCTATGAGATGGGGACGTTGGAGTAACTACACCCGAGCGATCCGATATTGAGCTACTGGGTGCATTATCTATGCGCAATGTCCTCTCGCTCGGAGGGCCAGAGGGCGACAGACGTCCGTCAACTTGTTGAGTATGCAAGCCGTTGGCCGGGTTTCTCGCATGGTTCTGTGAGTCTGGACGAGTAGAAACTTTCTCCAAATTAGGACTTATCCTACGTAATTGGGTCGTCGGGCGGGTATATTGGGGTGCGGACTGGGGTTGAAGGGGTTCATGCGACATTGAGCGCATACGACTATCGGGTGTCGCTCGCCCATTTTCTAGAGGAACAGGAGCAGGTGATGAAGGAGGAGAATGGTATATGGTCGAGACTGAGGCGTTGTCACGAAGTAGACTGATATTGGATGCCCGGCGAGATGGAAACGAATCGGAAAAGAGTGGCTTGGAGGGTGATGGAGCAACGGGTGAGTCACTACGGTTTACAGGTAACGTCTGCGATCGAATCATCTGTTCTGGCAGAGAAAGTCCAGCTGTAGTAGGAGGCCGGGACAAATTCTTATAATCCAGAGCAAGTCCTGGGTTAATGGACCGCCGTTTCTCACTTCGAGACGTGACATTCGGTACGCCCAGGCTAGGCTGGTCCGAAGAATCCTTCTCCGCGTGCCCTTTCTTTGCGAAGAGGACGTTCAGTGGCCGAACACCGTCATCGTAGCTCTTTCTCCTGGAAAGTGCGCTAGATGGGTCCGCAATCGATGATGGATTTAACAATGTCCCTCCAACTCCATCCTGAGCCTGCAGACTCTCTAAGGGAGTTATAGGAACAGACTGAGACGACACCTGCGGGCTTGACGGACCTGGATCATCAACTATGATCAGTTGAGTATGATCAGCGCCACCGTCGTCGCTGTTGTCAGGGGGTGCGATAGTTACTGCGAATGATTGTGATTGTGCATCACGTGGTGATCGTGAAGAAGCGGGAAGTTTATGCTGGATCGGCCGTGGGCTTGAAGGAAATATCGACGGTTGCGCACCATTCTTGGCTGATGTTTGAGGAGGTTCATCCTGAAGTGGTGATGATTTTCGATTTCGTTCCAGCGCTGACAAGGCGTCCTCTCTGGGTTGATTGAGACTCCTCATGGATGGAGTATCCCGAAAAGTCGTCGCTGAAGGCTTTAAACGCACAGACGAAGACGAAGGGGGTGAAATAGCTTGTTGTCGATCAGACACCTATGGAATAACGTCAAAAAATCGGTCCAGAGCGGTCAACTCCGCTTATGTCTCTACCTACCGCGTTCTCTGCCAAAAATTCTCGCGCCTCTCGTTCTCGTGTTGAAGATGATGCACTTCCCTCAGCAGCCTTCTCCCGTTCGCGCTTCCTCTGTGCATGGCGGCGAATCTTGGCCATGCGTTCGTTATGACAAGTCATGCAATAGATGCCATGACTGGTCTTGGCGAATACTAGTTCGTCAATTCGGTTATGACAAACCTTGCAATTAAAGCAATGTGCGTGGTATGAATCGTCTCCGGTCATGATAGCTTCGTCGAGGATGGGTTGGTGGCAAACATTACAATTGTACGAACAGTTGGCGCATATTGGCGAGCCATCTGAAAGTAGTAGCAAATTCGTGTCAGCAGTCACCTGTTGATGGCATTTCGCGCATTTAAAGCAGTCGACGTGAAAAAATGACTGTCTAAATACGCGATGAGTGATCCGCAGCGCAAGTACAGTTAAAACGCGTATCAATAATAATAGTTGTTAGCTCACCCAAACGCGACAACCAAACCTCCATTCTCGTTCACGGCATACTGCTTGCAGCCCGGACAGAGTCTGTCCTCGAGGGAGGTGATTGAATTCAGGGCGACCTGTTGAGACATGGAAGTTGGGTTCCTCGGTCAACAATCGTGCAGCGTAAATGAGAATGATTGGGATGTCTTGTTCGGATTCAAGATGGAGAAATGACAGAAGGGTGCGAGCAGCGGGGGTATGGAATTTGAGCCAGCTCACGTAGGACGTGTATTGTTGAACGAAGGAGTGTTGGCTATGTGTCAAGTGCCCGATTAGTGATGGTGACCGGGTTTGATGGCGGGCACGATGACGAGGTATAAAGGCTAGGGTATTTGGTCGCGGTGAGTGCTGTCACCGTCCTAGATAGCCAGTTCCAAGTAGTCGAATAAATGTTTTTTATGTAAAACAAGATAACCAATTGATGTTGGGAATATATTTTATCCCACGCTTTCTCATGTTCAACGTCGACCTTTTAGATCAACTTTGAGTTTCACAAGTGATTAGATTCAAACGCTACGTTTCAATTCTCCCCTTGCAATGACCTGTGTACTAGTAACAGCATATTGTGCTCTCAGCAATGTCGTAGGTGCTATCAAAGTACATAGCCTTGGTAATTAATTATAATCAGGGGGTCACCACTAATTCTCAGAGAAGTTACTCAGTCGCATACATGAGATAGTTTGAAACTTCCTGAACTTTCGAAGTTCGTTGGTTGGATACCAGGATCATTATCCAGTTCCACCCGGAACTGCGTCAAGATTAATTGCCCAGTCAAATGAAGCCAAATGGCGACAGATGCGGTGACTCCGGCCCACTGGAGGCCTGTCAGGGCCTGTCATGGTCAGGCAGCCGCAGTACTGCATTCTCTCCCTAGGCTAGCCTCGAGGTCAAATGTGTGTAAGATTTCCCGTTGTCTTGACAGGTTGTGCGCGCCCGCTAAAATATAAATGCTGATGCTCAGCGGCGCCCGTCGATGATGGGGCGTGTCCAAGAAGGGGTTGTGTCCAAGAAGCTGACTGAGTATTTTGTGCGGAGGGAGAAACACACAAATTCAAATTGAATTTAAATAGCTGATTCATAATCACATGCCTTTTCGGTCGTTGATGGTAACTGTATTCACAGCACCTTGGTCCGTGCGCGACTAATTTTGTATATAAGGGGCTCACTTGGGAACTGGTTCCCCATCTCTTGTGCTCGGGCATGTACTGTCGCCAGTGAGGTCTTTACCGAGGCACAGTCTTTTGCTGATTGCAAATTACACATCCGAACCCGTCTGTTAGCTTCGGCTTCCAGCAATTTTTGGAACACACTCTTATTTCAGGCTTTGAGCTTGAATTGATATACCTGGGCATAATATTATGTAGCACAATATATTTGAATTTATATTCAATTGACGCTATTTTTGCAAGATGGAATGTTCTACAGCATTTGAAATTGCTTTCATTTCCTCGGGCTTAGCCACTATTCGGTAATTGATTAATCGATCAATGGGCAGTCTCGGCCCCTCCCTCCAGCCGCAGAATAAAGCAACATGTCAAAGAATATTAGTGCGAAAACACAAGTATGGACCAATTACATCGTATAACTCGATTTATCGGTCTAGCGGAATCAAAATGCGGCGTTGTAATAGAAATGTGGGTTTACATCCATCGATGATCCAACCATCTCAGACACCACTTCCTCGAACGAAGTTGATGCATGTCAGGTGAATCGATAATCATCACCCCTTGTTTGCAACCAGTGTAGGAAATGGCTCAGGTAGGCCATAGTTACCAATGGCTTCTCGAATCTAAGTTGGCAGTGGGCACGCAAGGCTATATCCCACATCAATCAATCATCAAGGTTGGGTGACGTACACATATCAGTTGGCTTTTCTTATGAGCAGGACTATAAGCCGCGGCGCTGGCCGCCGATCCGAATGAAGGAGAAGATGTATAGTCAACATCTATGATTCGAATGCCTAAAAAGTTAAGGCTGACTGTTTTAAAGACGTGGCAACATTTCCCTTGCCAGACTACCGTAGATAGGATTGATACAATGCTGATAGCTGGGATACAAGAGGGTGTGCGAGAGGGGGGCCCCACTGAGCGTACGAGGTAGTATGATTGCAAGCGAATTCTCTGCGGGCAAGGATGGCGTTAGATCACCCGCCCAGAGTCTTGCGAAGACATCATGCACTTGCGCTGACCTGCACGTTGCAGGTGAGCATATGTTCCGACTCCTAAGCATGATTCGAAGTTCTCAAACTTTGATAGTCGACCGTCATGAGCCTCGCGCGTGACCGACACGTGCACAGGAGTGCTGACGTTTTCCTACTAAAACTAGAAACGACGATCCAGGATGGGTGGGTGGGCGACTCGTCCTCGAAGCAATCGCAGATAGGCTGGCCCTTCGATCTCGAAAGCAGACATGCGTATCAAGCTTCTTGGCGCACCGGAGTAGCTCCATATAGACTTTGGAACTTGATTGTCACTGTCAGTCGACTGTCAGTAACGTTATGGCTATCAGTTCACAAGCCTTCGGTACGGCGTAGTACGGCGTGCTCACGAAAAAAAAAACGGTAGAGGCGAAATCATTAGGATTCAGATGTCATCGAAGTAGACTTGAATGCTCCGTGGGGTTCATTTTGATCAGGCTGTGATGCACTTCATGGCACACAGCTAATATACTCACTGCGCCAGTAGTGCTGTACTAAGCCTGTCACTGTTTGACGGGTGGAGCTACGGTTCATGGATAAGACCGATTTCCATTTTGAGAACCAAGGAAAACGGGTATCGTGAAATGACAACACCGACGGAAGCAGTTCAGTCTGCTTCTGCTCTTGTTTCTCTAGGTTTCTCCCTCTCTCGTTCTTTACATTCTCCATCAAGGCACTCAGCAAGGATCGGCGCTCATATTTTTATTGCTACCATCGACAACGTTGTTCTGCAGCAAGCTGCAAGGCTTCTAGCCCGCCGCCACCTGGACGTGTCTTCCCTGTGCTACCCACGTTCAGAGCATTCCCTGAAGCCTGTCAAGGATAAACTGAACCTGTGCCGCTGACTACCACATCGTCATCATGCCTCTTCCAAGCGGCACACCGCTGTCTCTCCAAGGCCATTCTCGCCCTGGAGATACTGTCCAGACCAAGCCTAAGCACGCTATGATCGTCCGTATGTCAGCCGAGACATTAGAAGCTCTGGAAGACTTGTCTAGCAACCCTGTGATGAATTTCGAGTTTGGCGATAGTCCAGTCAGTTCAAGTGCTTACGACTCAGCCACATCTAACATTCAATCTCAGGGCATTTACATCGGGGAGACATTCTTTCCAATGCGTCCTCTGAAAGAGAGTACTCCGCACGAAATCTATCTCAGGACGTCCTCTGCAGCCAAGCCAAATGCTCCGTTGAAGCTCTATGCCAATGTCATGGGAAAATTCATCGTTGATCGACAACTTGGCGAGAAAGTCACTGATAAAGTACGGCAGCAAACCATCGAGGCGAAGAAGCAACATTCCGAGCGCCAAACCATCATGCTCGATGCGCCGCTTATGTCTGCGGCAGGCACGAAGAACCTGAAGCGGAAAGCACCGGGTTCAGGAACGGTAGTAAGGAAAAGCGCACAACGCGACACTCTCCGTACCCCTGCTGCATCTACTCCTGTTACACGCAAAATCTCTCCGATACCACAGGCCGCTTCATCAAAGGCGAATGCGGATATTCGCAGGCGTCTTATCCACTTCCTTGCAGTTGAGCCTCGCGAAACAGACCTGGCGGTAAGCAGGGTTTGCGGGAATAACTGTGATGACACTGCAAAGGCTAATCTACTTAGTATCTTAGAGGAGGTGGGTATGCATCACTCTACTTTGACTCTTTCACTCAATCGTGAATGTACAGGTCGCTGAGCAAGCCCTAGCCCGGAGAGGTGACAACTCTCCTCGGAAATGGGCTCTCAAAAATCGTACATGGCTTGAAGTACGTCCATACGAATGGGAGATGTACAAACAGTCAGAGCGGACCAACGTCGCTCGACAAGGCAGGGTCGTGCTCAGTTCCCTCAGGATACCCGAGTCTGACTCTGTATGGGATCATTTTCGCTTTCGAAACGTTGCACCTCCCACTGGAGCTGCTCCGCATCCAACCCACGGAGGTAAGACTATCACCGGCCCACCTGCGGGTCTTCTCAAGCCGAAGCCCGAACCAAAACGACCTGCTATATCCAAAGATCTCAAGCAGAAAGTGAAGGCAGATTCTTCTCGAATGAAGGGTGATATACAGATGAAAGACGAGAGTGCGCGGCAGAGGGGTGACATACAGATGAAGGACGAGACCGTTAAGCTCCCTAGGGTGGCCGCCATTAAGCGCGAAGAAGCCAGTCCATCACCCAGTAGCAGTACCAGCACTAGCTCGAAGGCGGCGGCGTCCAGACGATTACCGGGCTCTGGATACGTTGCCAAGAAGTCCCCTCAGCCTTCTCCTGCCGTTGAGACGGCATCTCGCGAAGCTGCAGGTTCAGCCGATGTTCGTCCTCAACGACCGCTGCCCCCGCTTACCTCCCAAACCTGTACCGGCGCCCCCGCCGCCACTCTCAAGTCAGGAGAAGGCGCCTATCACTTCGATGCCAATGAAGATGACGAAGAAGATGCTTCCACCCGAGGAGTCCGATAGAGAGCGCGAGAGACATAGAGACAAAGATAGACCGCCAAAGGATAGAGTTACCACTGGTGATGAAGCGGAAGAGCGCCAGCCCATGATGTAGGAGATGCACATGACGAGGAGGGGCTCAAGGCAAACTCGTTCAAGAAGCGCAAAACGGAAGAGGGTCCATCACCTGCTGCACCTTCGTCTTCATTAAAAGGTCGAGACTTGTCTCTCCCAAAGAAGCCGGTCGAAGCCACATCTCCTGTACCACCTCCGCCGAAGAAGATCAAGAAAGAGCATTCTCCGCTTCCACTTCCACTGCCTCGCACCGCCTTACCGACGCAGCCACCACCCCTAAACTCACCTTCCAAAATAGATCAAAGGACCGAAACCCAACGGAGCGTCAAAAGCCAGACGAAAGTCACCAATATATACCTCTTCGGATGAAGGAGAGATACCAGAGCCGCCACGGAAGCCCGCTCAGGATCCTTCCGCGAATACTGATCGCTCAAAGGGCAAGGAGGGACGTGCCCGCCCCCGATCATCATACCCATTACCCCCTGATCGTAACGGACTACGTTCGCGATACCAGTCCAAGTACGGAAATTACCTGGGTACATATTCCCAGATCGTTGCACAGAAGCGGAAGATCGAGGCCATCTTAAACGGAGAATCGGAAGCGGAAGGAGAAATCATGGATCCGGAGGAGCTGAAGAGGCTCAGTGCCGAGCACAAGAACCAGAAAGAGGAGTTGGAGTCCATTCAGGAGAAGTGGATGAACGGGTCTGTATCGGAAGTAAGATGGATCACATCGCGACTTGTAAACTTCTTCAGGCACTTAAGGCGGACATGACCTACTCACCAAGACCATTAGTATCCACGCCAAAATTTTCTTGTTGTACATCGCTTTCATATATTTTTCGTTAATTGTTTCAATGTTCGACTGTGCTGTCGCCTTATGGAAGTTATGCATGTATACGCTGATACATAGACTAATTACGACTGTTGCCTAATTTTCGGCTTGAATAAGTAATGTTCAATGCCCCTCTATATCGGCGTTCGATTAGCTAGGAAATACGCATTAAAGAATCGGTCTCAATTCGCCCCCATGAAGGGCGAAAAGTTCCGAACAGGCCATGTAAAACACGCTGAATTGAGAACGAGTTAACTGTAGATGGTGAACAATCATCACCTATAGAAGGCTTCGCGGCCCCCATCCATATAGAGGCCTTTTGAAACTGCGTCTTCCTCGAGTTCTTTGATGGGCCAGCTTTGGCATTACGACCCTGTGTCCCGACCCACGCTTCATGTGTACGGGAGCAATTTGGGCCGTTAATGTACCGGCTTCTGACGAGGCCAGATCTGGATTCTGAGTGGAAGTATGCCTGAAAGGATGCAGAATATTCATTGAGCTCGGCAGAATTATTGAGAACACGCACGAGAAGGTCGAGAAGGCAAGGTTCAGTACGTAAAGGGGCACTTCAAAGGTGAGCACCCTGCCGGTGAAGAACGTATGAGCTATCCATGTGCATACAACCGACTCCAAGAGAAACAGATTTTGACTCTGTTGTGGCAACCGGTTAGCTAGGACCAGTTAGATGGACCTCCGAGGAAACCATCCATGAGTTAGTGTCAAGAAAAACTTGTCATCAAACAGGTTTTGAACCTGCGCAGTCCAAGAGAAACAGATTTTGATTCCGTTATGGTGACCACTTGGCTAAAGCCAGCTGAGATAAGCGCCCGAGAAAACCATTCATGAGCGGATGTCAAGGTGTGTTCCGATAGAAAAACAACCTTGCCGTCAGCAGGTTTCGAACCTGCACAATCCAAGAGAAACAGATTTTGACTCTGGTAACCACTTGGCTAAAGCCAGTGAAGATGAACTTCCGAGGGACTGTCCATGAGTGAATCTTCAAGGCGTGTTCTGATCCTTTTTGTGATGCAGCAGGTTCGACAGATTTTGATTCTCCTGGCTAACACCACTTAAGATGGACCCCCAAGGAAACCATCCTTAAGTGAATCTTCAAAGCGTGTTCCAATCAAAAAAGACTTGTCGTCGGCAGGTTTCGAAACGAAGTCGAGACGAACCTCCAAGGAAACCATCAATGAGCAAATCTTCAAGGCGTGTTCTGTTAGAACAAAACCTTGTTGTCGGCAGTTTCGAACGTGCGCTGGCACAGTCCAAGAGACAGATTTAGATTCTGTTGTGGTAATCACTTTGGCCAAGACGAAGTTGAGATGCTCCTCTGAGGAAACCGTCCATGAGTGAATCTTCAAGGCGTGTTGCGACAGAAAAATAACTTGTCATTGGGCAGGTTTTGAACCTGCACAGTTCAAGAGAAACAGATTTTGATTCTGTCGTGGTAACCACCCAGCTAAGACCAGTTAAGATGAACATCCGGCCATGAGTGAATATCAAAGGTGTGTTAACGTTCCTAGACAGAAATACCTTGTGGTCCCGCCGCAGTCCAAGAGAAATGGATTTAGATTCTGTTGTAGTGAACACTTTGGCCAGGATGGGGACTCTAGTGATGCACGAGCAACACCAGAGCCAAGTCTTGTGCCGAATCAGCATCCAAAAATCGATGCGCAACCCTTGGCCATGTCATCCTTCATCCTCTCCGAGTCCATCACGCATTTCCTCAGCGTGCAGATCGCTTACGCTTCCCACATTGAGATGAATCTCCGAACAACTGTCCGTGAGTACTAGTGAATGTCAAGGTGGGATACTAACTTGAAGAAGCAAAGTCGTTCGTCCGCAGGTTTCGAATCTGCAATGCGCACCACCCAATTAGAGAGCAGATTTCTAGTGCCAGTTGGTTATGAGTCTTGACTACCCAAGTCTTAAGATAGACCGTGAAGGATCTATTCATGAGTGAACGTTTGGTAAAAGGAAATGATTGTTGAGCAGTTTTCGGACCTGCAACAAATTTATCATTTCTATCCTGTCACGCTTACCACTTGGCTAAGACCGGTTAAGATGAACGTCTACGAGTCAAGGACTCAAGGAACATCATGAATTGACAGTAGAATCATATATAGGATTGACAGTCATTTGCGAACGCAAGATAAAATAAAAAGACTAGTTTAACTTTTCGATGTGAACAGAAGTCAGCAGCCGTGAGAAACACCTTCCTATAATGCGTTTGTCTAGATTTTCCTTTTGGCTCCTCCACCGTGAACATGTGCGCATTGCGCAACATGACTGCACCACCATCCTTTGCATTCAGGACTCTCGGAGTCCACTTTAACAAACGCACAAATACAAGCTTGCTACTGCATACACGCCGTGGATCTCTTCACTCCGATGTTGATCGCTACAACACTATCCGCCTGTTTTTTGAGCGGCAGCTTGCAACAAATAGTTCTACGCCAGTGACGCCACTGCCGGCCCGCAGGAGATCCACGTTCCACACGATATTCACTCCAAGTTCTTCTAGGTCATTTACTGGACGTGACTTCCGGGAACTGGGGTCGCGGTCGGGCCATAACCATTCGAGCAAGGACGACAGAGGTAGCATACACGAGAGCGACCACTCTCGCCAGGAGAGCAAAGCACAGTTCCCCGGCTCTGCCAGCTCTGTACGAAACGATTCAGAACAAGATACAGGTGTCCATCTCCCCCCTCCACCATTAAATCTCGACAATTATCCCCGTCTGTACCGCAGATTAGCTCTATCTCTTTCTCACCTTCACCGCCCCACACGAGATGACTTCCTGAAAGTAGCCAATGGTTTTTGGCAACGTCTACGGATCCGCTTTAAGTGGTTTACTATACGTTCTTTTCGGAGATTTAATGCAGATGATATCTCCGCTTTCATAACATGGTTCCTAATGAGCCAAACTCTGTGGATATTGGTCGGAACGTGAGTTGAAAATATCTGGTCTGAAAATCTGATGTGACTTATCCTGTTCAGAACAACATTCTTCTCCGTGGTTTTTGCCACCGCTAATAGTCTGCAATTGCAAGGTATGTGTCGCCCCTACGCAATCATATGCACGTCTCTCACTAGACATTGCAGAATATGTAGCACGCGCCATAAGCAACTACCTCACCAGTGAGACTGGCGTCACAGTCATATTCGAATCTGCTATCGTTCCTAAATGGAAGGACTCTCGCATCTCCTTCAAAAATGTATACGTCTCCCGCAGATCATCGTCCACCAGCCGTCCAGCAGCGCCAAAAAAGCACATTGGACATAAAGCGGCCGTTGGATATGATGTCAGCAGCCATCCCGCATACAACTATTTTGTGGATGACGAAGAAGAAGTAGTCGAGAGTCACACCGAGGATGATGTCAACTATTCCATGTTTGACCTCAACGTAGACTCCATAGATGTCACTTTATCGCTCCAACACTGGCTGAATGGCAAGGGCCTTGTGGAGGATGCTGTGATCAAAGGCGTTCGCGGAGTGCTAGGTGAGCATCTTTGTCCGTCGAACATCAGATTGAACTGAGGTCTGCAAACAGACCGTCGCTCTGTTTTCTGGGACCCAGAAAATCCACTTGACCCTGCTGCATTCCGTCATGTTGGTCACCAAGGCGACTTTGAGATAAATTCTCTGCAGCTCGAGGACGTCCTTGTGACCGTGTATCAACCGGGCGATTTTAGGCCTTATACCGCTTCGATTTTTCGTGCAGACATAAGAACTTTCCGGAAGCAATGGCTCTTCTACGACTTTTTGCGTGCGGAAAACGTTGTAGGGCAGTTTGATAACTGCCTGTTCAGTCTGCACAAACCTCAAAGCATCGGCCGAACTACTGAACAGGATCTCAAGGATGGCAAATGGTCGCGGATGGTAATGTGGATTGACCCCTATCTCTGGTCAGTTCTGACAAGTTAATTATAGTCTAGGATCCGCATTGATGGCGTCAATATTGATCACATGCAAAATTCCACGACATTGGAAGGCGGTCCCTTGTCGTGGATAACATCTGGCAAAGTTGATGCAGTGCTAGATATAAAATTCCCCAGGGATGCAGAAGACGAATTTGCGTTGAATGCCATTCTCGGTGAGCTCGCAGATGCCATCACCACGGCGGCTACCGCTTCTCTACCCGTTGAGAGGATACCGGGGCAGCGAGAGCTCGCGAAACCACCTCTTACTGCACCTACGACCGATAACGAGAGAGAAGCCGATGATAGTCCTAAGGTCGTCATCGACATAGATTTGCGATTTAGGGATCTCAAGGCTGCTGTTCCACTATTCACGTCGGATCTCTCATATGTCAACAGCGCACTAATAAGACCTATAGTGGCATTCATGAAGTGAGCGAAACATTCTATCTGCGCTTGATCGTGTCATTGATTTGTCCAGCGCACATCATACCTTGGTTCCTATTCATTGCAGAGTGGTTAAAGATTTGAGTGATTATGACGGTGCATGGACCGTGAGTATCTTTCTGGAGTCTTCGCAATTCCGCTCATGCTAATAGACATTATAGATGTGGGAGAGTATGTTGTATTACTCATGTAATAACCTACCACCGCTAATTATCTCCTATTGTAGCTGGCCTCATGGATGAAATTTCACAGAAGGTAGAAATAATTCGATTACCAATCAAAGCGATCTGATCGGCTTGCTTTAGATATACGATGCGCTCGCTTATCACGTCTCCCAAGTCAACTTGAACAGGCGAGTGAAAGCAGTCAGCATGTGGTCATTACAGATGACTGCCAGCGCTGTACTGTCTGCGCTGAGGAACCTAGTGGATCCAGTATCCATGCAGGTTCGGGATCTGTACTACGTGAATGGCGTTCCATATGACGCCTTGATTCCTGGACCGTAGACTGGTAAATGTTTTGCAGTTATCGACAAAACTAGCTTTTCAGCTCATTCCACACGGCGCCTCTATCTGTCAAACAGGGATTCTACGAGACATGTTCGTAAATACGGTTTGGCGGTTCTATCCTCAGTCGTGTTTTCCAACTTTCCAATTGAGAGAACTTCTAACATGGGAGTCACAGAGAATTGCGGTTCGCATAACAATATTGATTTGATTCCCATCTCGTTTGCAGCGATGCTAACGGCCGCTTCTACTACAATTCGACCGAGCTTTCAAAGGCCTTGGAATGTAACTCGATGGTAGCATATTACGGGCAGAATTATTCGACCATCTCTGCCAGTGGAAATGAGCGGAAATGCCAATGAACAGAATTGACCAGTGGTTGGAGATGGCGGGGAGAAATTGATAGAAACGACATTCCCTGCCAATGTCCACGATATACGCATGTCGATCACTCCTACGACTCATCAACAGATTTTGGCACAAGTGCTTCCTCTGGCAAAGTTTTGCATCAAGCTAGCATCGGCAAGTTGACTTTGCCATGCGCCCATATTAGAGACTGTTAGTTAGTAGCCAGGTCCTTGTTGTGTGGCAAAGATTTGCCATCTTCACAAGCGTTCTATCCAGAGACCGCGTTGGTGGCGTTTCACGGACGTAATGGCATGGACACTGAGGCCTGAGGCTTTTCTTCACAAACAGAAATCCTCGATTGGAAAAGAGGAAGCTATCATGCGGGATGAGCGCTAGCCAGTACTGCATCGTTACGTGGCGGCGTGAGGCGTCCCCCTGGGTCCCCAGGTTCGTGCCACTCCTGCTAGCATCGTGACAACTATCGGTACCAATGTTCATCACTCCTCAGCTTCTGCAAATTGCCAATTATCCACGATTTCTCCATTTATCCCGACGATGTGTTGGCACCGTTGTCCAAGACCATTAATGTCTGTTAGATGACTTGTTCATCTGACATATGGATCAGGGATCTCGCTGAGTCCCTTGGGCACCCGCGGAGCGGCTTCTCTCGCGGTTTCTTCCTCCCCTGCGCATAACGGACCGAAGTTATGGATGAATGAGGTGGAGGACATGGTGGAGTTTCCTCGTTGGTAATTGATCAAATCAACAGGCTGCAACCGAATACTCATTACACCGTGCTTAAGCTATAAAGCGTATCATGTTCTAAACCTGATTATCAGTCCCCCCCCCCTCCTTGCAATACATCTTCCAAGTGGGAGAACATGCCTCAATTACTGCGTTCAAATCTGACCGAGTCCAAGGAAGAGGTTGGGAACAGCAGTATTGTCTCTGACTTGGCCCTCGTTGGACCCGAAGGTCGCGTTGGATTCAGAGGTCTTTTTGAAAATAAATTTCTGTGAGTGGTTTTTGGAGATGGCATGGATTCAAACGATGGGATGTATTTATGGCGCAGACTTGGTATATCGTTATTCTCGACTCTCGGAGGATTCGTAAGTTTTTGTCACAGTATAGATGACCATCAGTAACATCGTGTCTTGTCGCATATATACAACAGCTCTGTGGTTACGGCCTGGTGAGTTGGGCAATGTCCTCACATGATACTAGTCTAACTGTGTATCAGGGAGTCCTCAGCAATGTGCTCACTATCGAGTCTTTTGGAGCGACGTTCCCAGAGATCTACATGAATCCAAAGCTGCAGGTAAGGGTAATATTCCAATAGATTTCGGCCCCGTCAGAGTAAAACTACCTTTAGGGATGGTTAGTCTCCACGTTTGTGCTAGGCAAGTCAACGTAGCATGTCGCAAGCGTATGCCAGTTGATGTACGTCCGCAGCTGCCTCGTTTGGAGCTAACGTGAGCGGCCCTGTCTGTGATAAAGTGAGATCTATTATTGGGCGAGACAGGACAAATTATGATCGACTACGACCCAGGTCGGGAGAAAGATTGGTATAATATGCGGTGCTGTGATCTTTCTTATCGGTAGTTCACTCCAAGCAGGTGCCACGTCTCCCGGTAAGTTCTATTCGTCACACTTCTCGGCTTAGCTGGAGATCATTTTGCTAGCTTACCTGTTCGCTGGTCGCACTGTTGCTGGTTTGGCAATCGGTTCTCTGACGCATGTCGTCCCAATGTATCTCGCTGAGATATCCAGTGCCAAAATTCGTGGATCTTTGATTTCTCTGCAACAACTCGCCATCACATTTGGGGTGAGTGAAACAACCAATACTGAGGTTACGCATCTGACACCACAAAATGTAGATTCTTGTTAGTTGTGCGTGGCATTCTGCTTTCATATATTCATATGTGCTCATTACTCGAAGACTGGATTGCGTATGGCACGTCACGTATAGGGGGAACCCGATGTGCCCCGGGAATACCGTACACTGGAGTGCTTCCGAATGGCATGCTTGCGTTCAATCCTTACACCGATGCTCCTGGCGGTTGCACTGGTCAAACACAAGCGTCATGGAGAGTTCCGTTTGCGTTCCAAATATTACCTGCCTTGGTGTGTTGGTTATATTTTCTGCCTCCCCCTCATACTTATGGAAGTACAGTGTCTTGCCATTGGCATGCTCTTCATGCCATACTCGCCTCGTTGGCTCGTTGAGCAAGGCCGTGAAGAGGAGGCTCTGGAGACCCTGTCGCGCCTTCGACGAAAGCCCACTGAAAACTGTTCGGTTCGCACTGAATTCCTGGAGATCATGACTGAAGCTCGTTTTGGGAGAGAGGTCATGAAGGCGGCATATCCTAATGCGGGGCCAGCCAGACGGACAATCAATAAATACTTGGTATTGATGTCTAGCAGGCCAAAGTCCAAGCGTATATTTGTCGGATTCCTTATCATGTCGTCCCAACAAAATATGGTGGGTTTCAAATTACAATCTTTTCTTATCATGTAATGAGGTATTGTGGTTTGCCAGGGGACGAATGTAAGTCGTGGTTCATCCTTCTGGAACTAACGTCGCTTACTTCGCTTAAGGCTCTCATCGCTTTATTGCCTATGAGTGAGTCTTACGAAAGATCTTAACTGTTAAGTTCAGAGTTGACTCTCTTCCACAGTTTTTCACCAACTGGGCCTTGACCCTAATACTACCTCCGTGATTGCTACTGGGGTTTCTGGAATTGTTAACGTGAGTCCAATTATAGATAACGTCACGTATAAGCCTCCTAATTTGTTCCAAGATGCTCGCTACTTTACCTGCTATTGCTCTCGTCGATAGCGTGGGCAGGCGACCTGTGTTTATATCTGGTGCCGCCGGTTGTCTGATTTGTCTGACAATCGCGAGTACTATCATAACCGTGTACGGCAAGGATTGGCCAGCACATGTAGTAGCGGCTCGTATTGTCATTGGTAGGTGTGCTGTAATTACCTGTAGAACATGTTGAACTGTCTTATAGTCTTCGCGTTTCTCTACGACGTTATATACTCTTACTCATGGGCTCCGATGGGATGGGGTACGTGGCTCGTAATTTGCTTCCTTCGAGGATTTAATACCTTGGCCAGTCGTCACCAGCGAGATATTCCCGTTGCACCTCCGGTCCATCGGTATGTCCATCATCACATCGACCATGTGGTCAATGATCTTGTGCGATTTTATTATCTTCTTCCGTCTATCTAGTATTGACATGCTCTAGTATGGCTGGAATCTTTTCGCTGATGACGATGGGTTCAAGTGTAAGTGGAATAGCGTACTATGTATTTGTCGCGCTTTCTCTTGGCGCGTTACTCTCAGCTAGTATGTTAAATCCCCACATTGTGTCAAAATTATGTTTAGCTCGCTTTCCAGTATTCTTTATCCCAGAAACCAAGGGTCTGGTAAGTTTTTTTACACATGCCCTGTCGAACATGGCTGACGATGTCACACAGACCTTGGAAGAAACGGACCCTGTGTTTCGTGATAATGCTACTGACAGTCAGCGAGAACACAAGGAGGGTATTCGTCAGGAACTTGGTCTGCCCAACCGGGCTCTTTTGAATGAAAATTCTGGCTGACCCAGGTCATTATTTCCCCATGAATCGATTCATCTATCATGTATATTATGAACTCCTTTTGTCTTTTTCTATCCTCGACTTCATTACCTCCGCATGTTCTTTTCACGGCATCGTCGGTATCGAGAACGTCACACCGTACTAAGCCCTAGACAAGTAACGCTTATGAAGACGGATGATTTCGCGCTGTGTGGAGCGAGCTCCGCTTCCGCTCTCTTTGACGTTAGACTCCTATCCGTGAATTTAAACTATACGTGCGTAAGTGATATCCTTACTTCCGCCCTCTTTATTTGTGCAGTCCCAGAAACCAGATGGCCGAAAGCCGTTCGATTTACAAGACTCTATATTGTTCAGACGGTGTATGTAACATGTTATGTCTCTCCACGCTCCAACCGGGTCCTGAGAATTGGTTAGTACGGTAGGCTGAACCTCGTCTATTCCTGTCCTTTCTGACTCGCAAAATAAAATAATGCTCCAGGTCTGACAGTCCTCGCGACGTTATATAACTCATCGGAGCATGCCAGTGTACACGCACAGCAAATATAATTTACTCCTCTGCATCATTGTGATGCTTATTAATGATAATAATGTTTTGCTCTCCACGATTGGTTAAAACATCTGAAGGCATGCAGATCGCTTGTATTTTACGATTATATCAACAGCATACACGCAACTTGAATAGAAGCCCAAGTGAGCTTGTGAGTTTGTATCAAGGATAGAAAAATGGTCACAGAATTGAGAAATGCCTGATGCTGTCGTTGCGGATTCCCAGGGGGAACAACAGGGAACGACGGCATATTACCCTAGAGCCGACTGTCGTTTATCAGTATGCATACTACTTGCATACTTGTGTGCTTGATTCTAGCGTGCGTGACATCATTTTGCTCCTCTGTCGGCGGGTCCTAACTAGTGGGTGAGGCAGATTTCGCACATGTGTTCAGGATATGAGTCTGTGCCTAGCCTGTAAGAGATAGTACCATTCAGTACTAGTATTCATGCACCACCCTTTTCCGGTATTACTTGGCCTATTTGGAAGTTCATCCTGCAACCCGGGGCCCGATGCACCCAAGGACCCAGCTGAATACACACCTCTGACCGATCTCTGACTAGCGTGAGTCGGGTTGGCTTCCCTAGACCACGATGTGGCCCTCGCTTAATATCCTCATCCGGGGAAACAATGTCAACAGCACACTCTCTCCTTGGGAACAAGTGCGCGGTGGGCATTAACTGCGGAAGTGAGAAATTGATCAGACCATATTCTAAGGGAGAAAGGGTAAGCGAGTGGACACGGTGACGAAATGCATGTATCGCTTCCGCAAAGTATCAACTATCACGGAGTTCGAGTTCAAACTCCGACTACTGAGTACATCATGTACCCTGACATGCTTTCTCATCGATCCCATTCTCGAATCCTGCCCCCTTCCCAAGTCCCATAATAGACAGAATAAGCTCGTTCAGACAGGTTTACGATGCGATTCTCACTGGTGAGTGGAAATGCTTCGTACACAAGTCAGTACGACTTTGAAAGTTCAAACATATTATGACAGACAGGTGCTACGTACGTATTACGCGGTCGCAGTGTACATATGTAGGTACAATATTGATGTCCCTCAAGGCCTCACCTATAGCTTATGATGTAATGTTATGATGCTGACAGCGTTCTCAATTGAAAGAGCATGCGAGGGATTTCGTTATGTTGAAATTAGTGCTGGAGCCAGTACTCGCTTGCGGGCAAGGACTCTGAACACTACTTGCCAGATAACAGCGTGACGTGTACTAGGTGCTGTCAATCAAACATACAGCTGTGCGGCAGCCTGAGAGACCATCCCATGACAGTTTCTTGAAATGGGGTGTTGTCCTACAGTCTCCTGTAGTCAGACCCCGATAGACCGTCATTAATCCATTCCTTCTGAATTAGTACTGTAATTGTACAACGAGCCCCAACTTGAACAACCACCTCACTGAGACGAGGGAACCAAGAATTTGAGGGCCGCTCGCCAGTACACATTTGGCCTGCCAGATTAGTCGGATTGTCAGAAATTTGCACACAACAGAATCACCAAACATCATTTTGTATTCATCGCGACCACATACACTACAACCAGAAAGTAAAAACCTGACACCCAACTTGACAGAGGATGGAGACCCAATCCTATCCACAAACAGCCCAAATCTCAGACTACAACCACACTCAAGCGCTCACCACACACAAGCTCGCTCCATTCATCAAACCCTAGGGCGAGAAAAAAGCGGAACAGGTGGTGGGAGACAGCGTCGAGGAAGAAGAGCCAGAAACAGACGAAATTTGCGGGGGAGAGGGGGAGGAACAGGGAAAAGGGGGTAGAACGAACCAGGGAGTTGGATGTAGGTGTGTAAGGGTAGGTAAGTGTGGATGGGTGACAAAAGCGAGTGGTGTCAAATAAAAAAAATGAAGACGAGAGGAGACCAGGAGAAGTCGAAATAAAGCAAGATAGAGTAGGAGATAGATAGAACATAGACAGCTTTTATTGGAACGAAAATGATGATGACCAGTCCGATGAGTGATGAGATGGATGCGAAAGACAATAACAATGATAGATATGTCGCGGAGACCGATGATGTGGGTCAGGCGCTTGATAAAGGGTGGTCTAGAAAGGTTTAACATATTAGTATACGCTGACCTCGTCCCACACCAGCGCATCCGAGAAGTCCATGCCAACATCGAAGGTAGTGCTCGAGTCGATAGCGACGTCCTGCGTACTCGGCAGCATCTCTAGCAGTCTTTCTATCCCCATCTCTACACCGACTTGTTCCGCCCAATTAGCTGTGTTAATCCCACTCGTAGCCAGCTCTAGGCCGAGTTTCTCTATGGAAGTGGGCTCATTCAGCACCTGCGTGCTGTTCGCGTCTTCTGCCGAAGGGCAAGTGCCTGGAAGAGCGCAAGTGCCAGTCGGCGGGGACGCGAGGATCTCCGCGAACAGGCGCGTGAGGGCAGCGTCTGAGGCTGCCTCGTCTTCAGGCTAATATAACACAAGATGAGTTTGATTTGTATGTTTAGGAGTGCTAGCTGACTAACCTCGATTGCAGCACTGCGGTACATCTGGTTGCTCTCGCCGGTCCCGTGACTAGACGTATGCTGCCCACCCGCTGCAGGGACACTGCCGCGTGAACGGTAGTGGTCGCCACCCGTGCTAGGTGGCGAGTGGGAGCATGTCCAATCGAGGAAAGATCGAGAGTTTCCTGTGGTGTGTCAACAGGTGCTGGTGAATCGGATGGCGTGAGATCTGAGAGAGAAAATGTGGGACTGAGTGGGAAGTCGAATGAGTCACCCAAAAACAGCATGGGGCTGTCCGTGAGCGTAGAATGCGTCGGTGCAGGAGAAAGTGGGTACGCAAGAGTAGCAAGGGAAGTCGATTTAGGTGATGAGGGGGCAGGAGATGCGGAGTCTGCTGTTGAAGGAGATTTTTCTGACGCAGGTGATGGTGCGCAAGTGGATGAGAGGATTGGAGTTGAGCCTGAAGTCTCGTGGAGAGCAGACGGGTTGGCGCCTTGGGTTGCCAGGGTCCGCAACACTGCCTCATAGCCCATCTCAAGCGTTCGAATACGTTCGCGTAGCTCGAGGTTTTCACGTTCCCGTTGTTCCTCGGCTCGTTTTCGTTTGCGCTCTTGCTCCTGCTCAATGGTGGCAACCTCGGGCTCCGAGGTAGAGCTGACCGAGGGTGAAGTAGGGATGATCATTGGAACACCAGCACGAAGACGTCTGTTCTCTTCCTCCAGTTCAGTGACTTTGCGCTCGAGATAGGAATATTGAGCTTTTCTGCGGTCGCGAGAGTTTTGTGCCGCTATGCGATTGCGGTGTGCACGAGCCTCTTTGCGCTCTTCCGGTGTTACGGCTGAGCGAGGGCGCTTACGTGGAGGTTCCTGCCTGGATACATCTGGAGAGTCTGCACGAGATGATGAGGGAGATGCAGGACGCTTGAGGGAGGAAGAGGACGGAAGAGAAAGATTGGATGGGTCGACGAAATTTGGAGAGTGCGAGGGCGACATGGTTACACGTATGCAGTCAACGTATTGGACTTGGCGAAAGTGCTAGCTAGTCCTTGGTCGTATATTGTTACGTTAAAAAGGATGCTACAGTCAAGTATACAGAAAACGCTAGGAAACTCGAGAGGACGACGTGGCCATGAAGAGAAAGAACACGCTACCCAGGACACGTAGACAAAACTATAACACAGCCACAAATACAAACAAATAAACTGCGCACGCCGCAGTTGATATTTGAATTTAATTTTGCGTAGCCAAAAATAAAAGCCAGCCTGTCAGGCAAATTCGCTAAGGCAGATCTACATGCAAAGATAAATAATACGCCGTATGTATATTGGGACATCTCGCAGCATCTCGCTTGCACAGCCCTCCCTAAAAAGTGCAATTCAGACCTTACTATACCCTATTACCCACAGAGGCCCGCAGATCCCTGGACCCTCTAACTCCGCCAGCGGAGGATAACTCGGTTCCATTCCTCCTAACTTGAAATAATTCAGTTCAAAACCCAACAAAATAAAGATTCTGAGACTCACCAATTTCGTCTCTCAGATCGTCATCGTGCGAGAGACTAACCGGTTCAATATGTACGTTTGGATGGTGGGATTGCCTTGCATTCATTTTCATCCAGAGTCTTATCAATTACACCGCAGTACTTGACAGTGACGTCGGGCGAGTCAATATTATCCTGCCACGTGAGAGTGTGCTTCATCCAATTGTCATCATCACGCTACAGACACAGGTTAAACAGATCCGGTGAAATTATATAAACACCGACCTCAGGATAGTCCTCACGAGCGTGAGCACCTCGGGACTCCTTACGAGCTGCAGCGGCTGTCATAGTTTGGACTGCACACTGTAGAAGGTTGCGCAGCTCAAGAGTCTCGACAAGATCACTAAGATAATGACGTGAGCAAGGATTCGGTACGTATAAACACAGGCCGTACGAGTTCCAAATCATGCTTCTATCCTTGATACCAACATTGTCAAACGATTTGTATATCTGATGGATTTTCTGAACACCGTCGTCGAGACTCTGATGTGTGCTACGTGGATCGTCAGTTTCGATTTCGGTCGCACGAAGATGGCAAAACACACCGGAAGAGAGCGGCATCAGATTGCATGGCTTTTTGCATCTCCAGCCTTATGTTGGCAGTAGCCTTTGGACCATTTGCATTTCTGATTTGGTCCAAGAACTCTACGGACTCAAGGCCAGCTTCCTCAGGAATAGCCTTATGATGCTTTCCGGGAGTTAAGTTCTCCGTGATATGTTGAGCACACGCGCGACCGAAGACGACGAGATCCAAGAGGGAGTTTGCACCAAGACGGTTCGCGCCGTGAACCGACACACACGCAGCTTCACCAACTGCATACAGATCAGGGACAATCTTGTCCTTGCCATTCTGACTACGATTTATGACCGGATGCGACGAGCACAGCTAGCGCAAGCTCACCTCATCAACGGTCAGCACCTCGCCAGTATATCGGGTGGGAATACCACCCACTGTCGGGAAGTCAGTTAAAGTCCAGACAGCACAGTAGAGACACTAACTGTTGTAATGGACAGTAGGTAGCACTGGGATAGGTTCCTTTGAGACATCGACTCCGGAGAAAATGGCAGCAGTCTCGGATATACCGGGCAACCTCTCGTGGATAATTTCAGGGGGCAAATGGCTGAGCTGAAGGTGTATGTGGTCCTTCTGAGGTCCAGCACCACGTCCTTCACGAATCTCTATCGTCATCGAACGAGATACAACATCACGGGAAGCAAGATCCTTGGCAGTGGGTGCATAACGCTCCATGAAACGCTCACCCTCGGAGTTCAAGAGGTAGCCTCCCTCGCCACGACACCCTAATGCATGTTCAGCCACGAGGCAGATACCTCGTAGAAAAGAAAACTACCCTCAGAAATAAGGCAGCCAGCGCCATAGATACCAGTTGGGTGGAACTGAACAAACTCCAGATCCTGCAAAGGAAGGCCAGCACGAGCAGCCATTGCATTACCATCGCCCGAACAAGTGTGTGCACTCGTGCAGCTGAAATACGCACGACCGTAACCCCCTGTGGCGAGGACCGTTTTGTGAGCCCTGAAGCGGTGAAGCGTACCGTCCTCCATGTTGAGTGCGATGACTCCAACACACTCGCCATCCTGCCTAATCAAATCAAGCGCAAAGTATTCAATGAAGAACTTTGTGTTGTGTCGGAGCGACTGGCCGTAAAGGGTGTGAAGGAGGGCGTGGCCGGTACGATCGGCAGCCGCAGCACAACGGTATGCTTGACCGTCTTTGCCATAATTCAAAGAATGACCACCAATGGCACGTTGGTATATCTTTCCATCCTTGGTACGGGAGAATGGAACACCATAACGTTCAAGCTAGAAACGAATATAGGCCGAACAAACAGATATGTGAGATCTAGCCCTACCTCAAAGACTGACCCGGGAGCTTCGCGGCACATATAATGAATAGCATCCTGGTCACCAAGCCAGTCAGAGCCTTAACCTGTAGAAAATCTGCTTAACTAAACAATTCGGGAGCATACCACATCAATGAACACGAACCGTATCATACATGTGCCACCGCCAGTCGTCTTCCGTCATGTTCTACAAGAAACTCATCAGTGAAAAGAGCATAAAGACCTCATGGTACACTTACACCGAGAGCAGCATTGATACCACCCTTGAAAACGTGATGAGTGTGTCAGATACTGCTGAACATCGTTGCAACGTACCTGCGCTGCGACAGTGTGACTCCGGGTTGGGAATAGCTTGGTGATGCAAGCCGTGTTGAAACCAGCTTCCGCAAGTCCGAATGCAGCGCGAAGACCCGCGCCACCAGCACCACTAAAGGAACGCACTGATGAGTTTGTCTATGTCTCATTAGTTCGGAACGCTACTCACACGACGATAGCATCGTATTCATGTTCAATGAGAGGATATTTGCCTGAAGACCAGGACTAGAAAGCCGTTAGGATCTCGGAAAAGACAAGCAGTTGAGAGTTATACTTTGACATGCTCTGCCTTCAAGTTAGTCGCAACGATTCTCTTAACGGGGAGTGAAGTGGAGAAACCGCGCTGGGGACGAAGCAGGGCCCTAGAGAGCACCACCTTGGATACTGACTTGCTAAACATCGATAGTGCTGTCGTCGACGGCGGCGAAGGTTAATAAATGAGCAACTTCCACGGAAAGGGAGGCCTTCTTTCAATTGAACTAGGTAATTTCATCAGACGAGGACGTTCACGGCACACCGATGCGATGATAAATCCCGTAACTAGCCTTAATATAATAGGCCCTATTAGTATACATGTCGCGATCAAGTCCAACCAATCACAACGGGAGTGTACGTAGCAAGAGAAGCCACCAACTTCCCGACTAGTTCAGACTGCGCATGCTTCTTAAAGCCCCTCATCTTGACCTCGCGAACAGGCATCCCCGCCGCCTCCCTGATCTGCAATAGTTGGATTAGCAACGACCACTCGAACTGGACGTCATCAAACAACAGTGTCCGCAAATTCGGGAATGCATCTCGTCTCCCCGCGCATGAGAGGAAGCCCATCAACTGGTTCATAATACATTTGGAGACCGAGAGTGTCGTTATGCCTGAGAATGCGTGTGCAAGGGCATGCCAACCGTCGTATGCCATAGACCTGCTGCACAACGTGAGAAGGCGTACAGAGGGGAAGGGCGGTGCTCCACGCTTCAGCTTGTCCACGAGGGACTGGATATCACGTGACGAGGGTCGCAGTGTGGAAATCCAATACCAGCTCACGTAGCGCGGGGGCACGTATTGTCCGGAAAACAGTAGGTAAATACGTCCTTGAAATATTTGGTCCAGGCTTTAGGACCATTGTCTGGAGCAAAGGTATTTCGACGACTGGGATATCCACGCTGCGAACATAATCCACGGGTTCACCGATTAATGTGAGATGAGTCAGTGATGTGAGATGGGAGAGTAGGTTGCTGAAATTCTCGGGGGAAAGACCGGAAACCCATAAGCCGTTTAAGGTGAGCACCCTAAGACGATCTGCAGATAGGAACAGATCTGAGGAGATGGATGAGACATTTCCTTGTTCGATAGACGTGAGTGAAGGCAGACCTTCAGTGAACAAGATATGTCTGCTATTTGGGATGTTAAGCGGATAGTGCACCATAAGTTCTTCAAGCATTGGTGCCTTTATGCGCTTGAACCCATCTAGAAGTTTGGGGAACGGGAAAGCCCCGTGAACTTCCAAACGGCGACAGACATGGATGTGCGAGAGAATAATGTGGGATATACGCAAGTAATCTGGGTCAAACTCAGGCAAGCTCTGACTGTGAAAATCGCAATGAATGCCAATGAATCGCATGTCAAGCAGCTGTCCTTGTGAGCGGGTCAAGTAAAGATTGACAAGATCTACATTCTGCCGGAGGAAAAGTCGGATCTCTGTCCAAAGCAGTGGCATCCCGAGCGCCACAGCTCTCCAACGCTGTGAAACACTCGTAAGCAAAAGCTCAGGCCTGGAGCGGAGGCGTAGTCTGGTGAGGGCGCATGAAGAAGAGTAGTCTCCATCTGCTTTAATGGTTGCTTTCACTGTCTCTACAAATATCATCTCGAGGAGCTCGTTCGGGATAGACGAGATATACGACACGCCATACGCCACTAGTGCCTGGTTGAGGCGCAGCGCCTGTGCGTCCATGAAGTGGCACAAAGGTCGCTTTGTCTTCCCCGGCAGTCTTGCAAGCTCTTGTGTCGTAGCGACGTATTCTGGCATTAAAATCCTAATTCATCAATTCAATTCATCAGACATGCACATACACAAAGTAGGTCACTCACATTGTCTGCCTCCTGGTGGTCTTGGTAGAAGCTCACACAATGTGGTCTGACAGTGGTTCTCAGCATTGAGAAACTAGACGTTTTTATAGTTGATAACATCAAACCACATGCAGGCACCGGATAGTATGTCACCCAATCGCCAAATGACACCGGACTTGATGAGGCATATCTCCAGGGTTTGCTTACCCGACTAGGAGGAGCGGAGACGAAGAAGCGGCAAAACGAGCTCAGAACTTGTTATCTGCAACACGAAGGTTCTACTATTACGTGAGCTTTCCCCAGCTCATGAGCCGAGCGCTCTCAAATGAGACTCCACGAGTGACAACAAACGGAATATTCCGTAGACCATTACTCACTCGGAACAGGCGCTTCGATGACCCTGCTTCACCGCCCTCTATTCATACGGCATCATGATCTCACACGGTCAACGCCCATGCCGTCTCCTGATTCAATAACACTGCAGATACCCGATGATTGAATACCCACATAGTCATTCGCATTGGACTCTGTTATATTCTTCATAGTCTTATACTGGTGGCGGTAAGAGTATGATTTTCTTGATACCTCACCACGTTGGCACTGGTAACGGCACCGCCATTCTTCAATATATGATTGGTCAAGCTCAGTATGTAATCCTCTTGAAGTGTGGTCTCTATCACAGACTCAAAGATGGCATCTCACTGAGAGTATTTCCTTCAAGGTCGGATCAAAGCTGTTGATAATTTGCGTCGAACTTCTTATCCGCAGTCACTTCAAGGTGGTCAGACTTGACGTTCTTCGAAGGTCGAACAACAGAGACACATTTGAGGGCGCCGTTTGTTGCCTAAATCGAGTGCGCGCAGCCTACGACATGAAACATAATTAGCAGCGGAGCGTGGACCGGTCTCCCAAACTCGGAGTCACAATAGCCATTTGGAGCGCGCTGCCATATCGGCGAACCACTGCAGCAGATCGAGAGCGCCGTGTCAGTGGCAGGCTTGCCAAACGGTTGACTTCCCGACTTCACCGTAGAAGTGTCACGCAAACATTAATGAGCCACGCCACATATTTTGACCATCGATAAATCAAGCTAGAGAGAACAGCCATCTTCCCTCATTAATGATGTGTTTGTGGCAGTCCACTGAGCGACTGTGACAGTGTTCAGGTCATCCTTGTGACCTCAACAACTATTGCCAACATATACACCATGTGTACTGGAAGAAACTCCTTGGAACTGCTACGTAACATTTATAATTTGACTGAAAACCCTTTACGAATCTCGATAGGTTGTGGGCAGGCGCCCTACATGGGGTTATATCCTCATGTTGGATCTCAAGCCTTACACAGTTCTGCGAGGATTGCGGCTTACTGCAGTAAGACAAATTCACTTGTTCATGGGAAAGGAAGCAACACCCTTTTGATCCCTTCAACGACTCGGAGGGAATATATCTACTTGTCAATGTCACGGCTCGCTAACGAGTTAAGTTTGCGACTCGCTCTCAACCCCGGTATCTCAAATATTGTCTCCAGGATGCCGATGATGGCGTGATGTCGTGAGGTTCAAGATGATCATTGCAAATGTACGCTCAGTCCACAACTGTTCATTCATCGAGTTCTGGCTGCTTCTATACAGACGTGCTTTTACCACCTGTCGTAAGTCACGCACTGATCTAGTCATCTTGTCAGCTGCTCGAACTTCACAATGTTCTCAGGGATTCTCTTCCTGGGGAGGCATCATCAAAGAAGAAGATAAAACTTGCGTGAATTTCTCCCGGAATGGGGTTTCTGTTATGATATTGGCGCAGTCACAGTTGTTCACTTTCCAAGAGGTCAGAGTGGATGGTATGGTCCGGTACTGCTCACTGCGGCATCTTCTGAGAAGTCGGCACTCGACCTACTTTCACATATGCCCCATCCCACTACACGGATTCCCCATGTTATGGGCGTTCCGCTCGCTACCATTTTCTGCAACAAACGTCGAGACACCTCGTTACCCGTGTGGATCGCGATCTGCCCTATGATCTCCTCGCGTAGATTTAATGTTTCCGGTCAGGAACGGTGAATGCCCCTGCAGCTTCCACAGGAACGTACCTATTCCAGGATTTTTTTTAACAATGTAACACCATAATGCGCCTGTTAATAAATGGAAACTCCTTGATGACATTTGACTAACATACATCTGGTCGAGACAGCACTGTTCCCGTAAAAATCCAGAGTACCTCTTCCGATGTGGGGCGTGTTGATGACCTGCAGTTGTCTGATGCCGACGTGTAGGTGATTGTACCCGCAATCGGGTTGGCTATCAAAGTGCAAGGTTGGAGGATGTATGTTTTTTTTTGAATCCAATCCCCCACTGGGGTCATGTCTCCCACTGCCTGGAAGAAGTCGCTAGAATAGTCGCGGGGCACTGGAAGCATGGTCTGAGGATGTGCCACTGCCTATTATCAATGAAGCATTTGATGGCAATATTACAAAAGAATATAAGCCCTGTGTAGTGCGCAGTGCGCACAACATGACCGATCCGTCAAGAACAGCTTTGCGTTCAAATTGGCGACTGCACTAGAGTGTGAGAGGCGAGACATGAGACGATGGAGTGAGAAGAGGTCAAGTGATCGGGTCAAAGTCGCGTAAGAAGACCTTAGCGGAGACTAGCGGAGACTATAGCTATACACTTCCTTTGGTAGTGACGAAATATTGCGCGCGCTTTACGGCCACCCATCATGTCCTTGTCCCCATCTGCGGCAACATCAAACGTCTCAGATATCCCATCTAAACGGCGCAGGACACACAGTCTTATCGCACAAAGCAGTAACAACAATCATCAAGACATGAGCCAATCTCCTGCGGACACAGCCCATTCGTCACAAACCCCGCAAGCTGCCGCACACATACCCAAGAGAGGCGCAAGGGCTTGTACTGCTTGCAGGAAGGGTAAAAACAGATGTGAAGGAGAGGTACGTCTATTCAAGACTCGCTTGTGATCATCGCCCCTTCTGCTCACTGGCCCGCCTCTCCCGCCCCGGCCCGGCGTCATATTTTTTAGGCTCCTTGTCGTCGATGTCAGTTGAGTGGAACTGCTTGTGTTTTCGAAAAACCAGAGAAGAAAAATGCAAATGTTATGCCTGGCGCAAGTGTTGAGTAAGCTTCAGGTGGCATCGGGCATACTTTCGCCATCATCACTTACACTGTTCAATAGACGCTTATCTCGCCTCGAGGGTCAATATCTGGTAAATATCCAACGTTTATCATACTTTGAGGTTATCTGATCGCATTGTAGGTTATGCAGAGTCAGATGATTGGCATGCAATCCTCTTTGGACCGCATCTTGTCCACCGTTCAGAGCCAGGCCTACGGTACTCAGCACCAAGGGTACTCTGGAGGCATGGCTTCCGGGTCCAGTCGCGATGGTTCTGGATTTATGTCGCGGAACGGGTATGATGCGCACGGACATGTGGGAGGGCAAAGCTCCCAGCCACGCTCCCAAACGAGATCATTCCCGCCGCTTCCGGGATTCGCTCCGCCGGTTGGTCCGCTTGCGAGATCAATCTATAAACATGTCTGATAAGCTTTTAGCCTCACAAATACGCAACCTATGGGATTGTACCCAGCACTACACCATCGTCAGATGACGAGTCTGAAGAAACGCTGCCTCGTGCCTCGCTCAACGCGCCCATTGAAGCTCTCCAAGGTTTGGCAAATGCTGCCGCAGAAGCAGCCGCTGCGCCATCCGCATCCCCACCAAGGTCGTTGTTTCATATCTGTGGGTTGCACGATTATGCTGATCACTTGGAAAAAAGGGTCAAAAAGCGCCCGCGGGTAGAGCCCATTCCCCGGAATGCATTCCCGCATGTCATTGAAAAGGTGAGCTGACGAAATTCTGGACTTCTGCATAAGTCATAATACTATGGTCCAGGGCCTTGTCTCGGAAAATGAGGCGCGGGAACTCTATCATATGTAGGCGTTTCACGGATGTGGTCTTTTGCTCCATTCTGATTGTTGTCAAAGTTTCTTCGCTGGGTGTCACGTCTTCATACCTTTGTTCGATCCGAATTATGACACATTTGAGAGCCTGATGGAACGCACTCCGTGGACATTCGACGCGATACTCGCCATTGCAAGCAAAATCAGGAGTGGCAATGGGCCACTCAGCCCAACGTTCTACAAGTGTCTCGAAGAAGCGCAGGGCATTTCCCGTTCGTCATTATTTGGCCCGATAGTGAGGAAGGAAGCTGTTATGGGTTAGAATTTCGTCTTGTATGTTTTGCTGCACCACGTCTGATCAGTTTTATAGGTATGCTACTTTTAGCCGCATGGAGTACAAACGGATGGCTCCCTAGTGGCCACGCAATGCGGATGGCGTTAGATCTTGGTCTTCACCGAGCACTGGAAAAGCTCGCTGATGATTCAGGCAAAAAACGCACGGAAGAAGAGGAACGTGATCTGGGTACGCATAAGAGTAACTGTCCACTTGTCGTCCAGAACTGATTGCCATCCCAGTCGTGTCGGCGCGTATCTGGCTATGCCTGTACTGGTTTGATCACCAGTACGTCGAAGAATTTTGACATCTTCAATTGCGTCTCAACAGTCTTTTTCAGGATGAGTCTTGGCACCGGTCGTCCTATTGTACTGCGAGACGAGAGCTCCATTCGACATTGTCGTATTCTTTTGTCGCATCCAATGGTATCACCAACGGATGTAAGGCTGATCTCGCAAGTGGAGCTTATCGCTCAAAAAAGTAAGGAAGAATTCATGAGGAAATATTAATACCTTATTCGTTATTTGCAGCCCAGATCTACGAAACTCTCGCGCCCCTCAATGGACAGGTTAATCATAATACGCTCGCGTTCATCCGGCGTGCAAATGTTGCACTCGACAAGTGGTGGCAAGACTGCGACAACCTTCATCGTTCGTAGTTGACTTTGTCCTCTCTACCTTCCTGATCGCCTGTCCAGGCCAAACGATGGATGAGAATTCTCTTCCGAGAAAAATACTCGTCGGAGAATTACATTATGCTAAACTCTGGCTCGTCTGCGTAGCTCTTCGAGGTGTATCGTGGGATAAGATGCCTTTGAGCAACGCGAACTTGCGTTCCAGGCGAAGGATGCGGCTTTTAACTGCCTTTCCATCTTCCTCAACTCTGCCGAGTATCGGTGTGTTTCTGTTTTGATCGTGTCCCGTTGCTTGGCTTAAATAACAATCACGATGATCACAGAGCGGCCTTGAGATATGCAGTCCATGACAGTCTCGTAACGGCGGCATTTTCTGGCCTCTTCCTGCTCAAGATGGCAAACTTGTTTCCTGCAGAGCTTGACCTTACCGCGATCACAGCGCAAGTCGAGCAGCTCGCACAGCTCCTCTCTGATGTTGCAGCCGAACGGTGCGTCCCCCTGCTCTTTCTCATTTTTCCAACTTATCCTCGCTTCTAGCTATGCCCTAACGCTACGTATAATGCTTGCCAATCTCCGGCGCAAAGTTGGGATGATTACGGGGCTGAACACGCCTATGACCACCATGCCCCCACCGAACTTGAACGATGGAATTGTTGCACACGGCTCAGGGTCTTACGTTGATCCATCGGGACCTGCACCTTTCACAATGGAGGAACTGGGTCTCGCATGGCCGAACGAGCGTGCCACGTTCAGCCCTAGCGCGATACCTATGTGGTTGCAGGAGAAGAACCTGACGGACCTGGGGCTACCTGTGAACGGGAGTGATGGAATCTTCATGGATGTAAATGGTATGCATGGCTGGAGTGGAGACTTTGCACCGATGCCAGGGGCATGGTGAGGACGCGATTGTACATATGGCAGCGACGATTTCGCGCGCTGATGGCTGGTAATATGCACCATTTTTGTCTGATATTTTGTCTCTGTTGGTCTTCCTACTTGCTTTGCTCGTTTGTGTCCCGCTTTTACCTGTTCATGCTTTTTTCTTGCATTAGTATCGATAATGGTATCCTACGATTTAAGTTGTATCACATGCTGAACAAACATACATTGCAAATGCGAATTATCCTACGGCGCACATACAGGGAGAGAAGATGAACAGTAACATGGCAATACACATCTAATTGGAGAGCATATTGGCTCATACGTTATTCTTCGTCTTCGTCTTCTTCGCTTTCTTCCTGCTCCTGAAGGAACTGTCAAAGAACCAGTTTGGTGTGTGATAAGAAAGAAGGGGAAATCTGTTGACAAACCTTGACCAGGCCCTCGGTGGCCTTCAGGAAGTGCTGTCTTCCTTGCGGCTTAGATCCCTTTTGGTGCCAGTAGATGATCGCCTGGTCAGAGACACAGTCCCTATTGTACAAAACCTATGCGAATTGGTAAGTTATAAATATATTACTGCATTACCATGTTCATATCTAAACAGACTTGGAAAAGGGATGGGATACAAGCGATAGGACATGGTGCCTGCTGCCAAATAGGTCGACATTGCAGCCGCAACGTCACATCCCAAAGGACCGGTGACCGATGAACGAAAGTGGTAAGACTCGAAACGCACCTTCAAGATCTGTGGGAAGGCTTTCATGACACGTGTGTCATCATAACAGTAGACCTGTACGATATTGATCAAAGCGACCTGGGTTTTGGGGCCTTTACAGAAGGCCACGAGAACTGGGGCAAATTTCTACAGATGGAAATGATATCAACGGAAGGTTCAATGATAGGAGGACCGGATCACTCACCCCGACCTCACGTAGTGCGAGGCCTTCGATCTGGTCAGGGCGTGCACTCCAGTCTACGGAAGCCATGAGGCCCTGCCAGATGCTCTGTATGAGCTCCGCCTCAGGGAGCCGCTGCTCCTCTAGTTTACTCTGGATTGCGGATATGATCTGTGTGGATCATGAGTTCTATGACTCAAAACGGGTGATACATATGTAAAGATGACGCACTGATTCACTATCATCGCTGCGTTCTACCACCTCCTTTAGTTCCCTCATGATTGCGTCTTTTGCAATCGCATATTGCTTCTTCGTGTACCAGTCGGCCACAGTAGGAAGGTTTTTTTCCCGGAAGAAAAGCATCGAGAACCTTAGCATCTCTCTTGTTTGGAGGGAAAAAGAGAAGTAGATCTTTGATATTGCCGCGTTTGAGGGTCGCAGCAAGGTGATCGATCGACTGGTCGGCGAGGTATGCGCTAAAGATCGATGCAAGGATGTTGATGGACAAGTCTGCAGCCGATGAGATTCTTGCAGTTCAGCATGTTATTGGGCTTACCGTTCTTGATGAGGTGATCCTTGGTTAGACTCTGCAGACAAGCTGCGGTCGCGAGACCCTGCGAAAAGAGGAGACCAATTGTCATGGCGAGCTTGTCGCGCTGCTCGGATGACCATCGGCCGATGTATTGCAGGAGAGTGGGGAGACTTTGCTCCTCGAATGGTTTCTGAAGATATTTAAACCTATATTCACAATTAACACCGCATACACAATATATCACGCGAGACCACAACCGCATGCACCTTCGATTCAATTTGTTAAACACATCGACATATTTCTTCAACTCTTCGATGTCGGGCGGGTTGCGTGCGTTGAAAATAGAGAATGGGGACATGGGCGCGCCATCATCAAGATAAGATCCACCTGGCTGGATGAGCCCGCCGACCAGGAGGATCTCAAACAAGGCGTCGGCATATTTGAGATACTCGAGTGTCCCACCAGCCTGTACAAGTTTAGCGCTGAATCCTTCAAAATCGTTCTCTGGAACTGTTTCAAGATGTTTGTAGAGTTGGTCTCTAAAGACTAGAGGTCGACATAAGTAGCATAATAAATTGATCGGAACTGAGTAGTCTCACCCGCTGGCTCGTGCTTTGCCTGTGCTTTGACTTGGCCTTTGCGTACTTTTGTGCGGACCCCCTGGAGTGAAGGCTTTGGAACTGCTGATTGCTGAGACATCCACAGTCTGCGAGCGATGTCTAGAGCGTGGATCAAACGATGAAATTGGGCTCAGCGGCAGTTTACCAGGATCCAACAAAGTGTTGGTTCGGAGATACCCGACTGATTAACATCGATGAGCATGCTCGCCAATATCATAGTCGATTTCTTAAGCTACAAACACTCTTATAGTGTGCACGTAAGAAGCACGATATCGATGTCCAAGTGACACAGATTATTTTGATTGCGCCCTTCAAGCAGTTGAGTCACTGGGTGCCAACCGAGTCGCCAGCATAAATCATCGTCTACTAATAGCTAGGCCTGAGGGAGACTCTGAGTAGGTGCGGTGTCACACGTGTCTTAAGTTAGTTCTCCGAGGGGAGCAACTTTGTTCCCTAGTGAACTCAGGTTCTTCAGTATGACTCTGAGGCGCACCCATCGCAGTCGCCGGCAGCAGTCAGCATCAAATTCGATTGAAGTTGAATCTTGCGGGTCCACGGGTTCCGCGCAATATTATAGTCATGGTAATAATCTGGGGTAGCATGCTCATGGTCAATGATCTATTCAATGATCTGCCCGTCTGAGCTGCGAACTTCGGTTCACGAGTGTGGACTTCGCCATTGACTCATGATTAATCATTGTGGATTTTGAAACTCACGTGAGGAGGTGGATCATCGTGGCTCCAGCGCTCATTGTTGTCCCTTAAAACCAGCCAACAGCTGTACTAGTTCTCCTCAGCGTAAAAAATTCGAGCTCGAAGACGGTGAGTGACAATATTCGTTGTCATCGTTAATATTTATCATTTATGAACGTGTCCATGCCGTAAAGGAGCTGTGACATCGCTTGCTGGTCGCCTTAACGTATGTAATCATTCCACTTTGTTGACCCTACTGAGTACCTATCCTTGATAAGATCTTTCAACTAACGCGCAACACGAACTCCATGAACCTCCGTTTCACAGACTCCCCAAATGCGCGCTCAAAATCAATTACAACTGCCGATGGCATCGACACCTTTGGTGTGCGTACTATCCATGCAATGACATTAGTGAATGCATCGGGGAGACTCATTGTACACCTAGATCTTGAATCAGCACTCCACAGGAAATGGTGCCTACCAGGTTGGCATATCTGAGGACGTGGGCACACGACGATATATGGAAGATGCCCATTCCTTCGTCGTTGACTATGCTGGTGTGCGAGGGCAGGGATTCTTCGCTATTTTCGACGGTCACGCAGGAAAACACGCAGCTGAGTGGTGTGGCGCGCATTTTCACGAGGTTCGTATAACCACTACGTCTTTGTGCTAATTTAAACGCGTGATCATGTGCAGTACCTCCTCGATGCCATCCGCACTTCCTCCAGTGCCACTATTCCGGACGTTCTAAATGAGACATTCCACAACGTCGACAAACGCATTTCTCGCCTCAGCGAAGAGTCCGATGGCAAGATCCACTCAGGATGCACAGTTGTAACCGCTTTCCTTCGCATCGAGGATGCAGATGGGCGGCAATCTTTCCTCCCCGTGTCTCCACTTTCCCCGCCATCCCCTACTGACAGCGGGAGCCGCAGTGGCAGCGAGTCTCCGACTGAACCCACGGATGAATCCAAGGAGACAGGCAAGAAGGCAAAGAGCAAGTCCCCTGCTTCGGCTTCCCGTTTCGCTCGGGCGCTCAAATCCCTGAGTGGCTCCTCGCCAAGTTTACCTTCTCCCCCTTCTACATTCGCCGCTACACGTAGCCAGACATCTCCACCTTCGATGCAAACATACACGGTTCCAATCGATGCGCCACTCAACTCGCGGCGCGTGCTTTATACCGCCAACGCTGGTGACGCGCGCGGGGTACTTTGCCGCGCAGGCCGGGCAGTGCGCCTCACCTACGACCACAAGGGAAGCGATAAGCAGGAGGCGAAACGTATCACTGATGCTGGTGGATTCGTTATGAGTGGGCGTGTGAACGGCGTTTTGGCGGTAACGCGCAGTCTTGGAGACAGCAGTATGAAGGAGTATGTCGTTGGGAGCCCGTACACGACTGAAACTGAGCTAGGAAGCGAGGACGAATTCCTGATCCTCGCATGTGATGGGGTAAGTAGCCTCGTTAGGTGCCTTTGCTTCGAAGTATTCATTGTCGTGTGACCCTGCAGCTTTGGGATATCACGGGCGATCAGGGGGCGATCGACCTCGTGCGGCATATTTCGGATGCACAAGCAGCCGCAGAAACGCTCGTGAAGCATGCCCTTGAACGACAAACCAATGACAATGTAACCGTCCTCGTGGTGAGGTTTAAAGCGCTCGGATCCACAGAGTCCATGGGACTCGCTTAAGTATGTGGATGTTGTCTTACTGTTCTGCTTAGGAGGGGGGCAAATGAGGGTTTTATTTTTGCCATGGCCGACGTCTTGCTGTTGTTTTAGTTGGTTCTTGTAATCGCTTCATTTTGCGCACGAGCATTCCGTTTACCTTGACTGCACCCGTACTCTACTAATATCCGTTCAATGTAGATTTGATGTGTATCAGAGCTTATCAATATCCGTGAATTGCCACGGCCCACACAACACAACGAGATGTAAAATCACCTGGGCATATGGGGTCTGCGCCGTGAAGCATTGAAGTGCGTATCAAGACAACAAGAGAAGGAGAACATAATGTAAACGGGTTAGCCCCTTATACAGCCAAACGGTAGCTTAAGCACAGTCACACACAATGCTAGTGTACATAAGTACTGTGTAAATTCGTGTATGGTCAAAAATTGATGATTCTTCAAGCATAGCCTATAAACAGTCAGACCATGTTTCGATGCTCCGCTCCTTTGCAACGCTGAAGCCACGGAGCATCATATTGACTGTCGCCCATTTCCCCATGTCTGCCTTCCTATTGGCCGTTGTATTCATTGGGGGTCTTTCCCAACAAGAAAGATCGACCTCCTTCAAGTAGGGGAAGAGACCGCTGATGATGAGAGCCACGTTCACCGGGCCACTGATGCGTGAATTTCCCAGAGTGAGAAATTCGAGACGCTTATTGCAGCGTCCGCCGCCGGGGCACTTGAGATCTATACCGTCCGACTTGGTGGTATCTATGACAAGAGCGAGCTTGGTCAAAGCGGGACAGCACCAAAGCAAATTAATTAGCCCATGGAATGTTGGTACTTTGGTGGTGCCATCGGTGACGATAAAGCTGCTGATTTTGAGGGCTTTGAGCTTAGGCCAGGCTCTCGCCAACTGGCACAGTGTCTCATCAGATATCGAAATGTTGCCGGCCCCTTCTATAAGCAGGTGGGTTAGATTGGGAAATGCGCGCAATGACGTGAAGTCGCCCCATTTTGTGCGTAGACCCTTCGAATATCCTATTCTGAGAGAGAAGCATTCAAGTTTGTCGTGATCGCATCTCTCCTTGAGTATGGTGAGGAATTGGGATATTGTCGCGATTTCATTTTCCGAGAAGAATTCCGATAACCAATCCGTCTCACGGTGGGACGTGATGCCGACCTTGATTTTTTTGCATTTGACGATTTGAAGGGACCTGAAGACATTTGAGGCATGCTCAATTGTCTCTGTGGAAAGGCTGAACCATGTCAAATCATCGAAGCCTGGGAACTGAAAACGCGGTTTTTCATTCCAAGCTGATGATGTCCTTAAATCCAAGCTCAGTGACTGCATGGCTCGTATCTTCATGACGTGCTCCGTGATTTCCCTTCCTGCATCCCATATCGACAACGTATGAAGATGATGGAGCTGAGAAATAGGCCGTGCGATGAAGGGTGAAATTTGATGCAACAACTTGAAGTTATCGCTTTGACGTTGACTCGGAATGGACATAGTTACGTTTTGGAGATAAGGACACAATGTCCCGAGAGATGAAAGGACTGAGAGAAAGGTGGAGTCGGAGGTTGGAGAGATTTCCACGTGTAAGACCAACATAGACGGTACTAGAGCCATGCGCAAAAAACGGTGCGAAGATGTGTGTTCCATCAGCATGCCACGTCAATTTATGAAGGTTTGGGAACCAAGACGCAGTTGTCGAAGGACTAGACAGTATTAGCATACTGAGGGGCTCGGTAACCGTCGAAGGGATGCTTTTTTGTGTTACAGTGATCGAGTGCACGCGGGACGAGTATTCAAAAAGAGTGTCCCACAGCTTACTGTCAATAGGTTTCTGTAATACCTGCGTAAATGAACTCAGTCCGAGTGGCCCATGACTACATTGAACTGGGAGACTCACCACACGACCCTGGTCGATGCTAAACAAGTCACTTGGTAAACATTTGACAAGTGGCTCCACAGACTGCAGGTCCCTCCACAGGGCATTAAGTGCTAGGTGCTTAAATGCGCGACATGTGGATGCAAGTGCAGGAAGCGATCCGTGTTGAGTGTACGAGCTAATGGTGCATATTACTTCGAGGTTTGTCAATGCCGGGTGCATGACCAACGGGGGTGATGGGTTCAAGTTGGATTGTTCTGTCATACTCAAGAGACTATCAGAAAAGTCTGGCGCAGATTGGGCGCATGTGGTCATGACTGTCGAAAGAAGGAAACAATTGGTCACCTGGTCCTGCATATGCTAGGCCTGGCCCGCACTATGAACTTTTCAAGTTCACCCATTGAAAACAAGAAAAAGAGAACTTAAAATTAATATGCGAGCCACGAAACATATGACGGGCTAAGCCGCATATACTATAAATACTGTAAGTTTCAAGGGAAGTTATGTAGACGGTCATGCTTCAATGCCCCGCTCCCTCACAACGCTGAAACCACTAAGAAAGCTGTTCACTAACACCCATTGCTCCATCATTGGCTCTTTCTGATATGACGAAGACATCAGTCTCATCATATCCCACCAAGCAAGATTGACCTGGCCAAGGAGGGGGAAGAGGCCGCTGAGGATGAGAGCTACATTTAGCGGGGACTTGATGGGAGAATTTCCGAGGGCAAGGAATTTGAGGTGCTTGTTGCAAAGACTACCACCGGGGCGTTTGAGGTCTATACCGTCCAACTTGGTGGTATCGAGGACAAGAGAGAGCGAGGTCAGAGCAGGACAGAGCCGAAGCAGCTTTATAAGTCCGTGGAAGGTGGGTACTGTGGTGGCATTGAATGCGACATAGCTGCTGAATTTGAGGACTTGGAGCTTAGGCCAGGCTTTCACCAGCTGGCACAAATCCTCGTCAGACATGGGAATGTTGCAGACCTCATCAATAAGCAGGTGAGTTAAATTTGGAAATGCATGCAATGGCGTGAAGATGCCCGATTCTGCGCGGACGCTCCCCGAACATCCGACGAGAGACAAGTATTGAAGTTCGACGATGTCGCATCTCTCCCGGAGGATGGTGAAGAACTGGAATAACATCGTGGATGCACTTGCGGAGGATTTTGCAACCTGGGACGTAAAGCTGACCCTGACTTGGCTGCTTCCGACGACTTGAAGGGAACTGAAAAAGTTCGAGGCGTGCTCAATTGTACGTGTAGAAAGGCCCAGCCATTTCAAACTATGGAAACCGGGTAATTGCCAACACAGGTTTTTGTCCCATGCCAACGACGCCCTCAAGTTCAAGTCCAGTGACTGCAGGGCTCGTAGCTTCATAAGGTGCTTGATGCCTTGACTTCCCAGATCCCATACCGACAATGTGTGAAGATGGTGGAGCTGAGCAATAGGTTGTGTGATGAAGGGTGAAATTTGATGTGACAAGTCGTTGGTTTCACATCGAATGCGCATAGTCATGTTCTGGAGGTGAGGACACAAGGTCCCGAGAGACGAAAGGACCGAGAGAAAGGCGGGGGAAGCTGAAAAAATCTCTACATGTAAGACCAACATGGACGGTACGAGAGCCATGCGCAAAAACTGTGCAAATGTGTGTGTCCCTTCTGCATGCCATGTTAATTTGGAAAGGTTTGGAAACAAATACGCCGATGTCGAAGGACAAGACAACATTAACACACTGAGGGGCTCGACAACTGTCGAGCAACGTTTCTGCGTTACGGTGATCGAGTGCACGCGGGACGAGTATTTGAAAAGGGTATCCCACATCTTGCCATCAACAGGTTTCTGTAGCACCTGTGCAAGTAAATTCAGTCTGGCCTGCGATAATCATATTAGAACTACGGTACCCACCACACATCCCTGATCAATGCTAAACAGGTCACTTGGTAAACATTTGACAAGTGGTTCCACAGACTGCAGATCTCTCCAAAGGGCATTAAGCGCTGGGTGCTCAAACTCGCGACATGTGGACGCAAGTGCAGGAAGCGATCTGCGTTCAGTGAATGAGCTAATGGTGTGTATTATTTCGAGGTTTGTCAACGCCAAGTGCATGACTAACGGAAGGTAACGATGGATTCAAGCTTTGGATTGTCCCAAGAACTGACAAAAATGGTTGAAAAAAGGTTCGGAGTGACTGTCGAAAGGACAAAGCGTTTTAGTGAACGGTTACCAGCAGCGCTTAGGCCCTGACCGTTTTCAGAAGTTAGAACAGTACTTGCAATTTGCATGTTTGACATGTTGATGGATTCGATTAGCGGCGAGCCGGGCCAGGAGGTGAAATTGACGTGGATGTACATGTTACATATCTACTTTTGTACTCATATTCCAACCGCCAAGACGAACCAGGGATCCCTTCCAATGTTAGCTCATTTTGTTTTCTCTGATTTTATGTAAACGAACCGAACTGAAAATCGATCGTTGACAAGTCGACAAAGTCTAGTCGCAGGCAGGCATACCCCTCGATCACAATGCCTAGCTCACTTTTCCCAGATCAGATTCGCCCCAACCCGATCCAGTACTTACCTACTGTACACCTCAATCAACGTTTCAACTCTTGACGTCGACGCCCAAGACTCGGAACTCCAATTTGCGCATGAGGATGTTGGAGGAAGAAGTCAGGATGTTGAAGGAAAAGGTACGTTGCGTCGCATCATTTATTTCTCTGTATCTTAGTTTTTCGTATGGATATATGCTGACGCGTTGAATATTTTCTATTACAGCTCTCCCGTCGCTACCATTCGCCGCCTCCACAAACGCAAGTTTCGAGTGCGTACGGTGGGAATGCGAAGAGGTGCCAGGGCGACTCAAGACCTGATATTTCGCGAGTGCCCCCATACCTATCAAACCAAAAACTCAATACTACAATAGGGTGAAATAAAGGTCACAGCTCCACAAAGCTGTTCTTTGATCTTCAGCTGTCATCCACATAAAGGATGGCCTAGTAGTGGCGAGCAAAATCATCCTTCCACAGATTCCACAGGTGTTTCGCCCTGACTCCCTTTGTAACAATGCACTGGTCTCTAGATGTGGATGGCCGGTGTCTCACCTAAGACCCGCTATGAGAAACTACAATGGCAAGGTGTTTGTTGTGGACCTGTGGTTTGTTGAAGCGTTGTAATTTAAATAGGGTCGCGACGGTTGGCCGAACGCTAGTCTTCCTACTTCCAATCTTCATCTCCAACATCTCAACTTCCTTCGCGTTAATATGCAAACATTCAACTCAAACGCCGATTCATCAGCAGTCCCAGGTACCCTGCAGAACATTGTAAGTGCTCGGTTTGGGAGATATTGGCTTCTGAATATAGTAATAAACATCCACTTTAGCAGTTGGATGTAGTCAAGCAAGGTCTCGGGCCAAAACGGCGTCAGCTATCGTCGCCGGCAACTCGTCGAAGAGAAGGTCAAGATTGTGCTGTCCAAAAATTCGGCTATCTGGCGCCTCCCCACGGAAATCCTCGCCCAAATCTTCCTTTATTGCATACCAGAAGACGGAAACTGCACGCCCGCACCATATCTGGCCCCCGTTCTGTTGACCACAGTATGTCGACGATGGAGGGAGGTTGCTCTGGACATGCCAAGTCTATGGTGCAGACTCCGATTGGAAGTCGGGAACGGTGACTGGCAACAGAGAGCTTTCTGCTACGATTCCTACCTCAAGCGATCACGAGGACGTCAACTCTCATTGACGCTCGAGGGTCATGATACCGACTGGACAGAGCTGCGAAGCCTGCTCCAGCCATACATTGATCAAATATCGTCTCTGTCTGTTGGCTTTTTCTCCAATTGCGGTTCTTTGGCGCTGACGGACTTCCGCGGACTCGAGGAGCTGGTTATATACAATGACGCCGATTACAATCTTGTACTAGCCGTCGTTCGCTCTATCGCGCAATTGCCGCTTAATACGCGCAGTCTCAAGTTAATGGACCTGTGGCCTGACTTCGAGTTGTTATCTGACTTCAATCCTCTCGCATGGCCCAGTCTCACAAATCTTGAGATCGCGGTAGACGAACTAGATTGCATCCCCTATTTGCTCCGTCTATGCCCCAACCTCTTGTCCTTGACGGTGGTTGGACTATTTGCGGTCGAGGCCGAGGAACTATTCAGGCACGACAAACTTCAATCCTTGCGCGTATCCGGGGATTTGTATTTGGACTGGGTCGGAACTCTTGGACTATTCGATGCTATCATACTCCCCAGTCTACGCGCGCTCGAAGTTCGCAATTCGGGACAATGGCCTCATGAAGACCTCAAGACGTTTTTGACACGGTCACGGTGTCCCCTGGAGAGCTTGATCTTCGGCAATGGAAGTACTGATAACAGAACAGCAGGAAGCAGAATATGCTACCCTTCTTCCTTCTCTCGAATTAGTAGTAGACCCTATGCGTTCAGGGTTTTACTTTTAACTTGGACAGACAGTTGTTACTATGTACATATTTCACGAAATTACAGGCATATCTGCAGACGTCGAGGGCATACAGCCCTCCTTTCTCCAAAACCGACTGTCATATAATAATAAGAGGTTTTTTCCCTCTCAATTCACACATGTCTTCTCTCACGGTGCTTTGGCCCGGGACACAATGAGCTGTCGTGCTTGACATACCCTTACCTGTTAATCAGTTATTAGTTGGTCAACGGTGGCATGATGTTCATGGTTATGTCCACGAAATTTTTTCCTTCGCTCTGTTTCACCAGAAGATTTCCGGCCATTGACTTAGCTCCCGCAAGATTGTGCCATTTTAATCAGCATGCAGTTCACGGACGTTTCCAACTCGCGACCTTCGAAGTATAAAGAATGAAATCCATCCAACTTCACGTCGGACTGTCGAAAGTAATCCAACGTCCGAGCACGATATTCACAAGTTGTGAGAGACTGAACAATAGAGAACGAGAAGCATAAGGCTGTCGTGCCAGGGAGCTGATCGATATCTGTGAATTGCCAACTGTCGCAAGTACTGTATTTGCGCGTACCAAAAAGTGTAGGTAACGATTTCAACCATAACCTAGAGATCGGAACAAACACATGCTTCAATGCGCTGCTCCCTCACAAGGCGGAAGCCACTGAGAAAGTCATTGACTATTATCCATTTATTTGAAGCCGAACCACAAATATCAACCTCCTCAAGGTATGGGAAGAGGCCGCTGAGGATGACAGCCACATTTACCGGGGACCTCAGGGGCGATCTTCCGAGGGCGAGAAATTTGATATGCTTATTGCAAAGCCCACCGCCGGGGCACTTGAGATCTATGCCGTCCAACTCCGTGGCATCGATGACAAGAGAGAGCGAAGTCAGCACAGGGCAGAGCCGAAGCAACTCTATTAGCCCGTTGAATGTGGGTAATGTGATGGTATTATAGAGGCCCAATTTGAGGACTCGGAGCTTAGGCCAGGCTTTCACCAACTGGCATAGCTCCTCGTCAGACATTGAGATATCGCAATCCTCCTCGATGACCAGCTGTGTTAAATTGCGAAACGCATGCAATGATGTGAAGATGCCTAATTCTGTGGGCTGCATGTTCCCCAATCGAATGAAAGAGAATGATTCGAGTTTGTCGTTATCACATTTCTCTTGAAGGATGGCGAGGAACTGGGAGAGCATCGCAGACCCACTGGCTGAGGACCCTGCATGGTGGGACGCGAAGTTGAAACTGATCCCCCTGCTTCTGACGATCTGGAGTGACCTAAAGAAGTTCGAGGCGTGCTCGATAGTACGGGTAGAAAGTTTCAACAATTTCAGATCCTGGAAGCCGGGGGATTGCACTTGCGGCAGGGTATCCCAGCTCGATGATGTGGTCAAATCCAAGGATAGTGACTGCAGAGCACGCAGCTGCATGAGGTACTCCATGCCTTTGTGACCTAGGTCACATACCGACAAAGTGTGAAGATGGTGGAGCTGGGAAACAGATTGTATGAGGAAGGGCAAAGTTTTACGCAACCAGTCATCCCTTGCACGTGCAACTTGCACGGTCATGCGCTGGAGATTAGGACACAAGGTCCCAAGAGATGAGAGGACAGGGAGAGTGGTGGAGGAAGCTGAAGTAATCTGCAGGTTCAATTCCACTAGCGAGGGTACGAAAGTCATGCGCAAGAACTCTGCGGTGGAGCGGGTTCCATTGTCGTACAACGTTAATTTGCGAAGCTTCGGAAAAAAGGACGCAGGTGTCGAAGGGCAAGACAGCATTAGCAAACTGAGAGCCTCAGTCTGAGGATTTTCCGACCTATATGAACGTGTTATAGTGATGGAGCGCACGCGTGACGCGCACTTGAAAAGAGTATCCCACACCTTGCCATCAGGAGGTTTCTGCAATACCTGCACAAGTGAACTCAGTCTGAAGCCTACGATTATATAAATCAGGATACTCACCGAACATCCATGGTCACTGCCAAACAGGTCACTTGGTAAACAGTTGACAAGTGGACTCACGGAGTGCAAATCCCTCCAGAGGACATCAAGTGCTGGGTGCTCGAATTCGCGGCATGTGGATGCAAGTGCAGGAAGCGATGTGCGTTCCACGTATGAACTAATCGTGCATATTACTTCGAGGTTTTGTAAAGCCGGGTGCATGGCTCATAAATATGATGGATATATGATAGATTTAACTTGGGAGGACACTTGCAAGCTGTTGCATGGAAGTGTTCATCGTAACGAAGAAAAAAACCTGCAAGCTTATTCAATTTATATTTATAATTACCAGAATTGTAATTACCAGCGTTAAGTACTCTACAACAAGCTCTCTCATCGAAGATGCACTCGCTAATCATGCCCGGCAACGCGTACTACACCTATTTCATGCTGGAGCAAGTGTTTTGGGTGATATTTATTTCGCATATTTTCCGTTCTTGATTTATTTACTCTCGGATAAGACTGTTTTCTGTCAGATTCTCGCTCGTGAGTTTGGCCGCGTGCTCGTTACTGAACGTTTGTCACAGGAAATTGTCTTGCACTCTGTCAAGGACATGTCAGCCTGTCCAGAATTCAAACAGAATGCGCTGGCAGAGGTGAGAGATATTCGTACAGATCGAGAGCGGGAATGACCTAATGCCTGTTTCAAAAGCAGTCATTTCGGCGTATGTAGTTGCTGCCATGTGCAGCCTACACGAAGAAAGCTCTCCATGATCCCAAAAGCAAAAGGAAGGCTACTAACGAGCTCGGAGGCCAGTCACCTGCTAAGAACTCAAAGTTATCGACGGAGAGCCATGACATCTTTGACATTGAGCTGGAGGCTGATGATGATTAGCCTGACTCGAATACTATTGTCAAATTTCAAGTAGTGCTGCATCTGATCTGCGAAGCGCCTGATTATTATATAGATAGATTGTTTACTACCAATCCGTCGTCATTTTTTGAAGTTGAAGTCGGGGACTGGCGCTTTCCAGCGCCGCTACGATTGGTAAGTTAAACGTTGAATGTTCGTCCTCGTGTTGAGCTCGTCTCAGACGAGAAATGAAACAGTAGCCAAATCAATCTCAGGTAAACCCTAACCCTATGCAGTTCATGAGGATGCCTCGAGCTGAACGGATGCTAGCTAGGACAATAGAATAGATCACAATTTGCTGCGCAGATGTTGCTGTTACTAATCCCCAATATTTGCCAAAATCCACTCTTGACGGGTCTGAGCACAAAGGATGCTCAATTTCAGGTCAAGCAATTCGGTTCTACAAAGTACATATCCTATGGCATATCTGACCTGTCCCGGAGACATTGACTCGCACTGTTTTGGCTGGTGGGGGGTCGTAGTATTTCTTATGGTAATGTCAGGACACGAGCTTGTTCCAGTGGCCATTGCAGTGTAAGAGACTGCAGGCAGCATCGTAGATATGTGGCAATCGAGATGGTTGCTCCTGGCAGGGCTTCTGGTATTGATAATAAGAGCACACCACAGAGCACACAGAACTCGTTTCCGAGTACTTATAATTACAAAGAATGTATAGTGAATTAAGCACACGACTACGCATAGTCAAAAGGTGTATAGGATGGTTCGAGCGTACCACATCAAGTTACGATGTGCCAGGCAGCTCCCTTACAATTCTGAAACCACGAAGAAAGCTATTGACTGATGCCCATTGCTCCATCGCTGGCTTCTTCTGGGGTAGTGAATCCATGAGGACTGTATTCCAACAATCAAGATTGACCTGCTCGAGGTCGGGGAAGAGACTGCTGAGGATGAGAGCTACATTTAGCGGGGAATCGATGACTGAATTGCCAAGGATGAGGTCTTTGAGATTCTTGGTGAAATATTCACCGCCGGGGCTTTTGAGATCAATGCCATCTAGCTTGGTGGTATCGATGACAAGAGCGAGTGAAATTAGAGCGGGGCAGAGTCGAAGTAAACGTATTAACCCGTGGAATGTAGGCACTGCGGTAGTATCCGATTCGACCGAGACACAGCAGCTGATTATGAGGATTTGGAGCTTAGGCCAGGCTCCAGTCAGGTGACATAGCTCCTTGTCAGACATTGAAATGTCACAGCCCCCCTGGATGTCCAAACACGTTAAATTGCTGAATGCGCGCAATGACACGAAGAGGCCCGAGTGTATCCTAGGCATCCTGAATGAAAATGTATTGAAAATAAAGTATTCAAGTTTGTTGTTGTCGCATTTCTCTTGGAGGATGGCGAGAAACTGTGATAACATCAGGGGAAAGTGCGAGGGGCTGTGCAACCTGAGGGGTGAAGCTGACCACAATTTTTTTGGTTCTGACAATTGTAAAGTGAACTCAAGAAGTTCAAGGGACGCTCACATTCGTCGGCACTAAGGCACAAAAGATGCAAATTTTGAAAGCCGGGGAGTCGCAAAGGCGAGCGTCTGTCCCAAACTGACAATGGGGATGTCCTGAAGTCAAGGGTCACCGTCTGCAGAGCTCGTAGCAGCATAATTTGCTGGATGCCTTGTATTCCTAGGTCCCATATGTCCAAATTACGAAGATGGTGGAGTTGGGAAATAGGTTGTATGATAAAGGGTGAATCGTTAGGAGACGGCCCGTCGACTGCACGAAGATGTGTTGATCTCAAAGTCATGGTGTGAAGGCGAGGACATAAAGTCCCAAGAGACGAAAAGACCGGGAGAAAGGCGGGGGACGCCGAAGAAATATCCACGTTCAAGGACAAGGACAATAGGGAGGGCACGAAAGCCATGCACAAGAACTCTGTAGCGCCACGAGTGACATCGGCAAACCATATCAGTTGACAGAGTTTGGGAAACAAGGACGCGGGTGCAAAAGGACAAGACAGCAGTATCAAACTGAGGGGCTCAATAGACGTCGAATTGCCAAATTGTATGATAGAGCGCACACGGGACGTGTATCTAGAAAAAGTGTCCCACATCTTGTGATCAAGAGGTTTCTGTAGTACCTGCATATGTGAACTTAGTCTGAAGTTCACGATCATACGAAACTGTGACACACCAAACCTCCACCATCGATGCCAAACAGGTCACTTGGTAAACATTTGACAAGTGGCTCCACAGACTGCAAATTCCTCCAAAGGACATTAAGCGCTGAACTCTCGAAGGTACGGCACGTGGATGCAAGTGCAGGAAGGGATCCATGTTCTGTGTGTGAGCTGATGACGTCTATCACTTCGAGAATTTGCAAGGCCGGATGCATGTCCAGTATTTGGAGATTGAAAGTATTAGATGAGGCTCGAGTTCCGGAGGGCGCTTACCAAGTTTAACGTTGAATGTTCGTCCTCGTGTTGAGCTCGTCTCAGACGAGAAAAAAAACAGTAGCCAAATCAATCTCAGGTAAACACAAACCCTAAGGGCCTGGACAGCTGCGTTTATTTCTCAGTTTATTTCTCAGTTTATTTTGTTCGTAACAATATGTACAAACAACCGTGACAAGGTCGGCATATCACGCACTGTATGACATCACACCAAGGCTGAAATGCCTCCAGCTAATGAAATCCAACGGTTCCATATGTTGCGGATGGCAGCCGCAATGATCGCTCAACTTATTATGGGTCTTATAATCGCATATATGACTCCTTTTCTTGAAAGACAGCCCTACCATACATCAGTGCTCACTGGACATGCATGGGTGCAAGAACTCATCAACGGACACCCTGACCTGGATCAAAACTGAGCTCGGAATGAGGAAACACGTCTTCCATGCGCTCGTACATGAGCTTCAGACCTCTGGGCTATGTCACTCGAAATATATTCTGCTTGATGAGCAAGTCGCTATCTTTCTCTATACATGTGTGACAGGGCTTTCAAGCCGTCATGTCGCAGAACGTTTTCAGCACTCGCACACAACCACACAGAAGTACGTCCATACTATTGCAATATATTCATTGCCTCACATGCCACATCAGATATTTCAAGAAAGTCCTGCTCGCTCTGTCTTCGGCTCCCTTCTACAACAAATCATCAGCAAAACCCAGGGTCCTCTGTACAACCCTGGACAGTGCTGGACAGAGCCACAGAGCCCACAGAGAGGGTTCTCTCTGTGCAGCTCTGTACAGAGTCGTACAGTGTAATGTATGATACTGTACAGAGCTGCACAGAGCGGTACAGAGTGTTAGCTACACTGAGCAAAACAATACAGAGCATTGGGTAGGCCAGACAGGAATACTGCAGAATGCTCACAGCATCACTACAGAAAGTGCACAGTAATTGAAACCAAACAAATCATGATGTCATTGCGTCATACTACAATCAGGTATCCTACAAAAATGCTAAAAACACGATCAGTCCAGTTGGAGTTTCAAGCCCCAGTCATGGCGCCTGTTTGGATCATCGCGAGTCAGGATTCTGCATAGCCGTCAGAAAATGATACAAATGATAAAAAAAGCTTCACAATACCCTGCAGTACGAGCCCATTTCTTTCTGGCGGCCCGGCATTTCTTTGCATGATAGTGGTCCTTCTGCACATCATGGTAGAGCTGAATGACGCTGTCGTAGATGGGTTGATATAAATCGGCGACGAATTTCATTTGCTTGTAAGTACCGGTCTTGTACTCGTCGATAGCGGCAGCAAGCTAGTTAGAGATGAATGAGCGAAGACGATTATCCGAGCCTGAGATCACATACCGCAGTCGCTGCAAGTGCAACGGCACCTTCGGGGACAGCATCGGCGAACAAGTCTGGAAATGACTTCGCGAGCGCGTTCTCACCCTTGTAAAAATAGGACATACAAAAGCTGCCCAGGGCCTCGTTTGCAAGATTATTGGTCCTGCCCTAATACACACCGCGTGAGTCAGTAAGTGCGGGGCTATTTCTCATTAACCTGCCTGTGCATCTACTCCATCCCGTAGGAAAGCACCATTCTGCAACAATGTTTTGACGTTGTCACGCACCTCCCGCTCATAGTCGTTCTCGTCGTCAACATCGGGTGGAAGAATTTCAGTAATGTGCCAGAACAATCGGACGCGCAGCCTTTTTCATTTCGGAACGCATAGTAGCGCGATCGTCCCATAGCTAAAATAATTGTTAGCGTGATCCGACAGAGTAAGAACACAAATACCAGGACTGCCATATCAGATTTATATTCATCCCAGTATCCGTCGTCAACACCAACACCCTGGGATCCAAAGTCTTCGAGTGTTTCTAAGAGATATTCAATACCCTTGGTTTTGAGAAAATCACTGCGCTTTGACGCTGTGCTAGTGAGCAAGCCTAGGCGTGATTTCTTCTTTGCGGCCTCTAGTAAATCCTTCCAAGAAGGAGGATAGAAGCGAATGTTCTGCGCAGTTGCTTTGATCATCCGCGTTCTCTTGCGTGGTACTACAACCTCCTCTTCAGAAGAAGATTGAGCTGAATCTTGAGTAGTAGCGCGACGACGCAAAGTCTCGAGCTCATCCAGGTCAGGCATGCGAGGGCGACAGTTCTTTGCGCGATGGTCTTGGAGGACATCTCGGGCATTGTGTGAGCTGTCGGCGACTCGTGAGCGTGCACGAGTGAATTCATCTGCATAAGGCAAGTGGGCAAGTTCAGTAGCATGATGGACACATGCATGGGATATCTTACCATCGTTGCTATCTTTCGAGGTGTCATGATCCTGGTGGGGGTCGTCAACAAAACTGTCACCATCATCCTGGTCTACACCCAGATTATCAACATCAACATCCTGGTCCGCCTCCCCACTATCACCATCATTGCCATGGTCCACCTGCACGTCATTAGTTCTAGCATCCGAGTTGTCCAGATCAGAATTGTTAGCATCCACATCGTGATCTCGTCCCGAGTCGTAGCCCTCATCGCCATGTAGAGGAGCCTCGGCATCTGAAATATTCATCCGTGATGGACGAGTGTAATCGGATTCCAGGTCAGTGGGCGGATTGCTGTCACTGGTGACGGTGTGTCGAGGGATGTGTTTGGACACCGGTGGTTTACGACTAGCATTACAGTGAGGACGTGGATCGTTGCGTTTCTGTGAATGAGCACCAGCGGGGGTGTGTTCAAGAGGGACAGGTTTGGATGCTGGTAGGGCACGGCTAGTATCTGACTTGGAATGATGACGCAGATTGTCGTGTTTCCGCGAATGGGCGCCAGTGAGGGTGCGTTTGGGCGTGTTAGGCTGGGAGGATCCTGATGGTGTACTGTTGAACCTAGAGAGAGCACGGATGAAATGGCGTTCGGAGGTCGCAGGTGGAGGTGGGACAAAGCCAAACCTTGAGTCGGGACTACGAGGATGCGAAGTGGGCTTGTCCTCAGCAACACGCTGTGGTAAGTTGGAGCTTGAAAGATGTCGTTCAGTCTTCTCATTGCTTGATGTCTTAGTCGCCTTGATTGGTCTTGCCCTTGGTTTGCGTATAGGTGCCTCCGGCGCCATGACATTTACTGGTTGGCTGTCTATCATCTCCTGAGCGGGGTTTTTCTTCACTGGACGTTGTCTATTCATCTGTGAGGACTCGAGCTTTTGAAGTTGGGTGAGGCGTCCACCTTGACCCATGTTACTTCGCTTAGAGCGACGGAGGTCATCTGCAGTGCTACATATCAGTTTTGTTATATAGAAATCAGTGTACTCACCAAGATCAGGTACTATGGTCTTGCGTTTGCCTGCCATCAAACGTTGAACATGAACCCGAAGACAAGAAGTATAACATTCCATGTACTAGTAAGTACTACTTATTTGAAACTCCGCGCGGTAGTGCGGAAAATGGCGCTGGGGTACTAGGTACAACAAGAAAATAGAACAAAATGGTCATGATGAAAGTGTAGTGAGCAGTGAAAGATATACGTCTACAGGGAGCCAAGTTCCATCCCCCTCACCAAGACCTAGACATTTGAATCATCACTACTCAGTCCAGAGGAAGACTCGGTTCCAGGTGTTGCTAGTTCCGAGGAGGAAACAGTCTCGTCGCTTGTGTCGGAGACGTATGCAGAGCTGATTGAAGATTTGGCGTTCTCTTGGTTGTCCGCCTGGACATGTCCAGAGGATAATGCCCTCCTGATCGAGGGCCTGGTATTCTCATCTGTGGTAGGATTGTCCACACGACGACGTTTCGTACCAGAGAATTGGCGACGGTACCAATCGCAGTAGCGGGCGTGGGCAGTTTCATAAACGGCAACTGACATGGAGGAACTGTCAAGCTCCCAATTGAATGTAAGTGCGCTGGGAGTGAGGAGATGCCTATGATTTACGCTGGGTTCGATTAAGTCAAGGGTGCTGCTCATCGTGGCTTTCACGAGATCCAAGCCATGGTTCAATGCGTCAGTCACATTGTCCATGTCAATATTCGGAAAAAGTGTCTGCAAAGATACTACTTGTCAGCATAAATATTCTTATCATTGCAACATTAGACTCACGCCGTGCGCCGTGGGAGGAGCAGCCAAGTCAATCCGCTGATCCCCAGACTTCACCCACACAAAATAATCGACAGACTCAATATCAATCCACTCATGCCCCATTGCTATTACTGGCCCAAATAACTTGTCGGAAGTGCGTTCAGGTGCGAACTCACTGTAAGTCCGCACCGATCCCTCTTCACGTGTCTGATTCCAAGTAACGGAGTTTGCTGCGGGGGAGGCATATTTCTTCCTTTCTTTGACCAAGATCATAAGAATGAGGAGGAGCTCTTCGTGCGATAGAAGAGTATCCTCCATTTTCGTCATGATGGCAACCCGAGACTGAGTGAATCCAGATTCGGCCATCCAGAGAAGTTGCGTCTCAGCGGCTGTCGTGGTTGTGGGTTTCATGGTCACCTGCATGTCGGGTATAGTGAAGAGGTGTTCGGAGTACATCCGACTATTGGTTAAGACGGAGGTCTTCAAGAGGGTTCGGTTGTACTGAATGCTGTGAAGAGCATGTGAGATCGTGAACGACATCTCAGATGTTGTTTCTTCATGGACAGGGAGCGGAGAGTATATGATGAGAATCATCCTGTGAGGAAAATATGACATCCTACAACAACATCGACATAAGAAAAATGTTTGACTGAATTTATATATGACGTACTTTGTGTGATAGTTAGAAAATGTGAGAGCGTCCATGTGCTCCAAAACACGGGCATGATTTTCGGCAGAGACATTGATAAAGCATACAGGTTCCACCCATACCTGCCGAAGAGCATCTACGAGTTGCTCGTGGCACCCATCTAGTAGCGAACTATGAGAAACAATAATATTTAGTTGACCAGCACCCTTACCTGGGTTTGCAGCGATAACATGTGTGATACCCAAAACCTGATCATGCACGACTGCAGTGTCGGCTTCGGACTTGGCGGTTGCTACAGTTTCAGTCTCTGGCACCACTGCTGGGGTGTTTGATGATTTACCTATAAATATGTAAAGTAAGCAATCTATGCTGAGATTAAGCGATCCGTCAGCATACAAGTCACATCTGCAGAACGCGGGGTCTCTGTCTTAGGGCCACGTCGTTTTGATCTGTTGGAGATCCATGAAGATGTCGTGGATAACACTGGCATCCCTGGAGTCGTTGGTTCGTTTTTCGTATCGGATCCGGGTTTTTTGCCTCTGGAGTTACGAGCTGTATAGTAGTATGCATCTCCTCCAAAGTCTCCAAAGACCGCAGCCATTAAAAGACTTCAAGGAACAAAGAAACTGTAACTGACGTGTCAGCCTACATGGTTTGGGTGCTATGCCGCAGCGACTCTCACGATGGGCTAAAAACAAGGGCCAATGAAAAAAACCACCATTCTAGTGAATACCCCTATCTGTCTAATGCTAAGAGCTTATCTACTAGTCACATGAAGCGCAAAGAAAAGCTCCTTATTCCAGAATTTATTCAGGTAAAACTCTGTGGCATGGTTAATGCTGCTTTGCATCGTCAGTCGCGGATCGGCTTTTGGACCAAAACGCGGGATGAGATGGACGGGTGCCACAATCTGAGTTATTGGGATGACATCGCCAATCCGGTCATTATTCGCTCGTCGAGCACGCCTGAGAATATACATACCCGTAGAATCGTCGAGAGTCACAACATCCAAACGTTCAACATATGCAAGATATGATTCGGAATATGAGAGTGTCGTGATGGGACGAAAAATCAAGCGAAGGTGAGCAACAAAGTGTCCTGCGTTTGTCAACATCAGTAGCGTGACTGGTATAGACATAAAAACATACCATCCAGTCCACTTTTTGGCCACTTGTGCGTGTTGCCTGAACTAACGATGACAGAGTCATATCGGCCGTATGGCCAGGCACTGGAGGGTGGTTGAGCATGTAGCGTTTGCGCGGGCTCAAGCTGTGCAGGGTCGTGAAAAGATTTTGATTGTGTCCGTATCTTGCACCATACTTGAATGCGTTCAAAGGGGAGGGGGCAGCCAGGGTGGGCATGGCGCCTCCCACCAACAGCGAAGTGATCAACATGCGCATCAACCTGGTCAAGATAATCGGAGACTGCGGGACGGAGGTCAGGAAGAGAGAAGTTTTCAGCAGCCTTATCCACTGTCATTTTCGTGTGCGTGGGGTCATAGCTGAGATGGTAAGCGTTAATTGAGGTGGAGAATGTTCGATAGGGACGGGGAGCTTGAGGATGAACACCATTAATGAGGTCGCGCGCGCAAGCAAAGTAGTCCTTGACAAAATGCTGGACAAGACCACCCTCGTTGTCTTCGTCCCTTTCGTGGTCCTCCTGTGCACGCATCTGGAGTGCGAGGTCAAAACGCTCCACCTTATCACGACGATCGAGGTGGCGACACACTTGCGCGTCGTAGTCGTGATTGTTCCCTGCCCTCGCTGGCTCCTTCACAACCTTGATGTGCGCATGTTCAGTGGGGTCTGCAGACCACTGCATGACAGCGCCGTGTGAACAAATACTGGGCACTACCCCCTGCAGCAGCTCGAGCTTTGGAATCGCCCATGGCTTATCCCCACCCCCTTTCCCCCGCCGAGCACCAGCGTCAACGATAGACTGTTTGAACCGATGAAAGACTTTAAGACAGCGGTCTAAATCTACCACTTGCTTGTCGGTGAAATGCGGGGCTTGAGCGAGGTATCTAAACTCCATGAGGGCCCGAATAGCAGATATGAAGTCGGCAGGGGCAGCACCAGCAATCACGCCAACGATATACCGTTGAACGTTGCGATGGTCTCGCCCGGTGGCTTGCTTCAAAGCGGAGATTCCCTCCTTGAATGCACGGTAACCAGTGCACACCTGGAGGAGCGCAAAACTGAAAATAAATTTCCTGCGAGCCAACCACTGTTGTGCACCAGAGACGATCATGGTCCCAGAACATTTTATGGAGATGGTGAAGTAGTTCTGGAGTGAGGAAGGAGGAAGGATTTGCGGTAAGCCAATTCCTCCAGAATGGCAAGTCAACACCGTTTAGATTGTAGCGTTTGCATGCCTCGAAGAACGGGATGAGATCGGAAGGTGAGATAGATGTTATAATCGCTGCAATGTTGGCAAGGGTTGATGATCCATCACGAGGAGGGTGTCGGATTGGGTCTCCAAAGTCTTCACGGGTAGCCATAGTGACAGGCGATGAGTTCATAGTGGCGCATGCAATTACAAGTTCCTCCGGAGTATCTGCGACATAAGCAACAAGGGGGGTGAAGCAATACCTGCTAAAACCCCGTGGATCACTCATCATAACGCCAAGACGGGCAGCCTGCTTCAATGGCTCAACAACGAGGTCGATACATTGGTGAAGTAAACGGTCTGCGAGAACCCCATGCATGCGCTTGTTCCTGTGCAAGAACTTTGCAACAGGAAGCAAAGCAAGTGGGATATATGCATGTAAGGAGCCTTTGGCACGCACTCCAGGATCAATATTGGCGAGACTAACAAGAAGTGGATGCACGTAACGGTTGCCAGCGATGTTGCTGACCTTGGTCTTGTCCGAGGAGAGGACTACACCAAGGAGGGATGCACCTTCAGGTAGGTCTTTCTGTGGTCTTGTTAGTTATACAGAACGAGGAATCAAGACACGAGACCTTACCTGAAGGTTCCAAGCATGATCGCCTGTCATGAAACCATGATAAACTCGAACCGCACGTTCGGCAGACTCGTAAACCTTGCATGGGATGAAATCAAAGCTGGCGGCCAACAGTGGGTGACTGAGAAGTGACTGCAAGCACTCGATTGCGTCCCGATAAAATATTTGAAGGGTTTTTGTCGTTGGAAACTCGGTAGTGATTTTTTGATACTTCCATTGAGGGGGAGCTGGGAGCAATTCAACACGTCCTCGGAGTTCTCGCGAAGAGCGAAATGACAACGGGAGTGTTTTGGTCTGAACATAAGTTTAGACGAAGAAATTTAGAGGATAGATGAACTCACAAATTCAAGATTGAGGTACTTGTCGATTTCGGCCATGCTAAGATCGGACCGAAGAATATACGATGCCATCTCCCAGTCCGGTTTGCTAGCGAAAGGAAAGTATTGGTTTTGCTCCCTCTCTGCAGCATATTCATCCTCGTTGAATTGGTCCATGAAAGTCTTCCCAACACCCCACGTCTTGCCTGCACCGTCATAAAACTCCACTTCTTCACCGTAATCTGCCTGCGAGCCTGAAGACCCATACTCCGCTCCAGTGTCTGCATCAACTCCATGGTCCATATACTCCGGGTCAAAGGTCGGGTCCGTGTCGTTGTGGAGAGGAAATTGAGGACTTGGAGCTTGTGCTGGTCTTAAGATGCGAACTAGGTTACCATCCCACTTGTAACAGTGAGAAGAAGGCTGATTCAGGTGTTGCAGAAAGCGTCCCTCATTCTTAAAACGCTTGCTGCAGGAGGGGCAGCGCATATCGAAGGTGCGAAGTAAGTCATTGAACTCATTTGGATTCAATATTGTCCCGGCAATTTCCGGGACGACGCAAACTGTAACTACAATGTCGAAGTGTCGTTCAAGCTATGCCTCACCATCTCAATCATCTCAATCCCCGTATTCGCTATGTCGAGGCCAACAAATCTCAGATTCTGTAACTCCTTCCGACATCTCAGATGATACATCTGACTCCTCGGAAGTGTATAATATGGTGAGTTATGGGCTGGATTCTAACACTTGCCTTGAATCAGTTTTATCTACAGTACATACGCCGCTACCCAAATGAACCATTTGACGCTTACATGGACTCAATGCCGGAGACTTCAGAGGAAGCATCTTACCTGCTCGAGATGGCACGAGCTGATCTCGAAGTTCGACGTCTCGAGAAGGACCTTGCTGAGCGGCTTCTTCATCAATTTCGCATGCGCAAACACCACCTACGACTTCGAGCGAAGAGGGCAAAGAGAAATTTTGGAGATGCGGAAGCTAATGTAGGGTGCACACGCGCTCTCGTGGTGAGGTGCGGGTTTGTCTGCTCAGAGCGGTCACTTTGGTCTCCTCGTCCAAAATCCACCATCAAGTCATGTAAGCGAATTCGTTCTTAAAATCGGTATGCAGTCGCTGATGAGTACAGCTGATTAGAATATCTGTCTGTTGGATGTTGCATTGTGACCATAGCCTTGTACTGTGTACATGATTGTCAATACATATACGCATTGCACATTTTATATTTTAGCTATCTGTTGAAGTACTTTATTAAATGAATATAAGTTGTCACGCTGTGAAATGCATTCTCCGAGATCTCGTGTTTTGATGAAGACCAGCAAGATATTGATATTAATCTATAATTTACATCACATTTTATCGCCTGACCCTGTGCACTGTGCGAGACTGTGCCGCACTGTCACTCTGTGCGCTCTGTGCGCTGTACCACTGTGGGGCTGTGCTAGTTGTGTCGCTGTGGGAATCTTGTATCCAAAACCGGTAGTTTGCTGATGATTCGTCTATCTACCACAAGAGGATGCACCTATTCCATCAGAAATATCTGGGAGCCCAAAATTCTTTCTGCACTTTCAAGGGGCACTTGGAGCCATGGATTGTACACACATCGCGTGTTGTCCGTCCGCGGCAGAAAGGCAGCTGTCTCGAAACCGAAAAGGTTTCGTCAGCCAAAACT